TTTTCTTTGGTCTGAATACGTTTCCTATACGGATTTTCCCTCCGTGTGGTTTTCCGAACTGTTACCCTCAATCAAGCAATTCATTTTTTAATTAAACAAAAGGATTTTCTAAATTTATTATTAAGGATCCTCAGATCCTTTATAGTTTTGTATTGCCGTCCGTCCGTCCGTCCGTCCGTGTGCGCTCTAACTCTTTTTAAAAGTGGCCGATTGAGTTGAAATTTGGTGTACGGGTTCTTTGGACATTAAGGACGGACGCTATTGATTTTCAGGAAGCTGGTTCAATAGGAACAAAAGTTATACGACTTCGAGTGAATCGGGAACAGGAAAAACTACGGGCTCAATATAATAGAAATCAACATATTTCATTCCCTAGGTCATGTATCGGGTTGGGACTTCCGCTAGATTATTCCCTATGACTCTTAGATGTGTAACACTTTAATATAACTCTTCTCTGTGGTATAGGTCGAAAGTTTTAGAGCAAAATGTAGCAAAAATTACACTTTATACATGAATTTAGAGTTTTAAAAGGTTTCAAACGCATTATCTTGATGCAGCAAGAGTACATCACGTGCACATTTGATAACCGCATGTGTGTGATTCAAAAATGTTAAATTATTGCCATATGGGTTTTGATCAAAATAATCAAAATCGTTATTTATGCACCAAGATCGTCGAGAAAAAGACTAGGGGCATTATCTCAATGCTCAAGACATAAATTTGATGCATTTCTGGCGACCACATGGATTTTGATCAAAACATGTCAAAATCGTTATTTATGCACCAAGATCGTTGGGAAAAAGACTAAGAGCATCATCTCAATGACCAAAACATGAATTTGATCTATTTTTGGCGACCACATGAATTTTGATCAAAACATGTCAAAATCGTTATTTATGCACCAAGAACGTTGGGAAAAAGACCAAGAGCATTATCTCAATGATCAAAACATGAATTTGATCTATTTTTGGCGACCACATGGATTTTGATCAAAACAAGATTAAGAGCATTATCTCAATGGCCAAGACATGAATTTGATGTATTTTGTAACATTAAAATAAATTATCGTTAAAAGTTATTGTAATACTGAGGATCCTTCGATATTTCGTTGTATCGGTTTATTAATATAGTGACAGTGCTCGAAACGACTTAATTCGGCCAAAAAATTACAAAGTTGCCAAACATCCACCATCGACAGATAAACAGGTTCCAGTGATCATGTTGGCCTTATCGCTTAGCAAAAACAGGACTGCATCAACTACTTCGTCTACTTCTGCAAACCTAAAACAGTATGCGATTTTTTTTAAATTTTTAATTGTTGCAATTTTATTTGAATACTTGTACAAAAATTGGTACCTTTTTAAAGGAATTTTCGTTTTCATTTCCTCTGCTGCCCGCTGATCAGACCATACTTCGCGCCCTAACTCCGTCATGACCACAGTGGGGTTAACACAGTTGATTCTGACATTCTGCCCGCCTAATTCGAGAGCCGCCACCCTCGTGAACGCGTCAACGGCCGCCTTGGTCGAAGAATAAATCGCATGCTCTCTGAGACCCCGCATGGACGTCTGCGACGAAATATTTACGATTGACCCACTAGCATTACGATCCTGTAAGCTTTGGGCTACTATCTGCGTCAAGTTTACCACGGCTTTAAAGTTGATGGAAAACAACCTGCAGGTACTACCATAAGAAACGTGCTGGATAAATAGCAGTTTACCGATCAATATTTCCATCGGAAATATCTGCTAGGGGTTCCAGTATTGCAATTCCCGCGTTATTTACTAGCAAATCGATCTGGCCAACGTGCTTCAACGCCTCTTTTGTCTCTGACCAATTGGATAAATCAACGCAAATGGTTTTGACCGATGGAACTTCTTCGCTCAGACGTTCTAGAAGTTGATATTCAATTATGGCTAAATTTGCGTACTTACGGGTGCCTACCTAAATTGTCTCTGTTTATATCTAGGGCGGTGACCTGTGCACCACATAATGCCAATCGTTTCGCTATAGCGTTTCCAATGCCTACAAAAATGATTAGTGATAGTGCACCAGGTCATAGAAATAGACTCACCTCGTCCAGCTCCGGATACCAAAGCAGTTTTTCCATTGAAATGAATGTCCATTTTGTTCCGTTTAAGACTGGGGATCGTTCACAATGTGAATGTCAATAGTTCAACTTTTATGATTAGAATATGTTGGATAAGTACTATCTCCTCAAAGTCATTACGCGAGAATATGTAAATATTTAATTAAATTTTAGTCGGTAACCACATTTGTTGTTTCTCAAAATGGTTAATTTGAGAACTGACCTTCATTAAAATGGGTGTAAAATCAATTACTATTGAAACAAAAATTGAAAAATAATTTCTTGAAATAAATTCTTGACCAGATACAGAATCGCCTACTAAAGTTCCCTAATTGAATTATTAAATGCAATCCACCTTTTTTAATTTTTGCAGAAATAAACGTTACGTCTCCCTATTAGTGCAGATTGGGAATAAGTTTGATTTTCAGTGAAAATCCACTAGTGTTTCAAAATTCGTTGGCTTTGACTAGAATCGCTTACCAAATCATACGTTAATACATACCTTATTAATTCGAGTGCTTCCGAACCTTCTTTTATAATTATAAACCATATAATATTCCCACATGGCGCCAGTCGAATAAGTTAATTAACCTACACCCAAACTCGACAAATTCGTTCGCTGTCCTGCCTACTAAGGTCCCAAAAGAAGTAATAGCTTCGACACGGATACTAACAGGTTCCCCTGGATGAAGGCAGCTAAGAAACGCAAACCGTTATGGATGCTTCCGGTACCTCCGTAACGTCGTGGCACTCATTTCAACTGGAGGCGCAGGCGAGCATAACCGCCGCGGCAACGAAGCCATTAGTGTCTTATTAGACGTGGACACCCGGCGAGAACTGATTCGCCATAGTACTCTTCGCGTTTGAGGTTTTAACTCCACCATCAGTCAGATATTGTCCAGGGTTACCACATGCATTCCCTTTGTCGGACTCCACAGTCATATAAATGTGCTAATTTGGTGGATTTTGATAAAAACCCTTCACAAAATAGTACTCCATTTTTGGAACACGTCTCATAGATACGAGAAAGGGAGTGACCGCGACTCGAGCTTTAAGAAACTTTATACCGTGTTACAAAATTCGCAGCGGAAAGTATCTGTTGGACGCCCGAAGTCGACTACTCTTCGAAGGCGCGCGCCTTGCACGTACACTCCTCGTACACAGCAGTACCATCATCAACCACCTATGCCAGTGGATGACCGCATTCGGAATACTTCAGCAATTCACGAGCGACAGCGAACCACAATTCACCTCGCTCGACAAATGTACGAAATTGTACGGTATTGTCCACATAACCTCTTCTCCCTACTATCCACAATCCAACGGATTGGCCGAATCGGGTGTAAAAAACCTGAAGTACCTACTGACAAAGATATTACTCAACGAAGATATTACCACTGAGGAGTTCCAGAAAGGTCATGGAGCTAAAGATGCTTATGAGGCCAATGCCAATCCCTTAGGCCTCATCAAAAGAGATGACATCGTTCTTATCCACGACCACCACATCCACCGATGATATACCCTTGCCAAGGTCATCGAAGGAAAAGGAAAATCCGATACTGTCAAAACATAATCAGGCAGTCTCTTCTCGCTTTCTTCCCCGCTTCAACCCAGAAGAATGTCCGGGACCAGACCCGCAGCAAAATTCTGCTAGTGTTTCAAAATTCGTTGGAACAAACCAATTTTGAGTAGGATCTAGTACTGAATTCTACTATCAAACGCAATAATTGGCGCAAAAGTTAACTCTCCCTATCCGCACAAAGTTGGAAAGTAGTTTCCATGAAAATTCCGCTAGTGTTTCAAAATTCATTTGCATAAACAAATTTAGACTCGATTCGTTTACCTACTAAATTTCAATAAACTTGATTATCCATTTTTTAATTAGTGCAGAAATTAACTTTAGTAGATTATAGCAATAAGCCCGCCCAATTTTCCCTATAAAAGCAATCAAGTTCACTGAAATTTATGCAAAAAATTAACCCCACGTCCTTTCTACGGTGCATGGTAACAGTATACGAATTCTACAATTTGTGGTAGTTAAAAGCAATACCAATGGTTTGCCCGGGCTAAAAACGTTATATATTGGCAAAAACATGAAAGTCTCTATTGGTAGTGACAGCGATTTTCTACAAAAAACAGACTGATGTTTCTTTTCAGTCGAGGGGAAAATCTTATAGGAAAATTGGCTATAAAGTGTTCATACGTCATTTCGTGGTTACAATGAGTGCAACTCTTGTTTTTATGTAACACAATAGGGTCTTTCCAATATTAAATTCATAATAAATTCCGTGGCGGTGGCGTTTTAGAAATACCTTTTGTTTTACGACTTTAGGATGTAGACGTCTAGTATTTGCATTTCATAATTTATTATCTAAGTACGTAGACGTTTATGGCCAGGAGTCATTTTATTGCATATTAAAAGTAATAGCATCGACTGCATTGTAGTGACAACAATTTCCAAAAAGGTTATTTATTGTGGCAATCGACACTTCATTTTCTAACAAATTAGATTTTTATGCAAGAATGTAAAGGAAATTGGTATGTTCGTGAAAAATCGCATCTCCCTTTTTAAGTTTCGCCCAATTTCAAAAACAAAATGTAAAGTAAATTGACTTAGCATATTTTTTTTTCGATTTTCTATTTAGTTGTCAAACTTTATAAACTGTTTAACATTTTTTTCTGTTTTTCTGTACAAGCGCGGAGTCGCAATTCCCTTTAAAATTGCTTTAGGCTTTAGGTTATACTAGTACGGTTATCGATCTCCTGCATGATCACGAGAGCATTATTTTTGCGTAGATCTTAATAATCGCATACTAGTTTTGTTTTAAGAAATCCATCAAGTCCTAAAGTGGTGGCAACGAACTATTATTCTAAAAATGGCATGAAGAAAATAGCTATTTGTATAACAAGGGAGGAAAGTTAAAGATTCCCTCCCGCGTGTGAAGTTTAATGCCCGACGCGAAGCGGAGGGCAGTAATCACACAAGGGAGGGATATGTACTTTCCTCCAGAGTTATACATATGATTTTTTCTACTACCTCAACTTTAATTTAGCAAAGATTTTTACGGTAAGATGACTGCTTGCCATCTAGTTACACTAAACAATTTAGGATGTATCCATGGTGAAGTTATGTTGCCATGGTAGCGGTATAAACAGTAGTTTGTGTACTGGTCGTTTCTGTAATTTTTCATCAGAAAATATGGAAATAGAAAGTGATTTAGAGGAAAATATTCCCTCAGACATTTTAGAAGAAGCTAATCAGGCATCGCTTGATCTACTGCCTGCAAAATCTAGGGACAGATACGAAAAAGAATATAATGCTTTCAAAAATTGGATAATGGGGAGAAAAGTCAAGAAAATTGCTGAAGAGGTAATCATTCTAAAACGCTTAAACCATCGACGATGTGGAGTAAATATTCAATGTTACGTACCACATTACTTATAAACGACAACGTTGACATTAAGTATGCAAAAGTCATAGCTTTGCTTAAACGTCAAGGAAATGGGTATAAACCAAAGAAAGCTAAAATTTTCTGTAGGAATGACCTAAACAGATTTCTTTCGGAGGCGGCCGATGACTATTACTTGCAAATGAAGGTAATTATGAGATGATTTGAATTTGATACATTATGAGCGCTATATTTTGTTCGTAGGTTGCTTTAATTATTGGACTTTCCGGAGCTTGCCGTTGCGATGAGCTAATTAAATTGACATTGCATGATATTCGGGATAATGGAGACATATTAGTTGTGAAAATACCCGATAGCAAAACAAAAATGCAAAGAACATTTGTAATCACTAACGAAACCATTAATGGAACAAGTGTACATGGAATTTATAGAAAATATGTTTCATTACGCTCTGTTAAAACTGAACATACAAGATTTTTTGTTAATTACATAAAAGGGAAGCGCACCATCCAAGTCATAGGGAAAAATACAATTGCCAAAATACCATATAAAATTGCAAGTACCTCGAGCTACCAGATGCAGAAGGTTACACTGGGCATAGTTTTCGGCGCACCTCCGCGTCTTTGTTGGTTGATGCTGGAGGAGATTTATTGAGTTTAAAGAGACACGGAGGATGGCGCTCTACCAACGTAGCCGAGAGATGCAGAAGGTTTACACTGGGCATAGTTTTCGGCGCACCTCCGCGTCTTTGTTGGTTGATGCTGGAGGAGATTTATTGAGTTTAAAGAGACACGGAGGATGGCGCTCTACCAACGTAGCCGAGGGCTATTTAGAAGAATCAATCGTAAAAAAAGTAAAGTTTCTAACCAAATTATATGCGGAATGCCCTCCACAAAGGTTTCTGGAGAACATCAAATGAACTCTACAAACATTGAAAGTACAGGTTTCAATGTTAATCAATCTTCCTCACCTTTTTCTGGTAACATTACTTTCAACAATGTTAGTAATTGCACCTTTAATTTCGGTTCTTCTACTAGCACTGAGAATAACAAGTACATTAAATAAAGTTAGTTGTAATTGAAGGGTATTTTGTTTACTTATAAGCTTAGGTACGTTATATGGAGTTGAGGGAGGAAACACTTTTTTCCTCCCTTAGGGAGGAAAAGTGCAGCTTTCGACCCTCAAAATGGGGCGAGAAATGATATTTTCTAAAGAGGTAGTAGGAAAAATTCTTTCTGCCAAGAAACTTGGCTTAAAGAAAATGCCGTTTCCATTTAAAAAAATGTCCGAAATGAATAGAAGCCCGCCCTGCTTTACGCTAAATTTTTATGTTTTTGGATCGCCTGGGCGGAAAGAGAGAGAGATTTAAGTTCTGTTGAGATGAGCTTTCTAAATGTAATTTAAATTAGTTTCCTCTCTATTTTTGGTGGGTTACCATTTGGGAAGTGGAAAATGTGTAAGGCAACGCTTCTGCTGTAAATTTTCCTGTCAACTTATCCGAAAGAAAGTAAAAACATCGTATCCTAAACGATTCAATTAAGCAATTATGAAAAACAAAGTAAAAGAATAATAAAACGAACGCATACGTTCTAAAGAAGTTAGGGCATAAAACAGATATCTAGCTTTTAATTATTCCATTTATAAATCGAAATTGACTATGTGTCGTTAAACACTGCTTTTATGGTGGCCCTAAAAAGAACATAAAAAGCATGAAAGCAACTGCGGTAAAACGACCTGATAAAAAGAAACGCAAGTTCGTCCATTATTCGATTAAAGAAGTAATAAGATTTTTAATAACTACATAACTTCGCGTTATTGATAAATATTACGAGAGTCAAAATGGAGGCGTTTGTTCTGTATTAAAATTTTACCTTTACGACTACGTACCACATCGGTGGCAGTGGAGGGAAAGTTTGGACCACCAACAAAATGAAGTCGCATAAATAATTTAATGGTTTTTAAAGGCGTAAGCCTTAAAACAGGCCGGGATCATCCACTTACGGAATATGTGAACATTTTTCACTTGTGGATGACTGTTTTTAGTGTAACGTATAATTTATGATTTTGTTCTTTTAGCTTTATGTTTACTTGGCGGTCGATTGTACTGTAGTCTCTCTATAAACTTTTCGACTGTTTCACGGTACGATGATACCATCTAAAGCTAGAGCAATAAATTTGTATGTATGTCAGGACTTGTTTTGGTAATAATTCTGGCGTGTCTACAAAGGAATAGTAAATCGTGTGCCCCGACGCGTCACACATGTTTTTCGGAAAACTGCGGAGAACCAGGCATAATGCTTCAAGTTTTATATTGTGCTTGATTTTTCTGCACTTTCGAATCCACATACATCTAGAAAGATCCATGATTGTTATTTCTATGTATCTTTTGTGAAAAGTTAAGTGTTACATGTTATAGTTTTTCTGAAAATTTTGGAAAATCAATCAGCATCCAAGATATGCATTACTTTTCAAACCCAAACACAGTTTACAATTTAAAAACATTAATTCCACGTTAGCAGGAAAGGAGTACACAGAAAGAGGAAGAACTGCCAGGATTTCGAGATGAAATTATATGTGAATTTGAAAAATTTAAACAATCTATAGTATCTAAAGAAACTGTAGGATTTAAAAATTCAGATGGATCGAAGGATCCCGATTAATCTGAAGGATCGGTAGAATTTAAGTAATCGCAAGGATTCTGAAAAATCGGATTTGATGACTCGGGAGGATTTTTAGAATTTGAAAAAACGAAACTAGAAAGTTCAGATGGGACGAAAAATCCGTTGGTTCAATACCAAGAACCTGAAAATACGCTCATAAAATAACTGGAAGAAAAACGTCAAACCAGATTAGACGAACCGGCAACAAAAGTTTTACGAGCAAATCAAGAAGACTTGTCATAAGAAAATTCCTCCACCACTGGAAAATTCATCCATCATTATGTTCGAGTAAAGAATAATGGCCCCTTCCCACCTCGTTTGCCATCAAAACTGGTTCTGCGCCCTAGGAATATCCTTCAACGGAAAATTCGCTTCAGAAATTGATGCCTCCAGGATAATAATCCTTCCAAAAAACCCGCTTCCAAGAACACGAACCCATCCTTCGAATGGCCGCTCCAAGGAATATTAGTCTCCACCCTCCTTTCCCAAAACTGGCCCCAAGAAAATTACATGCCATCCTTACATTATTCAATGCACTTTTCTTGTGCTTAAATGCTAAAATAAATTAGCTTCTGAAAATCTACCCTGAAATCTTTTGTCTTATAATATTCACGTATAAATTTTTCACTCAACGCTTATAATACTGATATAAGTGCGTCAAACTAATACGTATAATTAATAAGAAGTAAAGAAGTAGTCACTTCAAATAATCTTAAATTCATTTTTATTACTTACATCGACGAATTTAATGCCATATTTCTTTTCAAATGCTCTTTAAACATTTGTGAGCCAGGCGAGCGATCGACTATGCCGAGCTCATCTTCGGCTGCCGAGCGTTACGCGGTAACGACCACACAATATAGAAATGTACTTACTCTACATATTCTGCGGCGTTCCAAAACTTGCATACCGAGCGATAACAAGTAGTCGTTCGTAACAGTTTTTTTAATCAATATTCTTAGGAATTTCCTTGACAATTTTCGTAGGTTCCCAGGATACCTCCTTTGCAATCATCCTAGGAAGTTTGAAAAAACTGTGTAGGAATCTTTGGTCTCCAGGGAATGCATACTGCTACATTTTACGATGGGCAAGACCTATTAATCATTGAAAATTGATAAAATTCGAGCCAAAATTCTTCAAATTTTAAGTTTAAAACCTTTAGATAAGTGTTAAATTTGTAGCATCAAACCTCTTAAGTGGTTACTGTTTGCTACATTTCCTGCACATGATCCTAAAACGTTTCTGAGACTGAAACTTAGCTACCGAGTGCTGGCCACAAAGAAATATTATAAGGAACATTTTCTTAATTTCCCACATTCTAATCTGTACAGAGTGAAACACTTCAAGGGCTTCTGACAAATAATCCAATTAATTTAAAATGATAGAAAAGGTTAAAACCGCTTTGTTGAACGCTTCGCTTGCTTCGGACAAACGTTTAGTAAGGTACTTAGCAATTGAAATTAAATTTCGCTTTGCTTCGTGTAAGCACTTTTTAATTAAAGTAGCACTAATTTACAAAATCATTTGTAACCAGCGGCTTATTGAAAATTATGGCGGCTGTAGGTCTTGAATTGAATAGGTAAAGGAGGAGGAAAAACGATTTCCCTTTCATATCTAGGTAGTACATGCACATTAAACTAAAGGTGTGGCAAGATGTTAATTATCCGCAAAGGGGTGAATAGGCAATTACCTGACTTGATATCTAACTCAAACAATGACAGTTTACAGGGGAATAAACCGTTTCTATGGAAGCCATTGAATGTAAAGCAACCTCTTTGAAATATGACATTACTAATGGCGATGAAAAGTTGTACTTGCATCGTGCACGCCAAGATTCTTCAGTTTCGAAATAAAATCAACACGAACAATGGGGTTTGACGCCAATGCCGGATCATCTTACCAAAGACTACAAAGTTCCGCCTGCAGGATCCGGTTGCTTTTGATCTAGCGCTATTTTCCGGCCTCCCTTTAAATTACAATGTGCAAGCGTTCGTTTGGGGGCATTCCGTCGACGACGCCGACGACGTCACCAGCGCGATTCCCTTTTTAGACGTCGTCCGTAAAAATCCTAAATAAACGGGTAAATCGTGTCCTAAGTCAACAGCACCCCCTTGTCCTTTTTAATACGACTTGTTTTAAATTCGCCACCTAGAATTGTCCTAAATGTTATTCAATTCCGACTACGACGACGAAAATATCTCTAAACGAAACGGGATCAAGTTCGCAATAATCCTTATCGATAACTGCAGATCCTAAGGGTGCGCTGCCTTCTGGTGATATCGTTCCTCTGTCGCATTATCATAATCCCGAATAACAAGCAACTGAAGACGACGAAATAAACGCGGAATTTTTACGTTTTGTTTGCTTGCGCCAATTCCTCCCGAGCAACTTTTTTAAATAAATCGCCGAAACTAAGTCATTTATTTGTTTTTCTTCTTTCGCTGTATATTCGCTTCTATTTATATTTTTTATTCAAGGGCAAACGTCTTCGGGGTGCGCTTAGGGGAATTTGTTCTCCTTAGTTTTGTTTTTATTTCCAATGCTTTGGTAAATAAAAACAATAAGCTAAGAGAAATAACCCGCGCTTTACAATAGATCCACGTTCGACGCGGCGTGATTATAATTTTAAGAATATAATAAACCTCCCCGGTCCTTTTGAAGTGTTTGGAGTTTGTCATGAATTTGCGGTAACTTCAAAGGGGAGATTTTCCAAATCGCGTGTTCAAATATTCCAGTTTTAAACCTCTTGAGACTAATATTTCGTGCAAGATCGACGTCAATAGCAAATTTAATTACGACAAATAAACATCTTTGACAAGAACTAAAGCGATCTCTGCCAACAGGAATGTGAAAAAATCTGTAGCCATTACAACCCTGCGGCACTCCTCGCAAGCCGTTCAGTTGAATAGCTCCTAATACCCGCACTCTAAATCCTCCCGAAGAACCTGGATTAATTCTGTTATTTTTTTGCTCATTTGTGGGCTCAAACTAATGATATTTATTCTGCTTGGAAATAGAAGTGGGCTTATATCCACTTCCTGCCGTTAGTGCTGTTGGAATTATAGATTTAAGGGGGAGGCGGTTCGCACCGGGTCATATTTTGCTCACGGAAATTTATGTGACTGTCAAATAAACTAGGCAACCTGTCAAATATGAGAAAATAAAGTAAATAATTCAAGTACTTTTTAAGCTGTACGAAGCATGTTTTGGAACTATGATCCTTTTGCCAGAATTCTGAAGACACGTGTAGTTAGAGCAGTGTCGGATTAGTCGATGTCGCCCTCGGGTTTATCCTGGTTAAGTGCAGGGAAGGGGAACGCACACACATCATCTACGAGATACTGTAAAATACTACACTCGTTTTAGCGCAAGTCAATAAGTCAACTAGAGAAAATATGTATTGTCTATCTTGCAGAAAAACTTGAAACTTTGAAAAAAAGGACGTGAAATGCATTACTGGTAACGTAGCTGCTGGTCGATAGCAAATTATTTTTGTGTTCTGTCCGTCCGTCTGTTCCTGGTCTAACTCGTGAACGAAAAGAGACAGCGATGTCAAACCTTCGCCAATCCATTTCTACGAGTTCAAGAATCACTGCTATTAGTGCTATTGAATGTGAGCCGGACCAAAGGCGTGTTTCCGAATGCGAGTTGAATGCCAAAAAAACCCCTACTGAAAACCGTATGCGATTCTTCACGTCCTATTTTGGTTTCGATCCGTAACCATATTCAGCGTTTTTGAGGGTGTTTAAAAGGGCCATAACGGCTTAATTTCTCATACACTGGACAATGTGGCATAAAAAACTCATGTGCCTCCTGGTATGAAACTATGGATGGAAGAGCGGAACAATTTAGCAACTAAGTAATGGAACCGTTTTCTACACCTGGAGTTCGAAAACTAAAACCAGTAACGGACTGGCTCTAAATTGTCCAAGACACCCTAAGAAGTTCTTTCTCCCCCTGTTCGTGCTTTTTAGCACATTTTTCTTGTTAGGCACTATAACTCCATCATTAGTACCACCTGTGTCTTATGTCAATTCAACGAAATAGTGAAACCCACAATGTAGTGAGGCTCAGTTCAGCTGATCCATGTTTTTTGCAGTCATTATAAAAACACGGGGTATCTCAGTTCAGAATCCCCCTCACCTTAAATGTCTTGTTTTGGTATTATCTTTAACTTAATTAAAAATATGGCACTAATGTCACACCTGAGGGGCACGTTTGTGTTCACTAACATTTATTCAGGCAGTGCACAAAGATGCAAAACAGGTCTTTTAAATTGTATGCAAATTCTCTTCGTTCCCATTTACTCAAGCGCCCGATAGCACTTTAAGAACTTAAGTTCCTTTACCGAGAGTTTATAATTGTTTCTTCTCCATATTCCCCGATGGTTATACATTAATTTTATATTGAAGTAAAAACGGCAAAAAAGTTATAACTTTCTGTATAATTAAAGTGGTTTTAAATTATTAATTAAGGCATGAAATTTTAAATTAAATTTTGTTTAGAATTAAAAAAAGAAATAAATTCGAAATCATTCGGCCTTGAACATGAGATAGACACTAATTAATCTGGCAGGGCTTGGATGCAGAAGTGGTTAAGATGAATGTAAAGGACCTCATTTAAGTTTTGCACTTCAGGGAATACACCTCTTCGCCCTTGCTAAATTACAAGGATAATGTTTTGCTTCTCGTCAAGCTTAATTATTATTTTCTAATTTAATTCGTCGAAGAGTTTGATACTTTAATGTCGCCGTCTTTCTCCCCGTTCTGAAGAGGCAATTAAAAATGGATTTTCTCTCAGTGCACCCCCCGTACACGATTTATGGGAATTCTTTTGGGGGCGCTGATAGAATTTTATTGGCGAGTAGAAATTGATAAGCCGACGTTTTTGTTGCACAATAAAAACGAAATTGTGTACATAAATTTTTCATCTTTTATTTACAATGTTTTAACAATGGCTTGGAAATGTGAAGTTATTCGTGTGTAGATGAAAAATACGTTTCAAGAGACAGAAACGTGTAATATTTGGCATGTATTGATGTGGTCCTGTAGAAAGCGGTCGGTTTCGATATTTTTTATTGGCCGGGTGAGAGTGACATAAAAATACCGTGGATTTTCTTTGAAAACCGCGGCGTGTTTCCATCTCCGTTCAGTTCGTCGGGAAAAAGTTTTCCAGCGGCTGTTCGAGAGAGAACCAGAAACAGAGATTGATGCGCCCCCTTGCTCCCATTAACGATCGCACCACCTGTGTCTTCTGTCATAGTCCGCTTTAATAAATAGATTACCCTCAGGAAACAAATGCGAACCCTTTTCCCCAAGTTATTATTTTGCGTAATAATTGTCTTGTTTGTTTGTCGTGCGTTAAAAATAACTTATCCCAAACGAGAAACACGAGTGCGAGAGGTAATCCAGCTCTAGCTGAGGATTAAGTCGCTGGGGTGCACGTAATTTACTTCCCTCCAGTCGAAATACACAATTCGCGCATGTACCGAAATTCCCGATTGTTTATCAGTTCTTCCACCGGGAAAGAAGTTCACAGGAAGGGGGTTTTACAATTTCTGGTTAAGAAACGTGAATATTCTTGAATGTTTTCACGCTCCATAAAATACCGCGTAGTCTAAGGGTAGGTAAATGATCCGAAAAAGGACTTGCCAACTCTTGTATTTTATTTAAAGACTCGCATAAATGTAAATATTTCGATATTTTCGCACTACGAAATTATTTAGAAATAGTTAATAAACTTTAGGGTGCACAGAAGAAAACACAAAACATTTTTTTTCACTACTAGCGTCTCATGACATGATTATTAACCTTTTTTCCACTTGTAAAGTAGACTTTCTCGGCAGTTGTTCAAAGTGGTTAATAATGTGGACATTATTAACTAGTAGTCAATAATGAGAACTGTCACGCTGTCACTTTTAGAAAACACAACCCGAAATTTCGATCAATAAACGTTTAGACAAGTCTCTAAAATGAATAATTGCCACCATCCGCCATTTCCAGAGAAATTACATACCTAAAGTTATCACATTTTGAAAAAATTCGAACGAAATTACTCTTTGAAAATATCTCAATGACAGAACAAAATACGGCCTGTTTGACTTGTACTTCCACGTACTTGATTGACATGTTAAATTAATAAACAAAAAATTCTGACCAACCGTTCACTTTCTTATCAATATAATATGTTAATTTAGAGGATTTCAAGTGCTAGTAGTGAAAAAAATAGTATATATACCACGGTAGAGAAGTCTATTATTGCCTTCGCACCTTACACCCCTCGGCGCAAGCGCCTCGAGATGTAATCTTGGTGCTCAGGCAATAATACTGGACTTCTCTACCTTGATATATAATGTACTATTGTTACTAGGAAACCAAGTACTATAATAAGTTATCCAGTTCCATTAGATACATTTAGTAGTAGGTAGACACTATAAAACCATAATAAAACGGCCGCGTTTTAAAAGCAAAGATACCATTATCACCTGGAGAGAGAATCTTATTCTATTAATACTAATTATATACATGTTCAAGTTTTGAATGATCTAACACTCCCAAATCCAGTAAATCCAAAAATCATGAAGATTTTCTGTAACTCTTTACATTTCTTGAGATCTCATTTTTCTCGACTCTCTCGGCTTAGTATGCATAAACAATATGTTGCTAAACATAACAAATGAAATAATGGATAAGATCCGTGCATTTAGATTCGTTCCTGTTTCTTGTATCATTTGTTGCTTCGATAGTTTCCGCCAAATTCAATATGATTTATACCATAATTGAATGTGAATCAATCAGAATCCATGCATCAGCCAAATATGCTGACCGTGTGCAATCTTTCAACAGATTGTTATTTGAAATCATCAACAAAATATATCCACTCTACAGTTTGAGGACCTACTCTGGGTCCAGGGGCGGACTGGCCCGGGGGGGCGGATGGCGATTGCCACCTGGCCTGTACGTCATAATGGCCCGTTGGAAATTTATAAGTATGTGCTGTATTTAGTTTCTTGCACTATTAATAAATTATTAACACGTTTTTCTAATTGGGGTTGATGTTAGGTTGTTAAACAATTAAAAAATTCTGTTTTAATTGAAGTGTTTTACAATTAATTTATCATTTTTTGTCGTAGGATGAAAGTGCTGAAATACCCCCCCCCCGCCACCTTCATTACTACACTAATACTTTAATGGCCCGTAACCTATGCAATTCCACCTGGCCCCTGACTAGAAACAATTCGTACTTTTTCGATCAGACTTCTCAATCAAAAGTTATGGACTAAAAACCAATTTCGAAAGAAAATTCAAAGGGCTGTAACTTTTGAACTAGTAGCCCAATCTTGGAACTGTTTGAAATTATGGATTCTACAGCTCACATTCTATAAGAAAATTTTTTTTTCGGGTCGTTCTGAGACAATTTTTTTGCGGGCCTCAAAAAAAAGGCAGTGTATAACCTTCCTTTTTTACCAAAAATTGACTGCACCAAAATTTCTCGGGAAAACACTTTTTCGTATTAATTTTGGTGCGTAGAATCCAAAACAATTCATACTTTTCCGATCAGACTTCTCAATCAAAAGTTATGTGACTAGAAACCAATTTCGAAAGAAAATTCAAAGGGCTGTAACTTTTGAACTAGTAGCCCAATCTTGGAACCTATGCAATTCCACCTGGCCCGTAAGTACCCAGTCCGCCCCTGTCTGGGTCCATAATGCAAGAGGTTTATTAATAAACTTGAGGACGCACAGTTGACAAATATATACATTTGGGCAGAAATGATCATGACTCTAATAAAAGTTTCTTTTCAGATTGCTTGCACCTACAACTATATCGTGACTCGAAGGATCGCTACAAGCAAGGACACACGAAGGCCTCGCTTTCCTTAGAACACTTTCTTGGGTTGGAAACAGGATTTACCTTAGATAAAGAATCTAACACTGTGGCTATTTTATGTCAAGATGTTGTCGTAGTGCTCGCGTTTGATAGTCGCGAAAGGTTAATGCAATGGCAGGTTAAACTGAGCACTCACCTCGGAGATGGTGCCCATTTTTTGGTGCTTCTATCATCGGCACCGCAGAAAGCTCGCCTTCCGCCAGGACCGGCCCGTTTGCACGTGCAAGAGTTTGGATTTTGTCTCAGCACCGGCGTACCTCCACGAGTTGCGGGCCACTGGATGATTTCTCATTTACGGCGCTATGGCGTCGTGGAAGGTCGGTTTTGTTTCGAAGGAGGCTCGCGATGCGGTCTCGGTGAAGGGCTCTACGTGCTTCTCACCGATCAAGGCGAAGAAATCACAAACACTTTGAAGTTGGCAGCACAAGGACAGTTGTTTTGCAACCGTAGGCGCCCAGTTTCACGCAACATGTCCGGTAAGTCACCTATAATCAATCACCACCCGTGATAATGTAGTCTTTTTCAGTTATGGACAGTCCTCGCCGGACCGCTTCGCGCGTGGATTCCCGCAAGCAGGAGTTGATCGATTCACTTCGTGCACGTCCTGATTCCCCCTACACAGATTTGGAGAGCAACTACGGTTGCGGTGATGTATCTTCGGATACTTGGAACGTTCCGCCCATTGAAAGATGTATGAGTTGTATTAGTAAACTAGGAGCATTATCGAGATCTTCCACTACGGCGACCACCCCAGGGGTGCCTTGCTGGGAACACTCCTGCGACCGCCACTCGCTCAGCAGCGGCTCTGACTGCAGCGGCTGGAGCCAGGCTGTAACCAAACCACCTGCCCGGCCTCCCAAACCGAACTCCCTATCGCCTCAGAAAAAATTACCATCGCCCCCATCCTATGATAATTACGACATACCTCGTATTCCTCTACCAGTTGAACCAAAGATCGACGAGCACTATGATACACCACGAAAAATCAAGGAGTGTCTCACTGAAGCGGTGCGAAAACCGTGCGGATGCATCTTACGCGTCCGCCAACCAGAGCAAGAGCGCCCATGCGTTTGTCAACGTTTGCTCTCATGCTGGAATGGGCAAGAAGACGTCCAGGCGCTTTACGCAACCGTAGATATGTCGAAGAAGTGCTCGCGGACGCACAACTACGCTAATTTCCAACCGAACGCGCCTCCCAACTATGCAAACATGGATTTCGCTCAATCTCTAGAACTATACGAAAATGCCAAGCAAGTAGCCCAAAACGCGGGGCTGTGTAATAAATGTGGCCATCCCCAAAGCGACTATTTAATGATGGAGCCGGCTCGTAAGAGCCAGCCTCCTCCCGGTTACCTACCAATGTCCCCGGCGATCAAGCAGCGCCTGACTCGCGTGCTTTCCTCGAGCAATCCGAACCTGGCGCCGTCGATCGACCGATCGGTGAAACCGTCGGGCTCGGCGATGCTGCAGGCGAACGTCTATCAACGAAAGCAGCTGCTCGACTCGACCGACAACCTCGAACAGCGCCGCAGACGTTCGAATTCCGCCGATTCTAGTCGTTGCGAAGACACCGAGGCGTGTCAATGCAACTGTACCCAAAGCGTGGTACGCCGTTCCTCATCCGTTCCTTGTAAGTCGAACCGCGACTCGTCCAGCTCCAACGACTCCGGTGTCTTCGAGTTACCGCGCCGCATCGCGTCCGGCATCGCGACGCTACCTCGCCGCTCCAAATCCTCCGATCCTCTACGCGACCTCAGCTTTCAATTCCAAAAGGTCGACGGAAAATCCGCGAGCGCCGAAGCCGAAGTACCCGTCTGTCCGTCTGAGTCTACCAGTAGTGCAACCTCCGATATGTCCGATTACATTGAGACGTTATCACTGTCCTCGCATAGTTCTAACGAAGCTCCGCCGCCTAGTTGTACATTACGGCCTAGATCTGGCAACGAATATTTGACTTTACAAAGACTTATAGCTCCGGTTCCAGAGGAACTTCATAACTAGTCTCGTAACACTAAGCAATACTATGGTATACTATTGTAATCATTTTAGCGTATTTACTTAACATGGAGGTTCTGTATAAAACAACGACTTTATTAAACAAATTATTAAATTTATTATGTGGTATTTTAACACCAGAGAGGTGTGTGTATAAATAAATGCATGTACAGATTTTTTGAATTGTTTTTTTTTACAAATATAGCCATTGGGGATGATCACAACGAAGGATAATCGATTTATTAGTTTTTGTCAAATAAAAGGCGCTATTATGGGCACTTTCTCCGTTAGTCCGTCCGAGGCCGCATGTACTACAGTTTTGAAGATATTTACCTACTTCGCAATGCCAACTTTCTTATTTATGGAAACATTTTTTTGAAATTTAACCATTAGTACCATGAATACTTCGACATGGTAAAGAAAAACATAGGTATGACGCATGGGAAATGCGCTAATGTTACACCTTTTTTCATTTTTTTCAGTTGTTTGCGGGCTCTTCAGAACTTAACATATTGGCCTGAACTTTTCAATGCGTGAATTGCTCACAAATTAAGAAATTTGTCCTTTATAAATACCTAAAGCTGGTTTAGTATTTTAACAAAATCGTACGGCGCATTAAATTCAATACCGCTTCCCATTTTATCCACTCAACATCCCAAAAAAAACCCGCCCTGTATTAAAAAATCATGTAAACCAAAGACTTTTTTTAAATGGTAAAGGTTTACATGCACAAATTGACAGGTAAATAATATTCACAGTGATCAATTAAGGTACTTCGGAGGTAATTGCGCTGTCAAAAATCGGTTTTACCATGTTCCAAAGTTGAGCCAGCGCTTCTATTCTATTCTATTCGCAGGGGAGCCCGACCGGGCAGCACTTAGGCACACCAGAGGCCCATTGTGTGAGCCAGCGCTTACAATTTATGATGTCTTTTCAAGGCTCATTTTAGTTCTGAAAAGAGCCGTCATTATCATACATTGGTACATGCCATGACGTTTACAATTCATCCCCTTCAATTTTACGAAATTAACTTGCTAGCCAAAAAGCCTAATCATTTACTCGTAAACCTAATAAATATTTCTTTGCATAGCCGCACACATTAGAACTTACAGTGTTGTTTCTAGCAAATGTGACCAGCATTTCAATACTAGTCCATAATTTATTACGAAATCTTACTGTTTGTAACTATAAAGATCAAATTGTCTTGGATGAATACTTTAGACATTGAATGCTTTAGAACTTCCTAGACATAAATATAGGTACCTAAAGGGGAAATAACATGGCGCGAATATTCTAGTGACGAAAATTTGCCCCTAGTTGGTGCTCCTATTCCCTTATGTTGTACGTTTTATATAAAATAAAAATTGCTTGTTGCATCTTGTACCCCCAATTTTCGCGAGCCGTTAATTAAAAAAAAATTACAATGTTCTTTTACTTGAAATCTCTTCAAATCTGTGCCTGCTTTCTGCTGATTTGTAGACTTACTTCACAGATTTGTCACCCATTCTTGGGAAGAATATCACTTCTTACAAGTTGCGCATGATGGGGGGCAAGTGACTTCTGCGCACACCTACAAGTTTTACATGTCTCTCAGTGTGAAAATTAAAATTTTTGGTTTTATAGGGGACATAATAGCCAAACTTTAAATGCCGGTCTTGCTGTTTCTACGGGATCCATGGATATACCTGCCTAGGTACTTTCCACAGGAGAGTGCCGTCTTTGTGTGTTTAAGCACCATCGCTAACTGTTTTGAGTGAAATGGTGCGCATTCAAAATAATTTCAAATCAGAATTGCTGTAAATCCTTGGTAAGTATAACGAGAATTAGTGAAGCATCTGCAAAATGTACTTCAATTTCAGTGGTTTTGATGGTCAGTGCATTTAAATTCCCCGTGTAGGGTCGGGTAGTAGAATAGCTCTAACGCAGTAACACTGCGTGTCGTAATAGGCGACTAATCAATAATTCAACCATCCACAATGTTCAAGGATTTTGAGGAAGAAAATAGGTTATTGTTATGTTATGTATGTTGCTATAGAACGGTTGGTGGTTTTGAGATGTAGTACGTTGTACCTACGCTAATAAATCATTTCGGAACAAACGTCAAAGTCCCTTATTAAATTTGACCTTTTCTTAGTAAGGTATAGGTTTAGGCAATAATGTGTATCTACTTGGTCTGTGTTTTATGCCTGTATATGCGTATTGGTGTATGTCTTTACATTGCAGGTACACTATAATGGTTTCTGTAGTCATGGATTACGGAACCTTTTGGAAAATATTCAAGACACGTTTTTTAAATTTTAAGTTATAGCCCAAAATCCAACCTACTGACAGAACTGGAACTTGCTGGTATTGAAATTAAATTCAAACCATACATATCAAACTGAATCGGAAAGAGAAAATTGAATTTCCTTTGAGGATGGAAAGATAAAGGACAAGGATGATTTTATTCTTCTCATAATTTCCTCTATTTTGTAATTTTTATGGCATTTGTTTTGCAGTAACTTAAGTACGTACCTACCTACCTATAATTTCTTTTATAATTGTAGATTCGATAAATGTACCTATATGCACGCTAGATATCAAACTGTAACTGAAGAAGAATAGGCAAAATTGGATTTCTTGGTACAAAAAAATCCTTGTAATTACAGGTTCGAAATTTACGTATGCTAGATATCAAATTGAAGATGCACGCAACTGAGGAAGAATCGATGAGGAAAGTTACAACACTTCTTTTCATATATGATATAAATAATTAAAAACGGGATGGTGGCTTGCAAAAAATGCAAAGTTTCTGAATCTTTAGTAATGTTCTGTGATGCTTAGTTAGTACTACTATGCCCCATTTTTTCAACAAAATTTCGCTGTTCTAACTTTAGGGAGAAAAAGGCTTAAAAATAATGTCTTCTGTTGAGTAACAATTTTGCATTCTTAACTTGGTATATGTCAATAACAAAACTATCAATGGGTGAACATATTTTTTATAAGAAAAAGCATATTAATTTCGAAATTCGAAGTTTCGGCTTTAAACCATTCTTTCAGGAGCAAACACACTTTTTAATCCTTTGTTACAAAACAAGTCAGGTGTGTAGCAAAGGGTTAATTTTTCGTTTAGTTTATAGTTAGAGACTTAATGATAATTTACACTACTTTAGCGAAGGGTGTTGAGCACAACAGCGTGGTTATAAGGGGCGAGGATGTAGATCTTACATTAAGAGCCCTAGCCTTAGATTCCCACAAAAATGTCTATTGACAGTAGGATAAGAAATGCCCCTTTAAAGCTAGATTCCACGGCTACTAGGTATATTTATTAACGATCCTCGAGATCGTTCATAATTTTGTTCTGTCTGTCCGGGTGCACAATAACTTCTTTTTAGAAACGTCCGATCACTTTGGAAATTGTAACACAATTACTGTTTTTAAGGATATAATAAGGAAGGTGCTACATAGTTGTAAAAATGATGGATTTGTGAAGATGTCGAGGATCGTTCGGTACATATTCAGTTGCACCGGATTTTTCATGCAGTGGGTGGGTGTCACACCCCCTCAAATCCTTATGGACAAGAAAAGAAGAAGATGTGTACGTTATTTGAGAAAAACTAGTCCCTACAACACGTACCCATTTTCAGCAATTCAAAAGACCAAATTACCGAGGCAGGTGAAAAGCTGCTCGTGCCGCTATATGGGGGAAATATGGTTACAGATTCTCTAGATTCATTAAGACCCCAACTGATTTCGGTGGCCAAACTCAAATTCCAGTTGGCTAGACTACCGCCTACTAAAGATGCAGCCGGTATCAGGTGTTTCGAACGTATTTTAGTCTAGACGTTGATGAACAATTACTTAGTACCGACGGTTTGGGGTGGGTCAGCGAAGAATAACGGAATTGTTCCTAAAAAGAGACAAAACAATGCAGCTCCTAGTACGCCTGCGGCTGCAAAAAAACAGGGCTAATGTGCTGTACCTTTTGCTCAAGATATGCCTGTTGGAAAGCTCTAGAAACAGATCTTCATGAGGATGATTGAAGGAGAACGAGAAGGAAAGGATTTTCGGGATGCACTGCAGCTGGAAGACAACTAAGACATACTATACAAAGGCAAATTCCCAAAATTGTAAATAAATTTCCTCGATGAATTGCCTTCTTTGGCTCTTTAACATATTTAATGGAAGCAGGAGGCTATAACAGTATATAAAATTATAAATATGTATACCTATAGATGTGCTTCGTGTATATAAATTAATGAAAAGCTATCTGTACGTATAACTGTGCATTATTTTTATATCGCACGGTCGATTAGTCGAATTAATTGCTGTGGATATTTATTTACTTTTACTCCGCTTAGAGCTCAGACAAAGTACTTTTTTAGTCGATTGCCGGAAAAATATACCCAAGAATTCATATTGATTTTCCCAATTGTTGCAATATACTTACCTATACTTACTATTTCCTCGACAATATACAACGCTGTCCACCACATCCCATATTTTCGGCCATATTTGGTGGGGAAAAGGCCTCGACTTACAATCACTATCGTCGTCCAGGGATATTCAAAGTTTCCTACTTGTCATATACCACCAAAAAAGATAATTTCTTTTAATAGAAGCAAAGAGTATTATAGTTACTCTTTGATAGAAATAAATTTTACGCACTTACTTTAATTTTTATAAGAGTACAATTTTGGGTCGGGTTCACTGCTATCGCGCTAGAAGCAAAAATATTAAAAAAATCCAAACATTTCGAGGTTTTTTTGCGCCCCCTAAGATTAGCACTAGAAACCAATTTCGAAAGAAAATTCAAAGGGCTGTAACTTTTGAACTAGTAGTCCAATCTTGGAACTGTTTGAAATTATGGATTCTACACTCTACAGGCCACATTCTATAAGAAATTTTTTTTCCGGGTCGATCTGAGACAATTTTTTCTTCGGGCCTCAAAAAATGGCAGTGTATAACCTTCCTTTTTTTACCAAAAATCGACTACACCAAAATTTCTCGGGAAACCACTTTTTTTATTAATTTTGGTGCGTAGAATCCAAAACAATTCGTACTTTTTCGATTAGCTTTCTCAATCAAAAGTTATGGACTAGAAACCAATTTCGAAAAAAAATTCAAAAGGCTGTAACTTTTGAACTAGTAGCCCAATCACGGAATTGCTTGAAATTATGGATTCTACAGGCCACATTCTATAAGAAAATTTTTTTCCGGGTCGATCTGAGACAATTTTTTTTACGGGCCTCAAAAAAGGCAGTGTATAACCTTCCTTTTTTACCAAAAATCGACTACACCAAAATTTCTCGGGAAAACACTTTTTCTTATTAATTTTGGTGCGTAGAATCCAAAACAATTCGTACTTTTTCGATTAGACTTCTCAATCAAAAGTTATGGACTAGCATTAGCACAAAGAAATTTTGTTGGAAAAATGGGGCGTAGTACTACCAAAGAGTAACACTACAATACTAAACATCACCGAACAACATACTTAAGTTTCAGAAATGTTGCATTTTTTGCAAGCTCCAGCCCCCATACCGACTAGACTAATAGGACTAGGAATAGGATTCGATATTTACACGCAGGGAGGATAACAAACTGCAAGAGTTGCGACCTCTTGCAGTTTGTTATCCTCTCTGCGTGTAAATATCGAATCCTATTCCTAGTCCTATTAGTCTAGTCGGTATGGGGGTTGGAGCTTGTATGCAGGGAGGTGTTTAGAAAAATTCCTAGGAAGATTTACGAAAATTGTAAAAAATTTGTTAAAGGGATTTGAACATTTGATTGCTAATGTTTCCTGAAAGCCAAACAAACCGTTCTAATCTTCCCCGTGTAGGGTCGGGTAGTAGAATAACCCTACCGCAGAGACACTGCGTGTCGTAAAAGGCGACTAGTCAACAGAGCAGTAGCAAATCTTTTGCTCCCAGTAGGCACTTTGGAATAATTTGATGTTCCAAAGGATTAAGGAAGTGTCATAAGCTACCATTTACCACAATAAAACAGTTTGAAACAATAACCTTTTTATTTCTCTTAATATGGCCTGTTAGATGTATGTAGGAGTACCGTTGGATTAAGTACAATGCGCATTCATTGTACTTGTTCTGTGGCCTTTGCATCTGCATCTTTTACTTTTCATTTTAATGTTTTCTGTATCTCTGTAGTCTGTATGTCCTTTTAAAATATGCACAAGTTACAAATTTCGTGGTCTCAGGACATGTGGATAACACCAACCAAAAACATTTTTTCTCACTAAAAAAATTTATGTTTATGTATGATTTATAGTAAAAGGAAGAACTGCAATTACAATAAACCAGGCAATGTCAATTGCAATGAAAAGCATTATAGCTGTCGTAATACTTTCGCCAACATCGTTTTATCTACTTCTTAACTAAACATTTAAACAATATGTAGTTACTTTCAGAATCGGAAAAGCAAATAATACTTAATTTAACTAAAAATTTCTAATACGAACATTTACTCGCAAAGAAAATATTAATTAAACTTAATAGCGCAATTTTAACTAAAATTGTTCATCCCCATCTTCAGCACACCCGTTTATGGTAAACATTTCATTAAAATTTCACTTTCTTTGCGTCTCCATAAAAGATGATAATTAAAGTAAATTGCTTTGCAGTGATATGCTTATTTATAGCATGTATCTTTAATCACAGGTACTTACACTCCACTTGGCCGAATAATAATAAAGCAAAAAAAGCGGTAATTTCTCAAAAATTGCTTTATTCGTATGTTTTAAGCTAGCGATCGAAAACGAAAACGTTGATTAAGGAGTAACCACTTTCTCGTAGCGCTACCTAATATATTATAAGGAATGGAATGTCTTACACGCGAGAAACGATCAGAATATGTTAATCGAGCTTAAATATCAAACTCTTATATCCTTACACTTGTTTATAAAAATGCTAAAACGCATTGGACTAGAATTGTAGAAACGAAAATTTTTGTATGACTAGCACTGTAATTCCAAAAGTTAGTTACTGGTAATCAACCCCGTAGTGGTTGGCCACTTGTTTAATCCACGAAACATAGTTGGAAATTCGGGTGTAGACTCCTGGACGATCTCGCTTGGCGCATCCGTCGCCCCAAGAAACAAGGCCCGTAAGTTCCATTCTTCCGTTCATTTCACAAACCAGCGGCCCGCCTGAGTCTCCTCCACAAGCGTCAACACCCCCATTCAATCTTCCGGCGCACACCATAGAATCTAAGATGGGCTGCTGTCGTCCTCCATAAATACCATCCTTTCTACACGTATCCAGTGACAGTAGTGGTACAACGGCAGCACGTAAGCTTGGGGAAATTTGATCTGGATACGAAGGATCTGTTGCTCCCCAACCTGATACTTCACACCACGTGCCCGGTGGAGGTGATCGCAGCGAAAGACAAGCGGGACGGGAAAGTGGGCCAATTTGTATTCCGGGTTCCGATAGCACCAGCAAAGCAATATCGTTGCTATACGGACCAAATTTTCGAAATTCGGGATGCGGTACGGCACGTTCCACCCTAACCGACTGTTCAGCAGACGATCTTCCTGGCATCGATAACGATCCGGTTACCGCAATCAGCCCATCAGTCCAACAGTGCGCGACTGTCAGAACCAATCGACTACTTAAAAGCGCACCCCCGCACTGGTGTTCTCCACCACGTCTTAGCTGCACCTGCCAAGGAATCGCACCGTATGGAGGCACCTGACCTCCAACAACCCGTGCCAACCTTTCCGGGGCCCATGGTACCGCTCGGACGCCGCAAGTTTCGATCGGAAATTTTGGAAAGCCGCCGCTTCTGGCCTGAAGCGGTAAAGAAGCATCATTTAAACAACAACAGAATAGGAGGTACAACGCGAAATGCAGCATCGCGAATTTACAAGGCGCTCCAGGTGAGCCCGCTCTTATATGTGCACCCACTACCGAAATTCGACCCGGAATTTTTACTTGTTTACGTTTAACGAGACGATAAATGTAACGATCGGCTTGTAATTGCAAACTAAATTACCTCGAGTTTAAACAAAATCATCCTCGTGCGGGTATGTTCCAGTTTTTCTACATGCACCTAGTTTGATAATAGATTGCGTCAGAAATTGCGCATCGGCCCCAATTGACCATATTACCTTGGCCCCCTAATTCGAACATAAAACATATCATCTCACTTTCTTCCACAACAACCGCAGCCTACATTTCTGGAAAGAAGAACAATCATTGAAAGTAACGCGAAAGTGGTCAAAACTGTTACTTATGTAACAATTTTGAACACTTTCGTTTTTTTGTAATTACCCGCCCCCGCATCGTTTCTAAACCAACGGTTAAATAATCTCAGCTGCAAATATTCAAGATCGCCCAAACATGTAACAAATCGATAAGGGCGGAAAGTTTCGAAATAATTAAATTTTCGAGTCGCGTTTCCTTTGTTGTGTGGTTGTTTTGCCTTTCATCCTTTACGTGTTAGTAGGTCGTGTACAAAGTATAAAGGGCGATCGCCACCATAAATTGATTAGCCAGCAGAAGCTTTTTTTTCTTGTTTCATCCTTAAATTAGACGCAGTTTCACCACAGCGATTATTGTTAATTGATTTTACCTACTCCAAATAAAATAGTCGCCTAGATATTGGATTACGCAATCGAGGCACTTTTTCCAGTAAATCATTAAACGGATGGTTTTTGTATTGAAATGTGTTCCAGTTTTAAGAGAAGGAATTTTCGCCCAGAAGTCCTCAGTAATTTTCATTAAATTTATAAATCAATCAAAAATAGCCCGTTTACAAAATGAACCCTTCATGATACGTTATAGACTGGTTCACTTTGCGAAGATTCTCTGTCCTAGGGGCATTTCAGACAACATTTGGCCAAATAGGCTTTTTTTACTAATTGGTACCTGCTGAACACGAATATCGATGTTGGCACCTCGAAATCTGAACAGGAAGTCCAGAATTCAAGATGGCGGCCAATTTTCGAAAATGTTTATCTTTTCGCTCATGCGACCGATTTTTGCGATCTAAAAACGAATTATAATGGTATTCCTGACGTACCTACGTCACGATAATAATAGTTAATTATTAACAATAATGTAGTAGTTTTTTTAGCGGCAGGAATGCGTAAAATCTTTGAATATAAAGTTAGGTTTATATTCAAAGGTAAAATTAAGAATTACGAAATTCCTAGCTCCCCTTGCCAAAAGGAGGACTTGCAAAACGATTGTTTCTAGTAATCCTGACATATATAAGTATTCCCGCCATGCGTTTATATTGCATAATTCTCCTTGTAAAGTTTTGATAACTACAATCTTTCGAATTTTACGTTAATTTTTATATGAAAAAAATGAAGGAGTTCAACTAAACTGCGGTGTTTCGGAAGATTCTTATTTTGCTAGGTATTAATTACCGCTACTGGGGATATATTATTATTATTAAAGTATGAAAGCATATAGAAAAGTGAATACAAAATTATGAACACCTTATTCTCATGGTGTTAGGTCAATCGACTTCTTGAGAATTAGGTAGTACAAATCAATTGAACCTTGCGACATTTTAACAAAGTTTTGACGAGCAATCCTATTTACAACGACAAAGGACGATATCTAGAGCAGTCTTTGGAATTAATCTAACGTTGTAAGAATGGGAATATACCATTTTCAATTCTTTCCCCAGAAAATCAAGGATAGATATGCTAGTCTGAGCGACATTTCAGAGTTTAAGATCAAAGAAGTACCTCTTGAGATTTACACCTGATATGCCGTAATTATGGAAATGGATGCGAAATGCTAGAGAAGGTTAGACGGAATCCCAAGAGAATGGAGTACAGAATTGTTAGATCTAAAGCTTCGCAGCTCCTGAAACCTGGCAATGCTTCTTCACTCTGGGAAGTCCTACTTGGTTAACCGAGATGGGGCCAGACACGTGGGGATTCTCTCAAACGGACGTCTGGTAGCGACTTCTCCCTACCGAACTAAGCGTGACGCGCACCGTCGGTGGAAACTATGGTATCAGCTACCTAAAGGGAAGAAAAGACGCCACCTAAAATATGCGAGTCAAGCCGATACCCCTGAACAAGTGAAGTTTCATGTACCTAGTTATGATATCCAACCTTTTATAGTTTTGCAAAAGATATATCTTCTCGCTGAGGGGATGATGCCCAGCGTGAACAGTAAAAAGAGCACTTTTGAAACACTCCCTGGTTCACATCCGGGTTCGGATATAGATATTTGTAAATGTCTAGTGGGTTGGGTTGGTAGACCAGCCTTGTCTGAAACTCCCCTGCTTAAAAGAAAGGTCAAAAATAAATAAATAAACAAAAATAAATGCATCCAAGCGTGGAAATTGACAACAGCAATGACGTGACATCACTATTCCTGTGATAGCGTAAAAGGATAGGATATTCGTTACTTACTCCCTTTGGCTAGTTCCTCTGCACATAATTATGGATAGGAACAAAGACTATCTTTCTTGAAGTACCGGTCAGCAACCAAACTTAGTTTGCCAGTATTTTCTCGAAGTGATGAAGAAGCAACAGAAATACATCTGTATCTGTATAGCGTTATCCTATAGTATCCGCTTCCGCTTCTAAGGAGGAAATCTGTGTCGTCTGACGGTTACAGAAAACTTTCCTTTCATCACTGAAGCCTCCAGCAATCACCAGTACGCCGTCAAATGAGGCCTCTTCAAGGTGATGCGACAAGAACTCGATCAGATTTCTTTTGTTTTCCTCCAATGAAAGGAAATTCTTCCAAATGTGAGGTAATGGAACATCGCGGATATCTATCACACGACGCACAAGAACCAAAATGCTTGCCAAAACAGAAATAATTTAATAATTACATGCTGTGAAGAAATTGAAACAGTAGCCATAGTATTATGAAAAAGGTTTCCACTTTTACACACTTTTACACACTTTGACGTTAGAAAAACTATGGAATCATTGTTTAAACATTTGTTCACTATTATTATCGTGCCGTACCTCCGTCAGGAATAACATTATAATCCGTTTTTAGATCGAAAAAATCGGTCGCATGAGAGAAAAGATCAACATTTTCGGAAATTGGCCGCCATCTTGAATTCTGAACTTCCTGTTCAGATTTCGAGGTGCCAACATCGATATTCGTGTTCAGCAGGTCCAAATTAGTAAAAAACGCCTATTTGGCAAAATGTTGTCTGAAATGCCCCTAGAACTTGTTAAACGACTGCTTTTTATAAAAGTGAACCAGTCTATTACAGATATGGTACCTTTCGTTCGAGAGAGTATTCACAATTTACACAGGTTTCTCTTCAAAGCCTTCACAGCGTCCGGAAAGACTTTCGGGTTTTCAGTGTAGCCAGTGCCTTTTAAATGCCTTATGTGAAATCATTGGGTTATTTAAAGTATTTGAAATAATTCAATGGCCTTTAATTCCAGCGGTAGCCGACAACGTTCTGGAAGGGCGTAGTAATAGGAAGTAGATAACTCTGGAAAACATAAAAGGCCTGTATCCATTTGAATTTCGGAATTCCGGAAAGCTTTATAAATGCGTTAACGTTTTACAAAACACGCGAGGGTGTTTAGGGTGAGAATTTTCTATGCCTCTTCCAGAACTATTAGATTTGTTCTGCTCTTCTTTTTTCATTTTGTTGTCTTAATGGATATTTTTTTACTTAGAGAGAGGCCAAGAAAGCGTATGTACATACAGAAAACATTCAAAATTGTCTACCATTAATTTATTCAAAAATTCAAAAAATGGAGGGAGCACCTCTATTATATTCCACATCATGAACCAGGAAATTATGAAAATCTTCTAAAACGCTGTATTGTGCCAAATTTCCTTAAAGAGCCCAAAATTTCTCTGAAAAGTATAACACCAGTTTTGAATATATTCGAGCGTCACTAATAAATTGCTGCAGCTTTTCAAACTGTTCAAAGATTGCATTTTTAACTAAAAAATTCATAATTTACAAACGACTAGGGGTCGCATTTACGCACACTTGTATAGGGTTGTTGTTAACCCTTTTAGCGTAATTATTTAACAAACAGAAATATTTGATGCGCCTGTAAAAATGACAACCCTTACACTGGACAACTGCCAAGAAAGATTGCATTTTTAACTAAAAAAGTCATAATTTACAAACGACAAGGGGTTGCATTTTTATAAACACTTATATAGGGTTGTTGTTAACCCTTTTAGCGTAATTATTTAACAAACAGAAATATTTGATGCGCTTGTAAAAATGACCACCCTTACACTGGACAACTGCCAAGAAAGATTGCATTTTTAAATAAAAAAATTCATAATTTACAAATGACTAGGGGTTGCATTTTTATAAACCCTTATATAGGGTTGTTGTTAACCCTTTTAACGTAATTATTTAACAAACAGAAATATTAGATCTGCCTGTAAAAATGACAACCCTTACAATGGACAACTGCCAAGAAAGATTGCATTTTTAACTAAAAAAATCATAATTTACAAACGACTAGGGGTTGCATTTTTATAAACACTTATATAGGGTTATTGTTAACCCTTTTAGCGTAAGGGGGATGCATATGGTTGCTTCAAAGACCTAGGTACCTAGATCAACCAACGCAGTTTTGCATGTTTATAGTTTTGATTTGTCAACTAGAAAGTGAGCAAATTGTGAGGAATTATTCAATCACAATTTGTGTGTAAACAACAATTAAATTGATCACAGATTCAGGTCACGAAATAAATCGGTATTAACCAGTTCTAGAACGCACATCTTTAAACAATGTTAATTACCATCTGACACAGTTATTTTACGTAGGTAGGTAGGTACATAGTTGATTTGGGAAATTTAGCATGATGCAATTGGGGGCCATTACATTACAAAGTGTATGAATGTAATATTAATTGTAATTACCGCACGTTAGATGAATTATGTGAACACCTCCATTCATCAAAACATGTATAACCTTCCATTTTTACCAAAATTCGACTACACCAAAATTTCTCGGGAAAACACTTTTTCTTATTAATTTGGGTGCGTAGAATCCAAATCAATTCGTACTTTTTCGATCAGACTTCTCAATCAAAAGTTACAGACTAGAAACCAATTTCGAAAAAAAATTCAAATGGCTGTAACTTTTGAACTAGTAGCCCAATCTTGGAACTGTTTGAAATTATGGATTCTACAGGCCACATTCTCTAAGAAAATTTTTTTCCGGATCGATGTGAGACAATTTTTTCTTCGGGGCTCAAAAAAAGGCAGTGTATAACCTTCCTTTTTACCAAATTCGACTACACCAAAATTTCTCGGGAAAACACTTTTTCTTATTAATCTGGGTGCGTAGAATCCAAATCAATTGGTACTTTTTCGATCAGACTTCTCAATCAAAGGTTATAGACTAGAAACAAATTTCGAAAGAAAATTCAAAGGGCTGTAACTTTTGAACTAGTAGCCCAATCTTGGAACTGTTTGAAATTATGGATTCTACAGGCCACATTCTATAAGAAAATTTTTTTTCCGGGTCGATGTGAGACAATTTTTTCTTCGGGGCTCAAAAATAGGCAGTGTATAACCTTCCTATTTTACCAAATTCGACTACACCAAAATTTCTCGGGAAAACACTTGTTCTTATTAATTTGGGTGCGTAGAATTTAAATCAATTCGTACTTTTTCGATCAGACTTCTCAATCAAAAGTTATAGACTAGAAACCAATTTCGAAAAAAAAATTCAAAGGGCTGTAACTTTTGAACTAGTAGCCCAATCTTGGAACTGTTTGAAATTATGGATTCTACAGGCCACATTCTATTAGAAAATTTTTTTTCCGGGTCGACCTGAGACAATTTTTTTGTCGGGGCTCAAAAAGGCGGTGTATGAACATGCTATGGAAAAAGTAGGAAATGAAATCATAATGTTTAAAAACTGCTGCGGTCCGTCTGCCAGACCAAGAGCGCATTGAAAAGGAAAATGGTTTCTGAATGAAGTCATTACAACAAAATGCCTACACAGAGGTTCTATTAAAAAACCGAACGGTCAAGAAGGAACGAAGGTGTCGCTGTCGAATATTCCAAAGACACAGCGTTGCTTCTTGTAAGGAGGCAAAGGGCTCAGCGCAAAGTACACAGATATTGCGTCCAAGAGCCTTTCGTTTTTTTAACGTACGAACAATGAAGGAATGAAAGAAGGATCATGGAGGCCTAAGGAAAGGTTGCGTAAAGACAGTGGTGAAAGAGGAGTAGGTAAAAGAGAGAGCGAAGGGTGCTGCAGGAAAGCTAGGAGAAGAAGGGAAGAAAGATACGAGGATGAAAACAGATAGAAATAGAGTACAGAAGACATACATCGGGTGTAAACAAAGAAAGTGTTCAGGAATAAAAAGTGAAGGAGTCATTACACAGTGTGACTTTAAGAAAGGGGAAAAGTGCTATTAATTATACGCAACGCAAAGGAAGATGCAAGAGGAGGAGAGATAGATGAAATCTTGAATGATGCGAATTTAAACACACGCATTTATGTAATTATATCTACCTAAAGGCAAATGCATTCACGAACAGAATTTGAATAAATTCGACTCAATACACTTATTGTGTTTATATCGCTACGCTGTATTTTAATATTCGCTTGCTGAACACAGAATAAGTACTTTTATTCTATCGGAACACGTGCTCGAATGTTATTCCTATTCAAAAGTTTAATAGATCTTTTTTTATTTTTTGTCAAAGCCCAGAGCAAGCTTTCTTGCAAAGGACTAATTTGAGAGTACTTATCAGTCGTAAGTTTTTGTTTGTTAAACTCAAAAGGGAAAGAGCCTAGAAGCACTTGCTGCACTCGCACTGTTTTATGTATAGGTTGTTTCCTCTCATCTAAATTTAACGCGAGGTATAAATAGCCTTTTGCAACAATGCCATGTCATGGGAAACAAACATTTTGCTGGCAGCGTTTTGTTTTGTCCATTTTGCATTATGCATTTGGTAAAATATCCCCTTGGCAACGCAACGTCTATGTATTGGAAAAATAAAAAGCGCACGCCTATGGCAACTACAATTTTCAAATTACGTTGCCTAGCAACCATGTGCAGTAGCGACACCTCCCGCCATAACGATCTTCTACAAATATCAATATTTTTGTATTATTTAATTAAACGAAAAACTGGGAAAAGAAAGCAAAGAAAATAATGGAAACGACCTCTGGTACAAACTTTTGGTGGTTAAAGACCAATAAAACGTTAGTCGAAAAAGTAGACGATGTCAGACCGAAGATAACCTCAAATTCCAAACCCACAGAGGAACCTTCAACGGTTTCGAGCTCTTTGAGGGAGTTTCTCGAACGCGAGCGTGCCTTAGAAAGTCCCGACACCGATATCGGAAGCATTATCGAGGAAATTAACAAGTTGGCAGCCGAAAGTCCTTTGGGGCCTTACGAGAGAGACATGGGCGATCGTAGCTTCGAGGAAATCATGAAGGAGGCCGAAAAGATCTACATGGAAAGTTCGAAGAGTTTCGAACAGCTCAGCGCGAGATCGAGAACTTCTGCCAATCTATCGGTGAGCTTTGACGAGACACCCAAATCCACACCGACTCCCAAAAGTGCCAGCCCACTGCCCTTAGATTTCGAGGGAGACAATCGCGAACCGGATGAGTACAGTGACGATTTCGAAGAAAAGAGCGAAGTAAACACACCTAGCGCTATACGAAACGTTGTTGAAGCTGTCCAAAGTGAGACTAATGAAACTGTAGCAGTTGATGCAAGTGATAACGAACGAACTTTATTCGACAATAATGAAACTGTTAGAAGACTAGAAGCTCAAAATCTACAATTATTAGAAAGTATAGACGCCTTGAAAGTAAGTTTTGCACATTTTTTCTTTTTTGTAAGCTAATTATTTGAATATTTTCAAATTTATCATAATTGTAGATGGAAAATTGATAGCTGGTGCAAAATATTGATGATTGATGTACCTACCCTACAAGGGCGTACTGAAAGTTTTTGAGAAGTACAATTTTTCGAATCCTTGAATAGGTACAATTGCGACCGGAAAAACTTCTTTGGAGTTGAAAGGGTTAATTGCCCCTCTTCTCAAGTACGTCTGTCTCATTTTCTTTAAATTACAGGTAAATTGAGTTTTTCTCGAGGTTTCTCTAGGAGTTCAACTTTTGCTGCCACTCTTGCCATAAGGATAGGTGTATCAGCCTCTTCCTCACAGTGGATGAGTGCTGTCAGGCTATTTCTGCATGACTGTTCCAGGCATAGGGAGAGAGATTCGCTCGATTTTATTTGCTTTTCTAGTAAATCCAAAATTCTTTGCTGTCATTAACGAAACATTTTTTTGTGTGCAATGGAAGCTCTTCTGATTCCATTACACTGATTTTCTACTCTCATAGCATGGGAAAATGATACCATAAATTGCACTTGCCACACGGTTACAATACTCACTACTTTGTAGAATATAATGTTATTCAATAAATTGTTATCTTTTATTTTATTTTATTTTTTTATTGGTTTTATTCACCATTGACTAGGTAGGTAAGTAAGGTTGCGCATGAATCAGATCCACTCTTGTCATAAATCAATACGCTTAATTTGCTTTGTAGCTAATTCCCAGGAGGAGCATTTTCTAAAATTATTAAAAACCTTTTCAAACTATTAAGATGTCTTTAGAAATAGTTCTCATTTCCACAATGGTTTTAGAAATAAGCTCGGAAGTAACCTTGGAAATAAGTATTTCTTGAGACCTGTCTTCTGGGGAATATTAATGAAGTTTTCCAAGATTTTTTGAGCTTTTGCTTTATATTTTTTCCATAATAATAAAACTATCATTTAAAGGAAACCATTACCATTCGATTTGTTTTGTGGTTCAATGCCGTGCTTGAAATTGACACCCTGTGTAGAAGTTCTGAGAGTTCGCCCCTAGAAGGTCCTTTGAACATCAGAGTAGCAAAGCTAAATTCAGTCCGAAAAATTAAAAAAAAATTAAACTACAGTATTTCAGCCGGTAACAAAAATGAAGAGAACATTTGGTGTGCAGGCTTTGAGCTCGGAAACAAAAAATTGTGGCCCTATCTTTCCTTAGGACTTTCTAATAAACTTCTATTTTTGAGAGACAACATTTAGACAAAAACCAAGACTCGAGTTAACCTGCCTCAGGGTGTTACATAATGAAAGGTCTCAACCAAGCTCTCAACGAAAGGAATTAATTTTTACCAACCATAGTCCTCCTGGACCGCTTATTGTAATTGGATATAATTCCTTATATCTCTAGAATAGATTGTCAGAGGAGAGTACTCACAATGGGCGACTGGGACGTCTGTAAGAAATAAAGTGCGTTCGTCGTTCGAGATAAGAGGCTCACCTCAATATTTTTTAGCGCATTTTTAAGAATTAAAAAAAATGTGCTATTGTTTGCGTCGAGGTTTGCGTTTTGTCCGTTCGGACCCACTTCTGCCATTTCGAAGTAGTTCTAGGGGAATGGTCCTGGAGCCCTGGAATATTTTGCAGTAGGTAGCCTATACCTTTAAGGTGTTCCAGCCGGTCGCTGTCTAAAAGGGGGCCCCCCACGAATTATTATTTCTTGAGATTTTGCATACGCATGCCTTTAGTGCTGCCAAGTTAAACTTTAGCAAATTGGGGGGGGGGGGGGACACGTGTTCTATCCTTCATGGTATTCTAATGAAAGGTCTCATTGAAATCAATTGGTTTGTACAAACTGTAACTTTCTTGTGCGACGCTTTTTCGAGATCGGTGAGCGACGGGGCCTGAGGGGGGGGGGATGTTATATCCGATGTTGATGGACAGGGTCGCTGCGGCCACAATCAGTGCGTTCGCGTACAAATACGTTTGTACTTGTCGCGCAGGGAACCTTCCTCACCTCGTGCCTTCTGTTGATTTCCTTTTCACTTGTTGTTAAGTATAATTTGCTTCTTTTCGACTCACTTTATTTGATCTATTTACATATTAACATTGAATTTATGATAGTTATAAATTCAATGATATTAGTATTGTTTAAGATGTCAAGTGTCTCTTCATTACGGTTCCGAATCCGATTTCGGTTCCGATAAACCAAATTTAAAAACTTCGCTTCCGAATTCGGTTCCGATATAACCATCTTCCGTTACCTCCCTAGTTCTAACGTTTTAGAAGAGAACGTATCATAGGGTTGTCTGGGGGTATTACATATTTCCCATACCCCACGGTGCTATATATGTTATCTCCTAAAAAGTTTAGCTCTTAGAACTGTCGTGAATGGAATGTCTCTCACAGAAAGAAAGTTTGATAGCACTTTCTAGAAAATAGTTACAAGCATGCTGATTGTTGTAAACATTCTGTGGGAGAAAGTATAACATGGGGGAATCTGAAGGGTATGGAATTCCCCCCCCCCCCTCCCAAAAGGAGATTTGATTAGGTACCTTTTCGCGAAAACTATATATACTGTTACAGTAGTCGTGGATAAAACATAATCGATTTCGCATGTCCTTATTTCGGGCAACGGTAATGGAATAAGTATGAAAATAGAGGTCATGAGTGTTCGTTTATCTGCTCTAATAAGAAAGTTACCCATTTAATCCCATCGAAATTGGCCAACACTGTACATCTCTCATCTTTCATTCAATCTTTCAAAAGTACCTTTCGAGCCTTCATTCTCCACTCCCCCTTCACATACGTGCTTCATGTCCTCTTCACGCCTCTTGCTTTAACCTTTGTTCACAGTGTCTTTGCGTATACGTCACACGGTGACGTCACAGCCCCTTTCCCCTTTCTTAAACTTGCACTGCTTAATGCCTCCTCTTTCATTACTTGTTATCCTTGCTTTCTCCCAAAACCCTTCGCGCCCTCTTCTTTAGTTCCACTTCCATGCCTATCTCACGAACCTTCAGATTTCATTCCACCAAACGCCTACGTTCAAGTTCAAGTCCTCAACGAAAGAAGTGAATTTTCTGATTGGACCTCGAATCGCAAAATCAACTTCTCTCGTTGAAGACGTGCTCAAGTTTGTCCTCAGGAAACGTCTGCCTTTCTTTTGAAGTTCTTGCAAAATTAATGTCCGGTGAATTGGTTTTTGGTTCTATATTTCAGTCTCTTCAAAGTACTTCGAATGTTCCTCCATTCCCTTCTTTAAAGATAGGGTGCGTCATTTCTGGGAACCTTGCAATTTTTGGCACTTTTCGATTAGTTTTTAAAGCTATTATTTTATTATTGACGAAAAGAGAAGCAACGCATATTTTGGAAACATTGCTTTCCAAAGAAACGTTTTTGACCCTCTGCTACCCAATTTTTGGATCAAATTATTGTTGGTTAGTATCGCAACGCAACAAGTAGCCTATTATCATTATTCATGGAATGATCATGAATAGCCTTTGAAAAATTATTGTTTGGTAAGTTTACCGGACAAAATGGGCAAAAAACGTAATTGGATTGGAAAACAAAATACAGTTTTTATTAAAATGACGCACAAAATAAATAATTCAAAATCATATCACTACATCGATGTTACTGCTCGAGCAATCACCTTTACAGCGGCCAAAGCTTCGTTGGCCGTTGGAACAATGTACGTTGCAGGTAGTAGAAAACCATAAGTTCCGGTATCGCGTAACTCTATAGTGTAAGTGTATTTGATTCCCGCACCCCCTTTGGCCCAATCATCCGAACCACCGGCGGCCGGGTACAGTGTCGTGGCGGATGTACCTGCTCTATAATTAGACCCAGACGACGATCTCATGGCCTACAACAAACTTTGTTTATCATCGTTTAGATGATACGAGCTCACCTGGGCCATTTTTTGGGCGACATTCTTCAAATCGCTGTGATCAGACGTGTAAACTGAATCGTAGCCCCATGGGAATAAGATGTACTGCCCGTAGGAGTGGAAGGTGATGTACCCCTGCCAGTCTGCCCCCTTCTGGGTGTTGGCGATGTAGTTTTGGATGGCCGAAGTCTCCGGCTCGGAAAACGCGCTGGGGCCGGCGAAAATCTCGTGACAGGGGTAGTGGCTGGCTCCCTTTCCTCCCCAGTGATAGCTAAAAACTGGAGGTGAGCAATTTCACGCGGTTATAGTTCGGGACGTACCCGAAGTTTCGGTTCAAGTCAACTCCGGCACATTGCCCTCGTTTCGACCTATTCTTCCTCCACAATCTGTCGTTGGTGTGGGTGAACTCGTAGCCGTCGGGATTAACGACGGGTAAAATGTGCCAATCGACGCTGTTGATGAGTTTGTCGCTTTCGAAATTGTTGACGATGTTGTCGATGAGGAAGGTGACTGTTGCCGGAGAGATCCACTCGCGCGCGTGGATGCCTCCGTCGATCCAAATCGCCTTGTTACCCGGCCTGCCGTTTGATATCTTGAGCACGCGTAACGGCCGCCGTTCCACGGAGCTTCCAATCGTTTGCACCTTGCAAAGGGACGGGTACGAGGTCGCGAGGTAATCGATGAAGCTGTCGATGTCAGCAAGGCGGTGGTAGGTGGTCCAGGTGAGTCGATGACCTGAAGGCAAGAATCGCGTTAGTCGACTGATTTGGTGGTTATTTTTGTTGTTCTTAGTCACAGTTTGGAACCTGTTTGGCATGCAAGTCCATGAGAAAATTTGAATAAGGTGGGTGTTTCGGAATTCGAAAAAGTGCAAGGTGCTAATTACATACATATCACGTAGTGAACGGACCCCAATTTGCTAGCGGCCACGGCTTCGCACGTTTACCTAACCATACCAGCGCATATCGTAGCGGTAAACGTCGTACTGCAACAGTAGTTGTAGTACTTGTATTACAATGCTCCTATCAGAAGAATAATAGAAATTACCTCTGCGATCTTGCAACTCATCTGTGTCTTCACCGACTGGTGGATTTTCTTCGTCAATGGACTTCTGCACGTTTTCATTCACCACCTCGTACTGGATGCCAATTTTCTTAAATTCTTCGGAAATCTTCCCAATACACTTTTGCTTTATGAAGACATCAAGGTACGTCGCATTTCCATTCCACGTTGAAAGATCTACAAATACGCATAATATAATTCACTTCTCCTCTCATCCTTTCATTACTTACGCCCGTTTTCCTCCAGCTTCTTGATCAGCGCCAATTTCTCGTCGTTATCCACCTCCACCTTCCACAGCTGACTTCCGGAGTACGAAATTCTTCCTTGCTGCAAGTCGCTCGCTTCCGGTTCGTATGGCACATTTTTCACATCCGGTTCGGGCAGCTCGACACCGACCGGCTCGGTCGCCTTACATATAATTGTCACAGCACAAATTACGCTAAAGTGTAACAGTGAATTCATGATGAGAATTGACGATGGCGCGACGCGAGACCATCTTTATATAGATGAGGCTTGACCTGCTTGGACGAACGGTGTTTTGCCGATTTAAAATTTTCCAAATAAACCGATTTGCGTGGGCGGTTGCTTACGGTTAATGGGAATTTTTATCATTCTCATTATGCACATTGTCGATAAATCGCGAAGCTTTTGAGAAAAGGGCGAAATTAGCGACAGTAACTGTTTGTAGTAGGACGATATCATTGTTAAATCGGCACCGGCACGGTAATTCGACAATTTATCTGCTCATTTACAATTCCACAATTCCAGATCAAACGTGTTCATCAGAGATCTTTAGCAGAGAGATTACTAATTTTTCCAAAAAAGATGTAGAAAAGGTTCCTTAGTGTTTTCAGTATAATTCCTACGATTTTTTCAAAAAGTTTTCTTATAATTACCTACTAAGTCCCAAAAAATTCCCCTACTGGGTTTCTTAGGAAGCACTTTGAAATGCCCCTAAAAGGCTTTCCACAGCATCTTATAGTCTTAAGCCTTGAGAAAGTCTTAGGCTCTTTGTATTGACTCTTTCAAATCCATTCCAGATCTTCCTAAGCTGTTTTCAGTACAATGCGAGTTCAAAAAATATCCTGGAGCCCTCTGAAAAGCCCTTAGGCAAGACGGGACGGACTCTGGAAGATCTTATAAATCCCTATGTAGCTTTGGGACGACCTACAAAACGCATGACTTAAGAATGAGCTATAAAGGCGCTCCGGTCGCTCCGGATAATCATTTTTGCTCTGGAATAGCGTTTAGAATACTTCATCTCTGCTGCGTTTTTTAAGAGCGTTCCAAGGACTGCTAACTCCTTTTCCGGCACCTTTGATAGCCTTCTAGAGGGTTCTTTTTCGAGCTTTATAGGTTCTAGGACTAGAAGGACATTGCCAAGGGAAGTCATCAAATGCTCAAGAAAGCGTTTGCTGGGCTCTTCGACTTTTTATCGAAATTTTTTAGCTCGGAGAACCAAGAAAGCATTAAAAACTTTGAATCACGCATGAAAGTTTAAGCTGACGTTTCAAGTTTCAAATGTATTGCCTCTTTCCCACATAAATTGAAGGCTTATATTTAAGATTACGCATTTTTTTTTTCAAAATTACGCCCCCACTTGATTAAGCGAAGGAGAACGTAAACTTTGACGGTCTTTATTTAGCTCGTTATTGAATAAATATCGTTTCCCTGGCAACATGCAACTAAAATCAATCGTGGCATCTCTCTTGAAATTGTTAAGAAATTTACTGGTTTGAAGAAAATCATGTAAGTACCGATTTTTTAATCGCTTTCTTTTTTCAAACTCTTCATTGCTTTGTGTACATTTTGTCGGTTTACGCTTTTAGAAACATCAGTTATTTGCGGGAAAGATTTTTCGAATTCATCCACGGAAACTCTTAAAATCGCAATGCAACTTATTAGGAATCTCACTAGGGAGTTCTATTTAAACAATTTTTAGGAATCTTTTTAGAAACCTGTTTTGAAAATGGGTTCGAAGCTTGTTTTCGGAATCTTCTGGAATTGTTATTGAAGGTAAGTTTTCATAGAAAATCTAGAAATCTGTGAGAAATCTTCTAAAACACATTGTTTGGATCTCCTGAGACCTGTGTAGATATACTTTTGGAAATATTCTAAGAAACACTCCCGAAGGAAAGTATTGGAAAACATCTTAGGAATTATTGTCGTCTCAGAAACCATAGGAATCTTTACAGCTAAAATCACACATGGAAATATCCTTTGTAGTTCCCTTAAAAATATTGCCAGAAGACTTCTTTGAACAATTTTTTTGTAAACGCTTTCAGGAAACGCTTACTTGAGATTTTCAAAGAAAGTTGGTTAAAATGGAAGTCGTTTACTCGAAATCTGGCTAAAAGCATATATTTGTTAATATTTAAGGTTTCCCGCTAATGTTAGTAAATACTTCTTCGGAATCGTAGGAAACCTTTTCGAGATCTTTTCGAAAAACTCATTTTTGAAAGTCTCCATAGAAATTTAAGCAAACTTTCTACAGATGTCTATCGGGATTTCCGGAATGTTCCCTACACTGCCCCCCTCTTAAAATTGTTGCGTCTCGTTTGAGATTTGCAGCAATTTTTAGGTCCTTTGTTGCATTCTACAAATTTTGAAAACCGAAGAAATATTTTTTGTGTCTCTATGGTAAAATAAATTTTTGTATGTAGTGGTGCAAAATTCATTGACCAAAAGCGTCGCATAGAACTTATTAGTTTGTATCTGTTTATTTTGGGTCGCACTAATTTTTGGAGCAGCAATTGTACTGATTATATGATTAAGTGTATTGTTAACACACAAAAAAACCGTATTAAAGGTGATTCATTACTTCTTTATCGATAATTAATTCTACCCATATCAACAATTGTAACCAGTTTTCAATACCAGATCATCAAGTTAGATCGTTGACACTGAACCTATTTATCACCTCAACGGGTTTTCTTAAGTTTATTCATTTATTTCCGTATAAGAATACGATGCGCACATCTCACGAGATCGTTTCCAATTTTTAATTGGGGACCAATTAATACCAAATGTTGGACGATTAACACAGTAATCCATTTCTTTTCATTGTTCGTTTGCAGAAGGAGCTGACTGAGAGCAACGTCTCCTTGGGTAGAGCGAGGACAGATTTCGAACCGAAAAAAGCACCAGAATTCAATGGGGAGCTAGAAAAGGCTCTGGAAGAATTAAAAGACTCGAAGGAAGCAAACACCGCGTTGCATTTGCAACTTGATGCCTTAAACAAGACGCATTTGCAGCTTAAAACCACTTACGAGGAGCTACTTTCGTCAAATAGCAACTTAGAAAAGCGCATTACAGAGTCGGAAAGCGTGCTGTCGAGATGCGCACAGGAAATCGACGTTCTAAAAGAGCACAGAGATAAACTCCTGGAAACGGAGACTAACCTTAACAATTTGCTAGAGATTGAAAAGATGCAGGTGAGAAATTTGAAAGTGCAAAATGAGAAAGACGCCCGTTGCATTTTGGACTTGAATCGACAAGTCAAGGAAATGGAGAGGATCATCGCGCGAAAGCATCCCGATTCCGTATCCGCCTTAATTGTCGCCGCAAAGAACGACCAAACCGAAGGTAATCTATCAGCGAGAAAAGTACTAGAAGATCGCATTAAAAACTTGGAAACGGAGGTGGTTATGCGCGATCAGCAGTCGTCAAAAGTTTTCTTGGAGGTGCAGGAGAAGTTCACGGAGATGAAGAATAAGTACGAAAGTCACATTGAAGACTTAGAGCTCCACGTGAACGATTTGAAAGATCAAATCAAGCGAAGAGGCGACACTTTCGACGTGTACACTCAGACAATGTTCGACGACCAGAAACCGGTCAAAGAAACCAAGGAGGTGACCACACAGACGCCGCCGTTCCGCGCGTTGCCCCCCAAGTCAACCAAAAAAACAGAAAAGGGCGACGTCAAGGACGACGCCTACTTTCTGTCAACAATTCGAGGGCTTCAAGCCGATTTAGTAAACAAGGAGAAGGTTATTGTTAAAATGCAGAAAGATTTGGACGAAGCGAAGAAGACCAACGCGCGCCTACAGAAGGAACGCGAGGGGAGTTTGAAGAACATCGCGGAGCGGCGCGAGTTTCGCAGTTACCCCGAAAAGTTGGCTCTGCAGATGCGATCGAGGGACGAGGGGGACTTCGAAGAAGAACTGAAAGCACTAAAGCTGGAACGCAACAAAATGAAAAGCCAACTATGCCAAATGGAGGAAGACTACCAAAACTTGAAGCAGAAGCGTTTATTCGACGTAATTATCTTTCGCTCTCTGGCACTGTAATCTTCTGTTTTTGCAGTTAAGTGCTTTGCAACAAGCGCACGAAGGCGAGCTCAAAACGTACATGTCCAACATTTCACCGCTTCGCGAGCAACTCGAGTGTCAGCGCAAGACGATCGAGGGTCTGCAAGAGCAGCTGTCTCTCTCGAGGGAACAAATCGCTATACTCCGACAGGATCGGGAGGACCTGATTAAGCGCGTGCATTTGTTTGGCGCGACCGGTGAAATAAATTCCAACCAAATTGTGGTGGATAATCCGTCCAGCAAAAAGGTCGTATGATTGTTACATGTATGTTTTCTTCTAATCCGCTTGCACGTTTTAACTGCTTGCACTAACAAACACGAGCTTATTGGTGCTCCAAAGGTGTTGTAATCCAAGCCATTTTGTTGAACCAAATACATAATCTGCAAATCTGGTATGGTAATGATGCCAAGTAATATAATAGCATCGTTCTTTATGGTATAAAATTATAAAACATTAAATGATAACCTGTCACCCTCCATTCGTTCCCCATATCACGAAGTGCATCTAGATCTGAGCTCTGGGGAAAATATGGTGGTCTGTAAATGTTTACAGGGTACCCAACCGCATAGCACTTACCCTCATTTAGAATCTCTCCATTGCTGCAGTGTTTGAAATTGTGGTGTTATTATTTCAAATCTGCTATCAATTAACAAATAATTTCCACCATTTTCTGAGATTCGAAATCACGTGGACATTTTTCGGGCCCTAGGAACCGTCTGACGACATGAGTTGTTTCCTTAAGCATTTGCTCCAGAAGAGCAAGAATCTGCAAGGAAAATAATTACCTAATAGGAAAGTATAGTTTTGGCATTATTTTTTATGGTAATGTTCCTACCACCGCATTATCTCACATTCTGTTTTTCAGATTCCAACTACGCAGGAAGGATGGTTAGATCTTGGCCAAACAATATAACGATATTTGGAAATATCTACTTGTCTCGGAGCCCTTGATGGAAAACAGGTCATTCTGCAAGCACCTATTAATACAGGAAGCGAGTTCTTTAATTACAAGTCAACATTTAGCATAGTTTTATTGCAGTTGTAGATCTACAATTTTTTGTTCATGCTGGAGATCAAGGGCGAGTATCAAATGGCGGTATATTTAAAAATTATTCCTTCAGAGTGATTTAAATCTGCCGCTAGCAGGGCCTCTGAAAGATAGAAGACGCGAACTTCCTTATTTTTTTTGTTGGGGATGACTGAGACATTAATGAAACCTTTTTCGGGTATACACCCTTAAGGGTCATTACAGAGAATTTTTAATTATAGATTATCTCGCGCACGCAGAGCTCTAGAGAATGTATTTGGAATTGCTTCATCGATTTTTAGAGTCCTCTGTAAACCCATGTTACTATACCCTATGCATATTATATTCGATTTTGTACTCTTACCTGTTCCTCTTTGACTTTTCTTAATTTTTGCTTTTTCCGTCTAAGCGCTGACTGCAAAGCTTCATTTTTTTCTTGAGGTAAGTAGGTACCTATTTCCTTACCAATTTTTTCCCAAACATCATTTTTCGTCATTTTATTATAGTACCTGGGATGCCTGTTATCCCACAAAATTTCCTTTGGCCGGTAAATTTCAATGAAATTAAGAGTAACCTTTCCAGTCTCCATCCACTCCATACCTCAACTGACAAGATTCAGGCATTGACGCACCACAGAAAACTTCCATTCCAGATCCCTGTCCAGATCGAAAAAGTACGAATTGTTTTGGATTCTACGCACCAAAATTAATTAGAAAAAGTGTTTCCCCGAGAAATTTTGGTGTAGTCGATTTTTGGTAAAAAAGGAAGGTTATACACTGCCTTTTTTTGAGGCCCGAAAAAAAATTGTCTCAGATGGACCCGGAAAAAAATTTTTCTTATAGAACGTGGCCTGTAGAATCCATAATTTCAAACAGTTCCAAGATTGGGCTACCAGTTCAAAAGTTACAGCCCTTTGAATTTTCTTTCGAAATTGGTTTCTAGTCTATAACTTTTGATTGAGAAGTCTGATCGCAAAAGTACGAATTGTTTTGGATTCTACGGACCAAAATTAATAAGAAAAAGTGTTTTCCCGAGAAATTTTGGTGTAGTCGATTTTTGGTGAAAAAGGAAGGTTAAGTATACACTGCCTTTTTTTGAGGCTCGAAAAAAAATTTTCTCAGATCGACCGGGAAAAAACATTTTCTTATAGAATGTGGCCTGTAGAATCCATAATTTCAAACAGTTCCAAGATCGGGCTACTAGTTCAAAAGTTACAGCCCTTTGAATTTTCTTTCGAAATTGGTTTCTAGTCTATAACTTTTGATTGAGAAGTCTGATCGAAAAAGTACGAATTGTTTTTGATTCTACGCACCAAAATTAATAAGAAAAAGTGTTTTCCCGAGAAATTTTGGTGCAGTCGATTTTTGGTAAAAAAGGAAGGTTATACACTGCCTTTTTTTGAGGCCCTCAAACAAAATTGTCTCAGATCGACCCGGAAAAATATTTTTCTTATAGAATGTGACCTGTAGAATCCATAATTTCAAACAGTTCCAAGATCGGGCTACTAGTTCAAAAGTTACAGCCCTTTGAATTTTCTTTCGAAATTGGTTTCTAGTCTATAACTTTTGATTGAGAAGTCTGATCGAAAAAGTACGAATTGTTTTGGATTCTACGCACCAAAATTAATAAGAAAAAGTGTTTTCCCGAGAAATTTTGGTGCAGTCGATTTTTTGTAAAAAAGGAAGGTATAACACTGCCTTTTTTTGAGGCTCGAAAAAAAAATTGTCTCAGATCGACCTGGAAAAAAATTTTCTTTTAGAATGTGGCCTGTAGAATCCATAATTTCAAACAGTTCCAAGATTGGGCTACTAGTTCAAAAGTTACAGCCCTTTGAATTTTCTTTCAAAATTGGTTTCTAGTCCATAACTTTTTATTGAGAGGTCTAATCGAAAAAGTACGAATCGTTTTGGATTCTACGCACCAAAATTAATAAGAAAAGGTGTTTTCCCGAGAAATTTTGGAGTAGTCGATTTTTGGTAAAAAAGGAAGGTTATTCAAATACTATGCGAAGTATCCAAATACTTTGCGAAGAAGTATTCGAATACTAAATATTTGTGAAAGTATTTGAGTTACAAATAAGTACAAATAAGTGCAGAGCAAACGTGTGGTGCGAGTCATTTTTATAATAAACGACTGATATTTTCTAATCTTATTTATTCGTATGTCCATCCAAACCACTTGAGAATTCTGTTCTATTGGCTTACTACCCTTATAAAATTTCACCGACTATACCAGCGATTTGCAAGTTATGTTTTGTAATTTTGATAAAAACACAATTTTTTAAAATCTCACTCAAGGAGTATCACTAACGCGAACGCATACAGTAAGTGTCACAATTTGCTTGCTTATTTTTAAAGTGGGCAACTATAAGGCGTGAATCAATTACTTTTCTTTCTAGGTTACTATCGTCGAAAGGAAATGCGAAGAGCACGAATGTAGATTACGCAGTATTATCCAAGATGTGATTCACAATCAAATGTCCAACCGCGGAGGATGCCAACAGTGTCTTCTCAGGCAACAGCAACTTATTCTCTACAAAACAGAACTAGACCACCTACTTGCTACTGTTCGAAATTTAGTTTAGATTTTAATCTATCGCCGTTGTTGTGTTTTACATTTTCAAATTCTATTTAAATCAATTATTTATTTATGTAACTCATTTTGTACAACTTTTTTTTGTAGGTATTATGTTGTAACCGATCTTCCAATAGAAGTACTATTCTTTTACACAGAGCGAAAAATTCTGCAATAAAATTTGATCTAAACCCCGCTCACCCCACTCAGATTAGCGGAAATGTGCCGTAAATTACTGAGTCTAAAACTGGCTAAAGCCTAAAAAGCCGATACTTCCATTTTATTATATCCATCCATGGTTGTTGAGAAGAAGAGAAAAACTCAAATTTTGGGTTTTTTTTGGAGACTTAGTTTTGTTCCTCGAATTTATTTTGGAAACCTGTTAGTTTGCATTCTTTGGCTTTAAGGAGGTGACTATTTACGAGTCTGTATGTGGAGTAAACTACTACATATTTCCACTTTATGGTAATTTTACTTAGTTGTACACCTACTTACTTTTAGAAGTGCCTCCTCCCCTCGAAAATAACCTTAACTCCTCATTGTTCTAGGAAATTTTACATATTTCATCAGAATACCTCCTTCCTCGTGTTTGAATTCCTTATATCTTTTTTATTGTACTGTGTCGTGTAACGATTTCACGTTATAAGAATTTTCCCAATATTTTAAAATAAGGTAAGTTACATAGTAAGCTAATATCAAACATTTTAGTAACTATGCTTTTCTTTTAGGTCCTTCGTTGCCGAATCAGTTCCGGTTAACAACGGTGCAAGGTAAGCAAAAAAAGGCAAGGAAATTTTTGTCTATGCTTTATTCACGACATCAATCATAAACTTTTGAGACTACATGATTTTAACAGTATTACCTACGTATATCTATATTAAATACAACAATGTATAATACTATGATGACGATGTTCTTTAATTGCATGAATGTGCCTATCCCAATTTCTCTCGTGAAAATGCAATTGAAGAACACGGTTGGTGAATTTTACTATGGGCGTATTGCTCTACTAATAGAAAAATAAATTTACAAGACCTTGATGTGTGGCGGGCAAATCATTTACTTATTGTTGTGTTACAGCCTTTAATATACCTTCTCTTTGACGCCGTGTAGGAAACTAGTAATTTTGGGAATTCTGCAAAAAGATTTGTTAGCCTAGCTCTGTTGACCAAAGTGGTGACTTACCCATATTTTTTGGTGTTGGATGTTGTTACAATTTGTATTAGAATTAAAATGCCAAATGTGGTGGTGAGTAAGTTGGACCATTTCGAGGCGTAGTTGTCGTAAGTGGCGGCGGCTGGGTGGTGGCCGCGAGGCGAGTCATCTAATGCTCGTCGGTCTGTTACTCGTATGTTGTTGTTGATGTCCACTGAGTCCTCTGAAGATAGTCTAGTTTCGCGTGTGTTTTGTCGACGGTTGCTGATGTCCGAAATTCGTCGTTCAGTTGTGCGCCTTTCCTGTTCGACAATGCGCCGATCAGTTTGGACAGTGCGGCGATCTTCTCCTAAACGGCGTTCTCGAGAACGAAGGACCGTGTTGCGTTCATCCAAATTTCGGGTGGTTCTACGAAATTCAGCTGAGCGCTCTCTTGAACGGTGTTTCGCTACACGTTCGTCACGCACTAGTCGCCTATCCCGATTATCAGCTGAGCGCTCTCTTGAACGGTCTTCCGTTGCACGCTCGTTTCGTACCGATCGCCTATCTCGATCATCAGCAAGCCGCTCTGTGCTATCGCGATCGGCACGGAATTTGCGCGATTGCATGGAGTTTTCATTCACTCGAGAACGGACTTCATTACGTTCGCGCTCCTCCCGTTTCCTATTGTTCGTCTGTCGCGAGACTCGCTCTAAATTTTGTCGATTCACTCGTTCACTCAACCTTACGTTTCGTCCACGTGATTCCCGGTTAATTGTGCGTTGGTCAATTTGTGATTCTCTTCCGTTAACTTCGCGCTGAGCATTGCGCCGTTCTACTCGTTCGGTTAACCTTACACTTGGAGGAGTAAGGCGCAACTCCACTGATCGTACTCGTCGAGAATTATCGCGTAGTTGTTCGGAATTACGGCGTTCTACTCGGTGAGTCAATCTGATATCTGATTCAGCATTGGTCCTTGTCAAACGCGTTTCCCGCTCGGGCGAAGTTCTTTCTAAGATCCGTGCCTGTCGGTCTCGAGAATTGCGTATTCGTGAATCCCGTCGTTCTCCAACGACGACTCTTCGTGTATCTTCGCCCATTCTATTTGACGTTTCAATCAGTCTTATGTCTCGTGAGTCGCGAAACCTGGATTCTCCACTTCGCGATTCGCGATCTAGGTTATCCACTAAGGCCCTTCTGGAACTTCGCGTATCGCGATTGATGGAAGCTCTAACTTGAAAATCACGACGGCTTTGATTTTCTGGAACGTTGCGCTCATTTGTGCGTTCTCCATGACTCAAAGTGCGACTACTTCTGGACAATCTGGGAAAGTCGAAATTTCGGGACTGTAGATCGTCGGAAATGCGGGAGTCACTGTCGACGATTCGCCGATTGTTGACGAGTTTTTCGCTACCAACTCGGTTTCTAACGTTCACCATACGAGTCTCTCGTTCCAAAAGTTGTGGCTCAAAGAAAATTTTACTTTGAAGTTTATCGTGCTTGACACATGCGTTTTTTGCATCGCATGGGCCGCTCTCAATATCTCCGTTGATGGATTTTGGAAAATAAAAAAATATTAGCAGAAACGTACTGGTGACAAATTTGCGTTTAACCGGATGCATGTTGGTTGGTCAAAAAAGAAAATTTCAGCTGTACCTCAGTGACTTGTATGGCTTGTCTTGGTTGGAAACGTTCTGGTAGAAACACGAAAACTGACTGATACTCTGTATTGGTGGCTTCCGCTTTATATACTCTGCAGAAGCTTAATTTCATGGATCGCTAAACTTTAACTCATTGAAATTCACTTAAGCAATTCAATCTCGAGTTAATGTAATTTTAATCCTATTTGTTAGGAGGTATTGGAAACCGGGGACGCACAAGGTTCTACACTGTTAAAGCGAACTGCACCAAACGATAGAAAGAGTCAAATTTCGAGTTGAAATCGCGACAATTACGGCGAAAATTTGCATTGAAAGTTATTAATCGATATTTCGATTGAAGGGCTGTAATATTAACAGTGCTAAACTGCCCAAATGTCAGTAAGAAGGGCAAATGAAACCGTTTTTAGCAGCGTATTGGTTAGCTACATGTGCAACTGCGGCGTCCAGATAACAGGATGAGATTTATTAAATTATGTAATACCATATGAACCCTTCTCGCTTATCGTCATTCTCAACGAGTTTTGCGTCGTTATTTCACTTCATTCGTTTTGTTTGGGATTTTTGCAATTTTATTTATATGACGTATACGCCTACATAATACGAGTATTCTCCAATGATACATTAAGCACTGAATAGTAAAATGTAGTTTTTAGTTTTGAAATCCGCTCCATATGTCTTCAATGAAGGGTGGTGCCCTGTCATTTTTACGGGCGAAACAGAGGCTAAGGGTTACTGAATTTAAATAAAAAGAAATTCGGAGTATCCCGATTTGTTTCTTTGATTAAAATTTGCAGTTAAATTTTTGTCAATTTCAAAAACTAAATTTCGCGTTAAATTTAGATATTTTGAAGTATCCTTAAAATCAGCATTTTTGTTACTATGTTATAATACCTATAGGAATTTTCCAAAAATGTTTAGAAAATTCCTAAGTATGTATGGAGCCACTAGTTTGTAATTTTATTATGAGGAAAACCTTCTTCATCTATTACCTACTCCACAATAATTTCATGTAAGTGATTTTTGATTACATGGGAAATCGTATTTAACTTTGGATCATGGCAAATTTACCACATTCACAGAGAGAAATCACGAAAATTCGATCTCAGTCGATCTGAGACCAGTCCTTATTCGATCGATTTTAGACAGTGTTTAGGACAAAGTAGTTATTTATGCATCAAGGGCATTAAGGCGATATTTATGCCGAGGGCGACAGAGCCCGAGGGATTATAAGTCGCCCGAGGGTTAAATATTGAGTAATGCCTGAGGTGCATACAACATTTTATTTTTCATCATTCCAAAGAATGCATTTGCAATATACAAATGTCATGATTATTGTTTGCCCAACATTAAAGTGCTCCATACGAATCAAGTTGCATCTTTTTTATGACATAATATAACTCCATCAATCAATTTGACAGGCCGTTTGAGGGCATAATGAGATGACAATCCATTATGCCCTCTCATTATGCCCTTGGGCGTAATAGACAGCTTCATATATCACATATGACAGATATAATTGACATATAATAGGCAAATGAAAAATAAACGTTTTTTAACTATAAGTATTAGTCTTTTCTTAGATCATGACAAATTTAACTTTTTTTTTGCTGATGATCAAACTTTGTCATGAAACCTTCAAAGGACTTTTTTATTAAGGGTCATCAATGGTACAAACAACTAGGTATACTGTATGTGTTATGGACAGGAATCAGTAATGTCAGCATCTAAAATCAAATGATTTAAAAGAAGAATAATGATTTATTATTGCATACAAATTAAATGAAACTACCCTTTTAAAAAAAAATCAATTAACAAAACTTAAGAAAACAAAAGATAACTTTTGAATCCAGCGTTAATTACAATCTTTTTCTTCGAATAAATCTTATATCCGTTGTAGTCGACACAGTTCCATTCCTCTGGGCCATACTCATGCACAAAAAAATCGCTCAACACTTCGCACGGATTTGCAATACCATTGTCAATAGCCTCTCTCAGCAGCTCTATTGCAATGACCTGCATTTTGGAAGTGAAACCTTCAACTTCTTGCACTGTAAGCTGTTCAAAATTGTTAGAGCGGGTAAAGTGAAAATCGTACTATACTACCTTGACAGGCTTCCCTTTTCCCGCTTCCGACAGCAATGCAAACGTGAAAAATACGCAAGCCACTTTCAAAAACATTTTCAAACTTCTCCGAATATTCGAAGAATGAGTTAATAAACGATTTTTGTGTAACAGATAACCTTCGACATTTCGTAAACAATGGACTACTGTATTATTTAGTTCAAGTAATCTATAAATCTTTAACGTACATCATAATGAAATCGAGGAAGTAACTTATTTTTGTATAGACGGTGATGCCGCATGGCAGAAAGCCCCACGATGTTAGCCCGATGAGATACCCGTTGGAAACTAGAGGCGATCCACTTTCTCCAGGGCAGAAGAGCCCGTCCTCCATCTTTTCGGTGCATAAAACTTTTGTACTCAAATTGTATTTGTCGCTCAGCGCGTTCTTGCACTCTTCCTCCGATAAAGTGTAGACGATCATGTAGTACAGTCCCTTGAACGAGTATGACTTAAAGAGTCGAGTCTGCACCTTCCAGCTGGACAGCATGGCCGCGCCCCATGTGTCTTCCTCATAGCTGAGAGGGATGGGCTGAACGGATTTTGTAAAACCGAGCCATGAGCGTAATTGCAGCAGTGCAAGGTCGCCACCTGATATCCCCCTGAAAAGAAAACCCTGCCTTTTACTGACTTACGCTACGGTAGTGAACACGAACCCTTTGTAATCAGGATGAATGACGATCACATCCACCTCCATCACTTGGACATCGATATCAAACGCGTGTCGGTACAGCAACCCGGTCACTACGCGAAAATGGTTTTCTGGTGGTGTTACACAGTAGGCTGTGGTGGTGACCCATGTCAAAGACAGAATGGCACCACTGCAGATGTGGATGTACTCTGAGTTCGCGATCTTTCTCTGTATTGATACTTGGTATGGGAATTGGTAGCGGATCGCTTTGTTTGCTGCTATTACGTCGCTGTCCAGATTTTGCAGGTCTGGTGAATGTTGGGCAATCGATGCTAATGACTGAAGTTAGTGCCATATTTGTTAAACCATACAATACTCACAGTACAACGTCGTTGCAAATATGAGCAGCACTCTGCGCAGCATGATAGTTCCCCATTGTCAATCAGTGGACATGTTTCCGCTTAAATGGATTCGCAACTGATACGAAAAATGCATATTGGGCACGTGTTTATCTCTATTACCAGTTTCAGTTTATTAATTTCAACACGTGTAGTTCGATAATAGCAACACGTTACACGATTGATCTAAAATTGGCCTTTTTCGGGACAGGTTGTTTGTCAGTTTTTAAAGACTTGTAACACTCTTGAATACCGGCTAAAGAGCATATTAGAAAACTCAGAACAGCGTTGAACGTACGTCTTTAATCTTTGTGTAGTCTTGTCTTGAGGCTCTGGTAAACTTTTTAAAACTCTGGAACGACCTTTAGTGGTTCAAAATAAGTTTAATGACTCTGGTACTTGTCAAGGTGCTAGAAGACGTTTGAAAGTTCTCAGTTAAACTCTTTCTGAAAGATTATTGGACACTCAAATACTCTTAAACGCTGTTAAACTCTCTGAAGGCCTGATAGAACGCTTTTAAGAGCTATTAAGGGCACGTTTGTTTAGAATATTGTTGGCTCAGATGACAAAACATAACGGAAATGTGGTAATACTTTCAAAACTGTCGAAGTAGTATTTTTTAAATGAACAATGAAATTGTGTGGCTTGAAAATTTTTTTGAGGCTCAAAGATTCGCAGATTATTTGGTTTTCTAGATTTTGAAATTCCAAATCATCCATTTTTGGTTTGCGCTGTCACTGCCATTTTCTCTATCCATCTGTACATGGCGAAATTAGTCCTACAGTTGCGCTTCTTTTTGTTGGACACGACCTTTTCTGAACGCCATAACTTCCTCATTTTTTCAGATATAGTCTTACATTATTTTTAGGTCAACGGAGGAAAAATTAGAGCATGTAGTGTAATTTGAGCCACCTGGCACTTCCGGTTCTGGAACAGCTCTATTCCAAATTTGAGATTACTTTTCTGACGAACAGCAAGTCGCAGAGGTTGCCGATACTCGTATTATATCTGTATGTTTTTATATTTTTTTGTGCCCTAGGGGAAGGGCCCGAGGACCATTTGAAATGTTTGAAACTAAAAAAACCTTTGTTTTTTGACTAAATCGGATTAGTGAAATCCAAAAATGAAACCGGTTTTGAGGTGCGGGTCATTTTGGTAATTTAAGGGTCGAAAAATTGCCAACAATTCGACATATCCCGAAAACATTCGCAACACGAGTTGATGCCTTTAACGTTTAGTAACTTGAAAATCTGGAATCTGAGCTAAGATAAACTTGCCTTGGCGGTACTACCTGAATGATGATTGAAAAATACCATTTTTTAGCTCCATTTCGGTGGGAAATCAACCAAAGACTGTGTGAATGCCCAAGAAGTGAATTTTATTTCTATGATATCACATACATTTTTCGAACTCTCCTCTTCCTAGGAACTTCTCTTTTTCTCAACCGTTTTCAATGTTCTATAACTTTTTAAAAACCTTTTCCTTAAAACCATTAAGTTAATTACTTATTTGGAAACTTAGGAATCTATTAAGAAGCAAATTTTCGAAATGATTCTAGAAATTTGTGTAGGAAATTCATTTTGAAAACGTCCTTAAAATCGCCTTGAGGATTATACTTAGAAAATTGTACCTACTACAAAATTTGTAGTAGGTAGAAATTGTAGGGAAATCTTCTCTAACGAATCATTCAGTTTTAGAAGCCTCTTTTAAATGAGAAGTCACTTTAGAAATCATAAATATGGTTTTCTATCAGTTTTACGAGAAGCCTTAACGCCTACCGCGATTTTAAAGCAAAACTCACAACTAAAACGTGTCACTAATATTTTAACAATCCAAAAGGATGTAAGTAAAAGCGTTCCGGAGAAATTAATTTCAAAAACAAACAAAATTACGGAACTGATCAAAATGCATTTGCGAAGGTAAAATATGCAAAAAATATCCCCACAAAATCAAGCGTTTACCTTAAAGTCCAGTCGTCTAGGTACTGAAACATGTTGTTAAATAGCAACGCAAATTTTTTTATTAAATTATTCGAAAGACTTTCTTTTTCTACAACCTTCAAAAATGATTCTATGTTTAAAAAAACGGAGAAAAAAATGTTAAAAAACTAAATTTTTTCAGTAAAACTTGATTTCATTAAAATGTTGACAGTGTACCTATATTAAACATAATAACCATGTATTATATCTGGTTTGATCCAGGAAGCTGTTCTGTCAAGAATTTGGCATCTGGTTTTTGTTTTGGAAAAAAAATCTGTCTTCATTTGTAAAAAAAACATTGGTTTCGTTGGTCTTGGTTTCTATGAAAATACGAAAATATATTCAGAGTGGTCTATTTAAAAAACATTTACCCCTAATGCTTAAAAAACCACAAGCAATTCGTTTTTGACTTCTCCTGAGAAAAAATCCTACATATTTGCCGATTATCTTTTTCATATTATTTCGGTACCGGGTACCAGGTTACCAGGTACAAAGTTTTGTCGGAATTTTTTCCTGTGGGAAAGGGAAAAGAGAACTTTCTTTTGGTACCGTATTCATACCACTTGAGCCTCTAGGAGAAAGTAATAATATCGTATGGTTTTAAAATAAAAATAAATGCATCTTAACAAATATCAAAATGAGGGGTTCATTAATGATAATAATTTATTACATTTATTTAATTTAATAATTAAATTAATTATAATAATCTTAAATACTTGTCCCATGATATTATGCTGGGGAAATTGATTCGATACAATAGTTCCTACGCTTGTGGCGTTACACCCTTACTCATAGTAATTTTTACCAAAAAAAATGCGGACCAATCTTTAAAAGTTTGCGGTGTTTTTTAGGTTACATCCCGTCTACCGCGTTCAACATTATAACATATAAAATTATTTCGCGAAATAAGTATGCATAAGGTAGGTAATTAACCGTGCACGTTTTTCAAAATACAAAGAGCCCGTATTGGGGCGTCGAGACAGGTTACAAATAGCATATTGTCAATTGTGGTAGCAGGCCTGGCCCTATTGATGTCTTTTATCCTTTGTAAGAAAAGGAAATTCCTTTCCTAAACCTGTTTCACCCTCTGGATTTGAAAAATGTATTTTTCTTCACAAGCGGAATTTTTTATAGAGGCGACCGGAAACGCATACTGTATCTTCAACGTGCTTAATTTAGAAATCTTCTTTAATTAACCACTTTATTCAAATACGCACGTGCGTTTCGTTTCAAATTGCTCATTCCTTTATAAATACCAACCCTTTTCTATCGAGAACTCGAGGTCGCCCACTGATGCTAAAAGTCGTCTTTTACGACACCTTTCGAAAATATAAATGAAAGTTCTTTTTGGGCGGGAAGTTAATACCCGCCACTGCTGCTAATTACAAAGAAAATGCGGGCGGCACAGTCGTCCTTTTCTAGCTAATGTGAACGTCCTCTTCACACACCAGAAATATGCGCTTGCGGGTGGTCCCTGTATCTTGCTCTTCTTTACGTACACCAATCGGTGCATTTGCCGTCTCACAAACAGTTGACTTACGCATGCTTTACTTAGCGCAATTTTAAAATAATGAGACTGCTTTAATAATTTAAATGTTTCGCGTTAGTTTTAGTGAATTCGACTGATTTGAGGATGAAACCGGTGATATTTCTTTGTAATTTTAGTATAATACAAGCCGTACTGGTCAGGACCCCAATGTTTGACCAAAACAACACTTTGGAAAATGGGAGTCTAGGGACAGGGGATCAAGTGCAGCACATTCGGCATGTGGACTCGAAACGATTCCGGTCCAAGGACGGTTTCATGCACGATCGTTACCCACTACTGTCCGACATCAACTTGAAGTACTGTCAGCGGCCTGCTACGTGCCAGAATCTGAGTCAGACGACCTGTATGGGCTCGAAGCTCCCCTACGGCTCGACCAGCTTAGATTTAACAAACACCAGCTCGCAAGAAAAAGTGCTCGAGCAGTTGTTGGTCTACAAGTACATTCGGTACCTGCCGAAGTGTTGGGCTGTAATACAACCGTTCCTCTGTGCCTTGTATATGCCTCGATGTACCGACGGTATGGTCGACTTACCGTCAATGGAAATGTGTCGCATCACTCTACGTCCGTGCAAGATCCTGTACGACAATGGCATCTTCCCCGAGTTTATTAAATGCGAGGATAAGGAGTTGTTCCCTTCCATGTGTAAGAACGACATTCACGATGTGAAATTTAACATGACCGGATTTTGTATGGATCCGTTGGTTAGAGTTGATCGAGCTGATCTGGCTTATTCTGGTACGTTGCAATTTTAAGTAGCTGTATTAACCACAGGCACCTGTAGAGTACTTTGTGAGCAAAACAACTGTGGGAAAATAGGAGGCCTGGATGTGTGACAGCCCCCCCCCCCCTTCGCAATGCAAGCGGGGGTTTCTAGAAAATTTTGAACACAAGGGGTGCTCCATACCCCCAATATGTGTACATCCTTTCCCATTTTCGGATAAAAATTTTACAGGTTTTTTTGTATTTTTCATTCAGATTTTAATTAGAGACTGTCATTATTGTAGAACTACATACAATAAATAGTTAATGTTTGTAGATTGTAGGGAAAAAGAAGAAACCATAAAACGGCAGGGGAGGGGGGGGGGTTGTAGTGCAAAGCTTCCATATTTTGAATAAATTGAATTGATTTGATATGAAGCATTAACTTATTCAATTTAACTTCTCTTTTAGTTGTTTGGTAATGCATTTGTGCTTAATTTGGGAGGTGTCAAAAAAGAACTTCATTATTGTATAGGTACTGAGAGCTATGGTATTAACTGACAAAATTTCCAGATATTGACGACTGTGGACTGCAGTGCAAAGATGTTTTGTACACTGACGAAGAGCACAGACAAATTCAAAAGTTAATGATTTACTGCGCCATCATTTGTATAATACTCAACTTCTTCACCATCATCACTTTTATAATCGATTGGAAAACTGCGAACAAGTACCCGGCCTTGGCGATATTTTACCTCAACGTCTGTTTCTTCATCTCGTACTGCGGATGGTTTATTCAATTTTTAAGCGGGGACGCTCACGAAGACATAGTTTGCAAGAAGGATGGAACGTTACGCAAGCACGAGCCGAGCGCTAACGAGAATTTGAGCTGTGTAACCGTCTTTGTTATGGTTTACTACTTTTTGATAGCTGGTATGGTTTGGTTCGTCATTTTCGCGTATGCTTGGCACATGAGTTCATTGCAAGCTCTAGGTATGATGGCCTATGTACTCTCACTCCGTGAAAATATTTTCTGGAGTGGGGGAGGCTAGAGATACATCTAATTGTGACATTTAGGCAAGATACAAGAGCGGGTGGATAAGAAAAGGGCATACTTCCACCTAGTCGCGTGGAGTCTGCCCTTAATTTTGACCATAACCACAATGGCAATCGGCGAAATCGACGGTGACTACGTGCTCGGCATCTGCTTCGTCGGTTGCATCAATTCTGCCGCACGCATAGGCCTGCTACTGACCCCGTTAGCCGCGACCATATTTTCAGCCGGTTACATTGTCGTTCGCGGTAAGTTTCCGCTGGACGCACTAATGCGGTAACGCTGAACTTGTAGGTTTATTGGTTTTGATCCAAGTGAAGATAGACAGCAAGAATGTAATATCGGACCATTCGAGCAGGAAAATTCGCTCGAACATTGTTCGAATGGGCGTATTTGCACTGTTCATGGTTATATTTTGTATAATTACATTTGTGTATCACATCTATGTGTTTGTCAATTCAGAAACGTGGACAAATAGCCTGCACAATTATGTAATGTAAGTATTCTAAAGGTGAGTGTATCTATATGACCGATTCTGCTGGCCAACTTCACACTGCTGAGGAATGTCATGGGAAGGAAGGGCTATTTTCTTTTCACTTCGGGCTAAACAGCTGCAATAGTTGTTGGAATCTCGGTTTAGTTCAGAACAGCCCAAAGATCATTTTACTCTTCAGAAATTTTGATTTTAACACAATAGTAGAGACTACTCATTAAATTAAAGCACATTGTTTTGTGTTTTTGCAATGGATTTTCTGTGATCTGATCTTTGTAACGTAATTGAATATGGCTGAAGGGATTTTCTTTGGTTTGCGCGCACTTTTTCGGTGTATTATGACGTCATCACAATTAGCTCAATTATTATTACCACTTTGTTTTTGTACTTTCACTATATAACACTGCAGTGACTTGAATTTAAGATGCAACATGGCGGCTGCATGCAAAGCTTTTAGCTCTTATTATCGCCACTGTCTCGTATGAAGTCACTGGAAATAACACTACCTAGCCGCCATGTTGCATTAAAAATTCAAGTTCCTTAAATTCCAAAAAGACTTACTTACACATATGTTGAAGACACATAAACTTTGCGTACGGATCAACAAAATTAATCATAATTAACCATGAGAAATCTATCTGGATCGTTAAAGGGTTCTAATAAACACACGAGTTACAAGAATTACCCCAGAATTTATTCTCAAAATCTTAAGTTAAACACAAAATTCTAGCAAACAAAGTGGACTTTAACAATGTCCGTTTCACAATCCAAGGAAATGTAATTTTTCTGCATTGAATTGGACTAGCTAGCCAAACATGGCTGTTCAAACAACCGACGAATAACTTCAATGAAACCCCCTTCACCCAAATTTCACGTCTGACTACCTGACTAAAAAAGCGTTATGAACTTTACTTGTCGAACAATACGAAACTTAACGCAGGACACGCGTACTCTAACCTTTCAACGTACAGCACCCCGGCCGCGTAATTGACAAAAGGCTCCCTTCTTACACCAACTTCAGAATTTAAAGTCCTCTTAATTCTAAAATTCTAAAATTTTCATCCAATTCATTGATACGTAGCAACTACAACAACCAATCCCGCCGTGCGTTCCTTGTCCCTCCTTAACGTCACGTATCCAAATATTTACGCGAAATTCTCTTATCTCTAATAACACAGTTTTGCCTATTAAAACAAAATAAACAATAAATTGCCTTTCCTTTAACAATTCTAGGAAATAATCTTTTACAAGGAAAAACAAACCACTTGGATAATAGTTGAAACACAATACAGTAGAACCCCGATTATCCATACGCGGGTTATCCGGGCACCGGTTTATTCGTGCCACGATTTCCCTTAATTGAAATTACATTTTTGAACTTGACACTTTAAATTTACGCAGCATGCATCAGAAGATTACTGATTAACTGATCAAACATTTTCACACAGACCAAAGAGACTGACTTTTTTTTAAACGCATAGCTATCTAAAAATATTCGCTTTTTTTGAAAAGTTAATTTATCAGTGTAAACATTTTAGTATGGATGTTTAAGTACAAATTTTCTTGTATAAAAAAATTCTATTTTTATCCTTTTTAGTACATACATACAGTGATATTCATGGAGAAGTAGACATACGGATTTCGTATAGGAATTTCCTGTCTAAAGTCTTCTAAAGGACGCCTAAGTTTATGTTTTACCAAAATAACTACCTACAACAAATGAAGATCTGCCTGTCATATTAATTAATTTGAATATTATCGCTTTGACTTCTGTATTCTAATTTTCGTTCGTGCGCAATTCAACTAAAGAAAAAGTTGATATTTCCAATTGGTATAATGCCGATATCAGTTAAAGAAACTTAAGAGATTTATTTTCTGTGAAGTCAAAGCAACAATATTCAAATTAATAATTAATATGACAGCCAGATCTTCATTTGTTTCAAGAAGTTATTTTGGTTGCATAAAATTAGGCGTCTTTCAGAAGACTATCATTTGAAAGTAGGCATAGGAAATCTCTATGTCTACTTCTACATGAATATCACTGTGTATAATATGTTCTTATATGAGAAATAAATATGAAATTGGATTATCCGTGCTTTTTAATTATCCGTGTTTAGTCCGGGCCCGTAGAGCACGGATAAGTCGGGGTTCCACTGTATTTGCTTTGTGTTTACACGTAAAGAACCCAACAGAATAATTAGATAATTTAGGGGAAAAAATTGACTATTAATTACCCCGTTATTAATTCAGGCGTCTGGACCAATTAACATTGTTTACATAGCAATATACCCGATGCAACATGGCCGCCGATCTCAACAACCAATCAAAAATTAGACCTCCTATTGGCGCCACTGTGTCTATACTGAAAATAACACCGGATTACAGCGCCGTCTGGTTGTGCCATACTTCCAGAGATCAAGAATCGTCACTGGGGATTTTAAAAGAGTTCTTGGAATTACTTGGAATTTAGTATAAAATTCTTTGATGTGTCAAAAGCATTTGTTATTTCCCACTGATTTTCTTTATGAAAATACTAGCTGCCCGACCCGGCTTCGCAAGGGTGTTTATAATTTTCGTATTCGTGGTTACATGGTGGGATGGATGTGTATGATGTTGGTTACAGAAAAAATAATACTTAAAGTTTGGATTGAAACCCCTTTCCCGAATTATATTTGCACCAAAAAATGATGTCATTTGGAATACATATCAGTCACCCCTGACGAAGTTCTTTCCTCGCTAGTTTCTGCTCTGGCATGAGGAGTTGGAAAATTTGAGCAGACATTATTGTTCATGCTCCGATTTTCCTTATGTGGGGTTATCCTGAATCGAATCTCTACCCCATCTAAATTGATTCCACCAATATTTTACTTGAAAATAAGATGGGCAGTTAGTACCATGATACACCTGGGTGATTCTTTCATGGATAATTTACTCACCATGCCCCTCTTTAGTGAGGCACTTTATAACCGTGCGAGGGAATTTTTTTTCGAAATTGGTTTCTAGTCTATAACTTTTGATTGAGAAGTCTGATCGAAAAAGTACGAATTGATTTGGATTCTACGCACCCAAATTAATAAGAAAAAGTGTTTTCCCGAGAAAATTTGGTGTAGTCGATTTTTGGTAAAAAAGGAAGGTTATACACTGCCTTTTTTTGAACCCCGAAATAAAAATTGTCTCAGATCGACCCGGAAAAAAAATTTTCTTATAGAATGTTGCCTGTAGAATCCATAATTTCAAACAGTTCCAAGATTGGGCTACTAGTTCAAAAGTTACAGCCCTTTGAATTTTCTTTCGAAATTGGTTTCTAGTCTATAACTTTTGATTGAGAAGTCTGATCGAAAAAGTACGAATTGATTTGGATTCTACGCACCCAAATTAATAAGAAAAAGTGTTTTCCCGAGAAAATTTGGTGTAGTCGATTTTTGGTAAAAAAGGAAGGTTATACACTGCCTTTTTTTGAACCCCGAAATAAAAATTGTCTCAGATCGACCCGGAAAAAAAATTTTCTTATAGAATGTTGCCTGTAGAATCCATAATTTCAAACAGTTCCAAGATTGGGCTACTAGTTCAAAAGTTACAGCCCTTTGAATTTTCTTTCGAAATTGGTTTCTAGTCTATAACTTTGATTGAGAAGTCTGATCGAAAAAGTACGAATTGTTTTGGATTCTACGCACCAAAATTAATAAGAAAAAGTGTTTTCCCGAGAATTTTTGGTGCAGTCGATTTGTGGTAAAAAAGGAAGGTTGTGTACACTGCCTTTTTTTTCGGGCCTCAAAAAAAATTGTCTCAGATCGACCCGGAAAAAAATTTCTTATAGAACGTGGCCTGTAGAATCCATAATTTCAAACAGTTCCAAGATTGGGCTACTAGTTCAAAAGTTACAGCCCTTTGAATTTTTTTTCGAAATTGATTTCTAGTCTATAACTTTTGATTGAGAAGTCTGATCGAAAAAGTACGAATTGATTTGGATTCTACGCACCCAAATTAATAAGAAAAAGTGTTTTCCAGAGAAATTTTGGTGTAGTCGATTTTTGGTTAAAAAAAAGGAAGGTTATACATTGCCTTTGAATTAACTGGCAAAACTGTCCATTGTTTTGAAGCCATACAGAATTACGCCACTATATAAGGGAGGTTTGTTAAATTTTAAACCTTTATTTAACCAATCTATCAAAAATTCCCTGTTCTTATTTAGTCAGCAAGCCCTTAACACTATTAATTTTGAATAATGGCATTCGAGTTCTAGACCTAAGCCTTTATTAAAGCTTTTTTGCAAGGATGTGAATTGAATTTACATCCATAGAAACAGCAAACGGCAGATTCAAAAATTCAGTACCTATCTATTTATAACCAAAATAGCTAACTGGTGTTTCTGTGGCGTAGTAGAGTAGAGTATCTCTCTATCTTTTTTTTGAAACTTTTCCCAGAAAGTCAGCATCGGTCTTATATGATTATAGTGTCACCTTATAATCCAACATGGCTAACATTATATTTTTCTTGTTGAGTAGGACTACTAATCATACCGCATCTAATTAACTTTGTCGCCAGATGCAAGCTGACAAGTTTAAGCTCTGATCTTACGCAATGTAAAATAGAAGCGCGACCTAGCGTCGCCATGCTCCAACTGCAGCTGCTGGCCGTGTTTGGTAGTGGGTTGGCAGTGGCCTCGTGGGTTTGGTGTACCGCAACCTTTCACGTTTGGACGCGCTACTTCAGACGGTAAGCAAATTAAAATCGCCGCAACACTTGATTTTGATAGTTGTAGAAAATTTCATTGCGAAATAGAAAAACCGATGAAATATCAAAAGCACAAAATAATAGCACAAGCTTTTGAAAAACGCAAAATCTTCAACCAAGGGCGCAAGATTTCCATCGAATGTCAGCCGCATACTGATCCGGTAGGCCTACATTTTGATCTAAACAGTGCTGCTAGTAACGATCTCAGCACCACGTGGGCGGCCAATCTACCACGATTGGTGAACCGTAGGTGTGCAGTTCCCAACGAAGTGATGAACTACTCCGCTTCGAGCAACTCAGAGATGAGTTACAGCTTGCAGCAAATCAGCATTGAAAGTCGACGAAATTCGGGCGAAAGTCAGCTCTCGGTGCAAATATCCGAAGTGACTGCGAAAATCAACAGGCGTATGCATCGAAATCGGCCGAGACGTAAACGAAACGTCATACGTCGCTCCCGTTCGCGAGTGGGCCGAAGACGGAACAGCACAGCCAGCCTGGATTCGCAACTCGGCAGTCAACTGCACAACATCTTCAACGTACCTGACGCAAAACACACATTACCCAACCTGACCAAGCGGAGAATCGCGAACGCAGGCCTAGACGAGCTGCTGGCGAACGCAAAACTAATCCTACCCCTAGATAAAAACCACACAGACGACGAAAACGTCTCGGTAACCATTTCTGAGAGTAAATTTAACGTCGTAGTCAACCACAGCAACAACAACCTCGACTTAAGCGACCAATTAATAATGAAATCCTTGCACCAAGATCTGCACATTAACAACCATTATTCGGACGAATCCGACGATTCCTCCACCGATAACTCTTCGGCGCCGGAGTTAAAGCAACTCCTTCAGAGCTCTCTCAATTCTGCTGTCTCTACGGGCACGCAGAATCGTTCAAGTAAACAATCAAAAACCTCAATCGATGTTGCCGTTCAGGCGAACGCTAGCGAAATTGTCACGCAGACTGCGGCATTAGAGAATGAATCTAAAAAGAAAGGGGAAGGGAAACATAAAACAAAACGAAGAAGTAAACGGAAATGAAACGAATTGCTGTGACAATACAAACTGTGATGCTGATCTCTTTTAATTATTGTAGTATGTGTAAGTATCAAGGAGACATTGTCGACGTGCAATAATAAGCAGTTAGTTTTGATGTAAGACGGTTGGCTCTAGTATAATACATCACTCTGAATCTTATAATAAAGCAGTTTATATGTTTTAACGTTAATTGCGTATCAAGATGTATGTGATTTCGCGTAATCTCCTCGTTCTGGTTTAGGGTTCTTTTGTGTTGCTTTTAATTGTTCAGTTCACAGAAGGGCTACGGTCCTAATGGCTTCCGCCTGGCTCCTTGTGGGACCAGTTCATGTTACCTACAATGTCCGAATGCCCTGGCACCCACCATAGTGTGATACGGTTGCCGATTGCCAATTTCTTCAGATTGCAGAAGCATTCCCAGACTAGTTGCAGGTACGGCCTACTAACGCCTTCAGTGCAGCTTGACTGTCTATGAGGATGTCTATTTTTTGCCACCTTCTTACCCATTTCTAGGTTTATGAGGGCACATAGGTTTATGGCATAGACCTCTGCTTGAAAGATGAAAGATGGTGGCTTTTTGCCACAGTGATTCCAAGATTCGGCAATTTGGGCCGCTGATCCCTATCCCCTGTTTTACGGTTCGTTAGGTCACCTACCGCAGAGCTCCATAATAATAATAATAATAATATTTATTGGTGGTGTTTATACAGAAAATACTTCCACACGTCACAGTAGGGAAGCACAATTGCCACTTTATTATTCGGAGCCATCAAACTTGTAGTTCAAGTACTCATCGATGCTATAGAATGCTTTGGCACCAAGGAACACTCTGATTGTTTTTCTGAATTGTTGTTCTTCCAGATCCCTGATGTAGTCAGGAAGAGCATTGTAACATTTCTTCATGAAGTAGTTAATGTCTCGTCCTTTTACCGTCCGATAGTAGTCTTCGACAAGGTTGTTTTTAGTCCGTACATTGTAATGACATTTATCTTATCACTGTTTTTACGAAGGGTTGGAAGGGCCTTCTTTGCGTGTGTTAGACAGGTAAATATATATATACATGGGAATGTAAGGATGTTAAGTTTGGTGAAGGATGTTCTGCAACAATCTATATATTTGCGGTTGTCTATGATTCTTATGCACTTGCGCTGGACGGAAAACACTTTAGCTGCATGGACGGAATGTCCCCAACACAGTACCTACTGCGTAGCTTAATGTGGAGTGGATGTACCCATAGTATGCTTGTAGTAAGACCTGCTTTGTTACACTAGGTTTTAGATTTCTTATAATGTAGTTCATTTTAGACAGTTTACTGGACAGGTACAAGGCGTGCTCTGCCCACGTCAGCTTGCCATCGATATATATACCCAACAGTTTCACTGGGGGAGATTTATCTGTATCATGGAGGCCCAGTAACAGGGATTGATTTTTCAGTTCATTAGTACTTAGACCATTGCTCGTGAACCACTGGGTTATTCCTGACAGTAGCTTCTCAGACGATTTACTCAGGAGTTCCTTGCTGTCGGCTGTAGTAAGGGCGGTGGTATCGTCGGCAAAAAGAGTTAGGTACTGATGTGGTGCTGTTGAAAGTGATGACAGGTCATTAATGAAAACAAGAAATAGGATTGGCCCCACGGCTGCATTCTTGGATTTAAGTGAGTTAAGTGTAACATTGGGTACGATCATTGAGGTACGAACGAATTAGTGCTATACTGGTCGCATCGAATTTATACTTCGCAAGTTTCCTCATGGCTCACACAGTCAAATGACTTTGTTAGGTCAAAGAGAGACATTTGTGAGACTCTTTAGATTCAAACCCCTGCTTCACAAACTGTAGCAAGTAATTTATGGCTGTAGTAGTTGACCTGCCATTGGCAGGAAGAGTGTTTTTAAAACAGGGCTGGGCTCCAGAGTTCGTTTACTAGATACCGGTTCACATACCGATCACCCAGCAGGGTGGCTGATCTGAAGTAGATCAGTACCGGGACGGCACCGTTGTACCTAGTACAAGTCCTTGGCCACGAAACGACAGCCTGGCGAAGTAGCTGGTCCTCGATGCCTCTAACAACTTTGCCCACTTCCGCATTAGTCGTGGTATCCCATACGAGCATTCACAGGGCGATTCCCCTATCCGTCACCTGGAGACGCCCCCAGTAGGGTGCCACCCTATAAGTTGGGTACCGGAACCAAACCAACTGCATCTCTTTAGCCTTGGTAATGCCACAATTTTTGTTATCCTAGCTCTTCGCACCACCGCGTTGGATTTTAAACAATGTGTTGTCCCATGTGTAGTAGGTGAGGGGATTTTGAAGTGCACACATTCATACAAAGTGTGTTTATTTAAAAAAACACCCCAAATATTTTCGCTTTTATTTAAAATTCAAAAATATGCAAAAGCGCGTCTATAAAATTAAACTATAGTTGCAGTATCTAACGTGTCTACAAAAAATACATAATATTATGTGTCACCCTGTATATACAAGCAATTTGTCAACGTCGCATTTGAAATAGACGTAAAGTTACTAAAACTTCTCGCCCGCCCTCTCGTGACTCGTTGGCAATATAGAAATTGTGTTTCTTTTAGAAATCAACTTTGCAAAATGGTACGTATTAATCTTCAAGAAATATCCAAATAATCCCTCATTAAATGAAGCACAAAGATTCGAAATTATTGACACAAAGAGGTCAATGGTTTGTAATTGATGACAATTTTTGTGTCTTGTCCTATTGCTGCATTTTAAGGTTAGGTAATTCTAACCCTTTCGGTTTTAGGCCAAACGTACAAAGAAGGTAGGAATCGTTGGTAAATATGGAACCCGTTACGGCGCTTCCCTACGTAAAATGGTCAAGAAAATGGAAATCACACAGCATGCCAAATATTCATGTTCCTTCTGTGGAAAAGTGAGTACCAGTTCGTTGTCATGCCTATAGTAAATTGGGCGGTTTTAGGACTCTATGAAGAGGAATTGTGTGGGTATTTGGAGTTGCAAAAGGTGCAAACGTGTCGTTGCCGGAGGTGCTTGGGTGTACTCCACTACAGCAGCAGCTTCAGTACGATCAGCTGTGAGACGTTTACGCGAAGTTAAGGAACAATAATTTTGCTGTAGGATTTAAATAAAACATAAAATCAATTACTATTTTTTATTGTCTTTGGCAAGCTCTTCCAAGCGTGTTACAATTGCCTTGGTGTCTAACCCGTGTTCTTCGTTATACTTCAGGCTAATTATAAGCTGCTTCTCTTCCAAACCTTCAATGTGGTCATACAATGATTTGTCAAATTTCCGATCTATGTCTGACTCTTCACGAAGAATGCAAAAGTAAATTAGAAATACTGCTATGCTCGTTAATACAACGTACGGTTCGTACCATAAGCGAGTGTTTGGACCACCTTCACGCGAGTACTGTGCCTTCCACTGGTTGGCAGCACTTCGCGTATAGACCACTGGTCTGCTGATGTCTTCCGTAGGTTTAGTTGAGTTTGGTCTGGCCGAGCAAAACCTGCAATTTTCATTTTTAAAGGAACCACGCATTCATAGTACCTACTTGATGCTACGATAGTTTAAAATTGCCAATCTGCTCAGCCTCAGAATCATTTTTTGAATTGATTGCTTAATATTTTGAATTTCTCCGGCCTGCAAACAAAATTTGGTTATCTTATCTAACTGCTACAGTGTGGTCTTAAAAAATTAGAATGTATATATATACAGTGTGCCATACCCTACACACACCATAGTCGGCGATTAGAGTTTTTAATTCAAGGACTTACGTGCGAAAAACATCCTGATTTCGATTAAGCTGATATCTAGATCTAGATACATTAGGTTCAATTTCAATGTATCTAGATAGAAGGCGCATTTTACAAAATATAAATATTAGTTAGTAGGGAGTCACAGTGCCGCCCTCCCAGCGTGGAGTAAATTTAAACTGTTTCACAGCGTAATGATACTCTTTGGTATATCACTGCAATTTTTGGCGTTGCTAAAAAACTTTATTACTATAGTTTTCGATGGACTGAATTAATGCATAAAATGTATGTTCATTAGCAGTAGCTAAAATGACAGTGAATTATGTGGTATGTCCGAAACCTCTTTGGAAACCGCCGCCTATGCGAAAAATCTGGCAACAGTGCTTGTGTCTGCGTCAATAAATTTAAGGATCGGCCATCCACGCACTCTGTCATTTGCGTTTAGTCATCAGAAATGGTAAGTTGCAATACGTGTCGTTTATATTTTACAATTTTATTTTATTGAAGTCATCTTAAAATTATTTGACGATTTTTATATGTTGTTGTGTTTATTTGTTGCTATGCTAACGATATTTAATGGTATTTTTTGAAAAATAACCGAAATTTGACCACATGTTTAAAATGATGATACCATCTCTGTACATTTTGGTTAGAACCCGATATTTAATTGACGAAACCCTAGGGCGGTCTGATCTGTTTCGTTATACAAAATTACCTCGTAATATAATGAACTGTTTTGCTAATTGTTGCATTTTCAGTCTCACAGAAAGTTCAGTGCACCCCGTCATGGCTCCATGGGTTTCTACCCCAAGAAGCGCTCCCAAAGGCACCGCGGTAAAGTAAAGGCCTTCCCCAAGGATGATCCAAGCAAGCCTGTCCATTTGACCGCCTTCATCGGGTACAAGGCGGGCATGACTCACATCGTTCGTGAAGCCGACCGTCCTGGCTCGAGTAAGTGTGCTCATTGTGTATTTAGTGTAAGCGACACGTTCAGTATGAAGCCATTACCCTTCTGCTGGCGGACCGGATTTGTCCCCTTAGTGGCAACGTCCACCGCAGTGTCGCAGACCAGGTACCCTTCGGGTGGTGCGTAAGGCATATTCTGTGGTCTGTGTGTAGCCCCTGGGCGATGACACTTGGGTTACCCATGCCTTGTACAGTCCCATTAAATGAAACTGTAATGGTACTTACTCTTGCATATAATTGGTTCAGAATCTCCCAGTGATCTTTCATTATTCAGTAAAAAATCGTTAATGTATTGAATTCAATTTTCAAAAATCATTCAGTTTGCCCTATATTCATATAATTAATCAAAATCTTTGCTACTAATTTTATGTATTCCTGATTTATCCTGCATTTACACCATTATCTTAGGGTTATCTCTGCATTTTATTGTTAGAGGTAGAACAGTTTTTAATTCTAATTTAAACAAAATTTAGAAAGGCCTAGGGGCGGAATAATTTGGGGAAATTTTACTATTTTATCATTTTTAAATTAATTGAAAAAGGGCGTGGTTTAGTCTCGTTTTCAAATTCTTGAAACCCTGCTCACTTAAAAATAAAAATTTTTTTAATGGTACATTACACAATATAAAAGGCGTTTCATTTAAAATGTCTTATCACATTTCGTGTGAGACATCCTATATATAGAATTTTTGAGGAACAAAAAAGCACAAGAGTAGGTACTAGAGAGTGCCACTCAGGCTATTTGTATTACATAGTATACACATACTAGTATTAGTTACCTAATAGTTTAATTTGCTAGAAATAAACAAGAAAGAAATCGTCGAGGCGGTAACCATTCTAGAAACCCCACCAATGGTGGTGGTTGGCTGTGTGGGTTACATCGAAACGCCGCACGGCCTCCGCGCTTTAGTCACCGTCTGGGCCGAGCATCTTTCGGAAGATTGCCGCCGTCGCTTCTACAAGAACTGGTAAGATTACAGACTCTCCGTCCTACTTCCTAGCCTAACAAAACGTAAAGCTCTCCAATCGCTGCATGAGGGCAATACACACTCACATTGATCGGATAAGTCGATCCGTCTATGTGCCTAAGGACTTGTCTCCTCTAAACTATGAGGCATTTCCTTTGTGTTCTTGCAGAGACTTGTTTCTACACTGCTTTCAATCTCAATCAGGTATAAAAGCAAGAAGAAGGCTTTCACCAAAGCCTCCAAGAAATGGCAGGACGTTCTCGGTAAGAAATCGATCGAGCGCGATTTTAAGAAGATGCTGAAGTACTGCAAGGTTATCCGCGTAATTGCGCACACGCAGGTAAATTTCCGTTAAAAGTGCTCCGATTGCAAATCTTACCGATCATTTCCAATAGATGAAGCTGTTGAATTTGCGCCAGAAGAAGGCCCACATTATGGAAATTCAGGTTAACGGCGGTACAGTTGCCGACAAAGTCGCTTGGGTCAAGGATCATTTGGAGAAGCCCATCCCGGTTGCCTCCGTCTTTGCTCAAGATGAGATGATCGACTGTATTGGAGTTACTAAAGGCAAAGGATTTAAAGGTAATATTTTTTTTGGCAAAAAGCCCCCCTTGAGGCGAAAAATCTTAACGCCGCCCTTTTTATGTGATGAAGCATGATTGGTCTTACCGACTTCATTGACGATATTTTCATGCTGCCTTCCTACTGAAGACTCCCACCACTCTTTAACATCCCCTACTGTTGTAAATCAGATGCTAATTATCGTCTGTTCTAGGCGTCACCTCACGTTGGCACACCAAGAAATTACCCCGCAAGACGCATAAGGGTCTACGTAAAGTCGCCTGTATTGGCGCCTGGCATCCCTCGCGCGTTTCGTTCACGGTTGCTCGCGCCGGTCAAAAGGGCTACCATCACAGGACCGAAATCAACAAGAAGATTTACCGTATCGGATCCGGAATTCACACAAAGGACGGAAAGGTTTGTATCCCCTCCCCCCTCCGCTTTTTTTGCAACCCTCATTCTGCTAATGATGATTTCCATTGAGCCAAAAGGATTATGACAACATCTTTGATTACATATATGATAGGACTGACGCATCTTCCCATTTCCTTATTTTAAAATGGTCCTAACCTGGGCTTAATCAGAATCATTTTTAGGTTATCAAGAACAACGCCTCAACTGATTATGATTTAACAGAGAAGAGCATCACACCAATGGGCGGTTTCTGCCACTACGGTGTTGTCAATCACGATTTCCTCATGATTAAGGGTTGCTGTGCGGGTCCAAAGAAGAGGGTTATCACGTTGAGGAAATCCCTTCTCACACACACCAAGCGTGTTGCTCTCGAGAAGATCAATCTTAAGTTCATCGACACATCGTCCAAATTCGGCCATGGTAGATTCCAGACGCCTGCGGACAAGGTTGCCTTTATGGGTGTCCTCAAGAAGGATCGTATTAAAGAGGAGAAAAAATCTGCTCCCAACTCCTAAAATTGGATTTTTGTATCTTGATTTTATTGTATTGACTTCTTTACAATAAAATGTTTAAGTTATTTATTGTATAAATGTTGTAAATTTTCCTGTATTTTATAAATATGATTTTTCTATTGGCAATTTTCCATTTTTATGGTCCCGATATTGTGAAAAAGAGAATTGCATTTAGATTGTAATTTTCATTCCAGTATCGTATATTACTCTTGAGTGTTCCATGAGTTGGGGAATTCTTCCTCGATGTCAAACCATTACTCGTACAATTTTGTAGGACGACCAAGATCCAAGTCGATTGTTGCAAACTAGAAGATCATAATAAAGATTTCATACTGAATTTTTGTCTGTTTTGAGTCACCGCTAATTTTATCTTTGTACTTTCTAGGAAATGCTGTTATAATTATAAATAGTCAAATTAAAAATCTTAACTGAACTTACCTAAGCTTGGCAGATTGATTATAAATTCTTTTAAGTATTTACAGTCATTTTCGATCAAGCCCGTAGCCAAGATAATTAGTATAGGTGTTAAACGGTTTTCTCAATGATTATTCGAAATAACTAATTTTCGATTTTTAAATTTATGGAGTACCCTCTGCAAATCGCTTTTTGTGTTCCTTCTTTTTCAAAGGTTAGAAATGAAATTGGGCAACCTTTAATGACGTGGCTTTGCTATCCTTTGAGGTTTATTTATCGACAGAAATAAAACTATAGTAATTGTGTAGATGGGGACAAACCATGCTGTAGGTGGCGTTCTGGCCACCGCCACCCTCTGGCTATGGGCTTGTTTCTGATGGAAAAGTGAAGTAGATAAATATTTCAGAACTTCTAGAACCTAAAAAGACTCCTACAGAATAACAACGATCTAAAGGCTCTAAAGCAAATGCTAAACATATGTGGTAAATTCGTCAACGAAACTTGTGTTCTGGTAATAAATTTGAAAGCTTTTCTTCTCTAATTCTTTATTGTTAGTTTTAAAACGCATAACAATAAAAGTACAAAAAGACATTGAACATAGTCACAACAATACGTATGAGAAATTATGTACTGTCAGCCCAAAACTGGAGTTTTATCTAGTCTCCTAATCAGAAGCGGTGGCTTAGAAGAACATTGGACCTAGGGAGGCTATGCTAATTTGTGTTTCCCCGTTTTTAGCTTTCTAGCTCGAGCTAGATGGCTATTGTGATCACTGTTTAAAGGTGATATAGGGAACTATATCGACATCACCAATAGCCCAAACCACCCGTACACATTAACTCCTGAGGCGTGTACGATACTTGACATTGGAAAACTTCGCGTTTCGATCACCTATGAGGGTCTGATACAATGCGATTTCTGCCCAACACTTGGGATTTCAAGTGGAGATTTAAAGTGCGGGTTAATGGCGGAAGTAACTATCTGGTAAAAGGTCGAAATGCCAATGGCCCCTTAACGGGTAATAACGTTCTGCAGAGTGCAGTGGCACCTCTAGAAAAAAGCATTATGCGGGTCACTCTGTAATTGGGCGCAAGCCTGTTGAGGACCCAGAACAAGGGAGGGATAATAAATAAATAAGGGGAACGTTACCAAACACGAGTACTCAGCAGTGGCGTATTTACGGGGGGGGGGGGGGGTTCGTATTTAGGTAATACTCCGCTCCGCCCACTTTAAAATAAAGGCAATAATATATAGGTATATATAGAGAGCAATTTTGGTTTTCTCACTAAAATCTAAATACACTGCCTTTTTTTGAGGCTCGAAAAAAAAATTGTCTCTGATCGACCGTGGCCTGTAGAATCCATAATTTCAAACAGTTCCAAGATCGGACTACTAGATCAAAAGTTACAGCCCTTTGAATTTTTTGTCGAAATTGTTTTTTTGCCCATAACTTTTGATTGAGACGTCTAATCGAAAAAGTACGAATCGTTTTGGATTCTACGCACCGAAATTAATAAGAAAAAGTTTTTTCCCGAGAAATTTTGGTGCAGTCGATTTTTGGTAAAAAAGGAAGGTAATAACTGCCTTTTTTTGCCCAGAAAAAAAAATTGTCTCAGATCGACCGGAAAAAATATTTTCTTATAGAATGTGGCCTGTAGAATCCATAATTCCAAACAGTTCCAAGATCGGACTACTAGATCAAAAGTTACAGCCCTTTGAATTTTTTGTCGAAATTGGTTTTTTGCCCATAAATATACCTATTATTCAAAGTTTTCGTTGACTAATTAAAGCAAAAGCAATAATGGGGCCTATCGGCAGTAAGAAATAAAATACCGTTCTAATCTAATCTTTTTCGCCTGTGCAACCCAATTTCTATTTCTTACCCCCCCCCTTCTAGTACGCACTGGGTGACTGTATGTGCCACGAACTTGTTTAATCCCCCCCCAGAATAAATTTCTACGTACGCCACTGGTACTCGGTGAGGTGGAGGCTCCAGAGGTCTTTGCTTCTTCTGCCATCTTTAGGTGCTGGACTATAATGGGGTTGTGGAAATGCTTGATGTAGATAGATAGGTACTATAAGAAAATGAATTTTGTGCATTTTTGTTTAAACTCTGGGTTTTTTACCGGCACGTGAAAACCTGATGGCTAAACGCGTGGTTAGTTGCATGTAACTATGAAAATGATGACTTTACTAATAATTAGTCTCGCTCGAAGAACAAAGAATCATGCAATGAAGAAACTCAAAGAGAATGTGAATCCATTATACTTATTTAAAAATATATTCCTTCAACAAAAACTGTATGAAATTAAACAATTTTATGTATAACTTGCGAATGTACAACCAATGATTGAGAAGTTAGGAAGATTTTGTTAATTTATGCAGTTCGCAAACAACGCACCTCAAATGATTCATTACGGAGTTTCTGGAGGAAACAATAATAAGTTTAATAAGCCGGCGGCGTCGGGATGTGACGACCCCATCGCCCATCACCTTGCTTTTGGTGATGCAATCAGTCACACAGGGCAAAATGTCGTTGGGAGGACTGTCCTATATATTGTACCTGTCATATAACAGTAATTTTGATCATCGGCCTAAAGGGCCTCTGAGTGTGGCATATGACCGAAAAGGTATAAAAAATACGAATTAAAAAAATAGGGATAATACCTAAAGCGCCATTTCATCAACTCGTTGGTTCGTTTGATTTACGAAAAGGTATTAATAATGAAGAAACGCGTTTATTGTCATATATTAAAATTAAATGGGTAGGTATAACCAGTAAGGAAATATACTTACCTAGTCACGTTCTTAAGAAATCTATTCCGTAGTTGATTTGGCAGGGTGATCTATAAATATTCCCAAAATTCGATGATTTTGGAAATCAATGCGTCCTTAATTGTTTCGAAATGAAGTTCTTTTTTTTAAGTTTCACTAATACTACCCTATATGCTCTAACCTCTTCTTGGAAAGCGACGGATTATAATTAAGGCACATTAGACTACGACGTTAAGACCAAAAAATACTTTATTACTCTTTGCCCCAGGCGCTAGAAGTGCGCGCTGTAGCTACTAATTTTTAAAAAAATTCAATTTTCGGTCTGCAGACAATGAATACACTTACGTAAATTATTGCCCTTAACAAAATTTATCCTGGTAAATTAGTCTCCGAAAATCCGGCTTACAATAAGCTATCGTCCACAGCGTCTTGGTCTCTCGTTTGCCATGATTTCAATCAAATTCATAGACACCAAAGATTACCTTTAAAAATGCACACCTAAAAAACTCGTCTCGAAGGAAATTTTTCCCGAAAATTTGCCTCTGCGTAGTTTGCGTCCCAAGTGGAGTCGAGCCTTCTCTAGTGTGAATTTTCGTTGGGACAATGGTCCTGGTGGTTTAGAATTTAGAACGAAATGATTGAGGAGATTTTCAAAATTTGTACATTTTGCAAGCAAATGTTTTCTAGGTACCTACCATAATTACTCGCAATAACCCGGCGTAAGGATGATGTCTGTCTGTCCGACCGTCCAAGGTCTTCACTACTACTATACTTTTCAGTTTTCAATATATTTAGTTCGTTCTTTTTGAATTCGGTAGCTTATACTATGCGATCAAAAATGATTTGTTGTCGCGAGTCACCTTTGGAATTTTTGTTTACATGGGAAATCGTACTTAACTTGAACTTCCAAAGGCGACTCGACAGCAACTCGTTTTTGATGGCCCGTTATTAGCTCTGGCACCTGAGCCAAGATAATCTTGAAAATTAATGTGGGCATGCGTAGGATGTAGGATATCAACTTTATCATTTATTAATATATTTTTAACTTTCTTATTTATGAAGATAAAATTCTAACCATACAGGCATCTAGTATAGAAACAAACATAGTGCGCATATAATAGCTACATATCCTTTTGGGAAGTAGGTACTGATCAGTGCATGAAAAATGCGCTGAAGTTACTCGCCTTAGGGCGAAAACCTTTTTACTGATTTAACTGTAATTTTTCGGGAATTCAAAGCTGCCAGGTCTATCTGGGAATTTACAGTCCTATCTGGGAAAGCCCATATATATAGGTGGTACCTACACGCAAATAGCTGTTTTTCTCGCTAAAACTGTTCTATGGAAAGTTTGTTAGGGTTTTCCAGCGTTTGTTGTCCATATGCGCAACAGATTCTTTGATAAGTGTCAAAGCTCTAGAAAGCAATTAGGTAAGCTAATAGCACAGACAACATAGTATATGTTGTCTGTGCTAATAGGAAAATGCTGTTCTTTATACAATCAGCTTAGGATCAATAGGTACTTTTGGATTTCAGTGATTTATAGGGAATAATTTCCATCTCGAAACAATATAGGTACCTACCTTTATTTAAACAAATCTGTTGCTTCTAACACAAAATTGTAGTTACACTGATGGTCTTCTAGATTTAAATCCAAACCAAAAACCGTTTTTGGCATTAAGAGTAAACTGTTTAGGCGACAGTTTTATTGGAATGTCCGATTTGTCAACGACAACTACTTCAAAGTGTTGTAAGAGGTTGAAAATTAAAATTTTGATTTCTAGTAAGGCAAATCTGTTAGCGATACAGCTTCGAGGGCCAACGCCAAAGGGTATGTAAGTGTATGGACCGATATTCTTTTTGTTTTCCCTATTAAACCGTTCGGGGTCGAAACGATCGGGATCTGGAAATAATGCTGCATCTCGATGCATCCCGTACATCAAAATCGAAATGACATCGCCCTTTTCAAGGCGTAAAGGTTTCTCGCCCTCCCTTTCAGGTTGAATTGTGTACGGTTTGACACAAACGCGGTCGGTTGCTACTGCAATAGGCCATTTACGTAATGCCTCTGAAATTAGGTTACAGTCATCTGGAGAACTTCAAGTAACCTACCAGAAATAACCATGTCTAAGTATTCCATTTTGAGTAAGGACTCGTACGTTAACGTCCCGTCAGATTCTTTGAGCACATTGTCGATTTCCATTTGCAACTTCTGTTGCACGAAAGGATCTGCTGCCAGCTCGTAGACGGTAAAGCACATTAAAGTCGCCACAGATTCAAACCCAGCGAAAAAGAATATGAGCGCCTGGGCGGTTACATCATCATCAGTCAGTTGCAGATTCCGCTTCCTTTCCTTTCCAATCGCGGATTCTTCAATCACAGCAAATCCGGTATCGATAACTTCATTATCCCGATCATGTTCCAATTTTCCTTTCCTCGCCTGCATTAACAGGTGAATCATATCTGGGCGCACAATTCCGTTCTTCTCGCGCTCCTCAATGTTACTTACTACCAAATTTTTGAAAAACGCGCTAACTTTTTCGTCAAAAAATCGTATTCCCAAGAACTAAAATTCTTTGGTATAATGATTGCAAATTAATCCAGACTCACATATACCTTAGCCAATCGAGGGCTAGACAAAATTATCAAAAACGATAAGACCTTCCAGAATCCACTGAAGTTGGTCGCCTCCTTCCCCATTTTGTAAAATTCATTGTCGCGGTCTTTGAGAGAATCGCATACTATGCCGAAGGACGCAGATGCAATAATGTCATTGGTTAACCTGGTGAAAACATCTTTCAATTCTACAGTCACGACCTGTCCATCTTCTCGCTGGAAGTGTCTCACAAAGGTCTGTGCGCACTCCATTATGATTCCAAACATTGCCTTCATTTTGCGGCTGGTGAACGATGGACTGAGAGTAGCGCGCATTTCTTTCCATCTTTCACCTGAACGATAGTTGAAACTGGGACAAATTTTTCTTCGACTTACCTCTTAGGGACATCAAGTTTTTGCTAAACAATGGTTCTGCATCCTCGAAGAGAATTTGGTTGTGATCCACAAAATGGTCGAAATCTTTCACCGTAATTTGCTTAATCAATTCGGGGTCTCTAATTAGCAGCAATTTACTTGCAAATTGATACGTTCCCGTGTATCTAAAATGAATGCTGTAAAGTGATCCTTACAGGCGACTTTTACCTGTCGTTGGGAAATTCGCTGTACACGGCTGTAATACTGTCGGCCATAGGCGTGAGTTGTAAAATGGTTTTGAAGTTTTCCAACCATAATTTTGCAACACTACGTTGACGAACACCTTTCTTTGTCCAATATTGGTACGGCCTAATTATAATAAGGTAACTTATTAATAGGAATAGGCACAAAACAATTATTATTAAAATAGACATAATGGCGCGATGGTTTTACTTTGAGAAGAAACAATCAACTAGGTGTTTATTAGCAAATTGCGCGATTCCCACCGCGAGAGTCGTCCTTGATGTTTTAATCATATCTGGCACATCTGGCCATGGGTCAACTACTTGAATTAAAATGTTTGTAGGTAAGGGCAAGGCCATTGTCAATGACATCTGATGTTGTTCATTAAATTGTGTTTGATGAGACCTCTATTCGATAGCAAACATTCCGTTTTTGCCTATAAGTATGTAGGTACCTACTTCCCTTTATCGAATGGGACTTATCCAGCGATAAGAGTATAAGGGGGTGGGACGTCACAGGACGAGAACTCCGGTTTGAAGAGGCCTCATTTTGCTACACATTTATAAAAAAAATTGTTTCCTGCCGTGTTTAAGTGAATAATACTACAAGCCATAAATTTAAAAAAAGGAAACCCATTATTACTATTGGCTTAATTGTGCGATCAGCAACAATTTAAATAAGGTAATTTAGCAGTTTGGCTGTATTTTTGCCAAAATATCTATACACTTAAGCAAACCTATTATACCTGGACATTACCGATTTACTATATTGTTTCGCGGAAAATTTTCAGTTAATATGTCCCCTGGGACATTTTTCACAATTTTTGGGATATCTTTTAAGAAAAAAAAATTGACGAGACGAGAGATGATTGTTTAATACTTCATAAATATACATTATTGTTGAAAGAAGTGCGAAACAGGTGTTTCAGGCGGATCTATAGTTTTAGGGATAAGTATAGGTATCCAAAAATCTATCGTTTTCGACATTAGGTTTTTGAAAAACGGCCACTAAATCTGGAAAAGTTTAGTTTTCTTGATGAATCAAACAAGTTGGTGTTAATATTTTCATGTATTGTTTTAACCGATTACCTATATAAGATTTGTATTTTCAAAAGAGAGAGAGGCTCCTCTCTCCCTTACAGAAATGATTAGCACTTTTTTTTTATTTACTCCCCATTTTTTAAAATGTTACAATTCGTTATACGGGCGCATATTTCTGATCACAATTTTCTTACCCTTTTGGCGCTGCTGATCTCATAATCAACCAGAAAAATTGTTCCGGTTCGATTAGCATTGTTTAAATAAATACTTTTTTTTATAGCAGATATTAAAAGTTATAAATTGACAGTTTTAATAGGTTTGAATGAGTTCTTTAACCGTGAGGGTAGATAAAGTGGAATAGATACATTCTAATGACATCTTTCATCACCATTCTTATTTCAAATGGGACGGAGAGCACGATATAAACTTTATTTTTGTTTTTAAAAAACGCGTTTTAATTATTCTACAGGCCAAAATGTTTAAGATAAGCTTTTTTGCGATTGAGCTGAGACGCGAGTGGATTTTCGATGGATGCTTGACGACAAGATTATAGTGTTTGCTTTGCAAAATTAGTTTGTCTACTGTACTTTTGATGTACATGCGCGATAGTCATTTTTCATAGCACTTTCGATGCCTTTGAGATTATTGATGACCCTTGCACCCCTTTAAAAGCCTCGTGAAACATCTTAACGGCTCAATTCATCAAGATTATCCAAAACTCTTTTAAAATAAAGTCTAGTAAAGATTAAAATTGTCTGGGGTCTCTTGGGCACTCTTCTAACAGACTAAAAGTATCTTGAAAGACCTTTGAAAACATTTTGGAAACCCTTAAAGACTTAAAGATTCATCATAAATGCCTTTAAAGGATGACCTCTTAAAGGTTCTGAAACGTATTTGAAAACTTTCATACTTGTTTTTAAGACTTAAAAGCCACGAAACCCTTTCAGTTCAGGCCATTGAGAGTAAAGATTTCTTACTTAAGAACTCTAAAAGCTTCCGGAAGACTCTTGGGGGGGGGGGGTGTTTAAGGTCGTAAAGTGTATATTAAGAATGTTTGAAGGCTCTTAATGCTTCTAAAAGCGAGATGAAAGAGACTTGAATCCTTGGAGACTCATTTTGATTTTTAAAGGGTTTTAAAGGAGTTTAATTCCCTATTAAATGCATGTAACGACAGGCAAGGTAATTTTGAATCCTTTTGGAAGTTTGCAATTTCCATTAAATATAATACCAAATTTTATGTGATCATTACGTAAATGAGATCCCAAATTTTCGTCAAACTTCCTAGAAATTTTACTAAACACGTTTCTTTAGAGAGATTTTCAAAATTTTTCTAAAAAAGAAATCCTGAAAAGCTCTTACAAAATGTGTTTAAGAAATCTTAAAATTCTACAACCCTACCAAGGCTCGTGCTATGTTTGTATAGCTGGGAAGAAAGGAAGAAGTATATAAAATAAAGGCCATCAAAAATGAATACAAATCGAATAAATTTCAGCGGAAATTCTTCAGATATTAACGAAATATGACGATAAAACTTATTTAAGTTTATTATTTGACGAGTAGTTTTTTCGGCCTTCTTTAAGGACTTCTTACAAGCTTCAGCCAAAGGTTTTGGTATCGAAATTCTGGACAGATACAAAAAATATGATAACAAAATTTAGACGATTGTTATATAAAATTTTCATTTTGGTTTTTTGTTTTTGTTTAGGCGATTCTTCCGCGTCCTCGACTTTTCCATTTCTCAGTGTTTTCGATTTTTTTTCCGCCTATTTTTCATTCCCATTCCTGGGTAGCACCAGCTTTTCCAACGTTTCTGGTATCATTGCTTAGACTTTATCATTTTGGCCACTTTGATTTTTTTTATTAATTATTTTTCATTTTAATTTAATTAATTCATGGTCTGTTATATGATGTAATAACTAAAATTATAGGTAAGATTACCATTATGCACCTATCAAAGAAACAAAATCGTTTTTTTAAATTAAAAATAGAATCCATACTGTGTGTTTATTAAAATGTAACAACTTTAACTTTTTTGTACAGATTTAAAACAACAGACACTATTCTAAACATTGAAAACACTCCAAGCTGCATATTTTTTAGAGTTGTAGTAGAAACTTGCATTTTGGTTTTCTATACTACAAAATTTATAACAGTGCTACAAGTGCTGGAAGTTAACCAATCGCGATAAGTTGCCCATTTGAATTAAAAATACTTAAATACTACGAGTTCCAAAATGAACACCAGTTTTGCAGTTACTAATCCAAAGAATAACAAACAAAAAACCCAAAAAACGTCGTTTATATCTATCACTTGTCCCGAAAGCTCTCGTCGTTGTGCACGCCGAATGGCCCTATTGGCAATGTAACTGGCTCGATTATAATGCAAACTTATAAATCCATGCACTCGTAAGTGCAACAAAATTTTGTTCACCTCAGGTAGCGCGGGAAAACCTTTGGGAAACGCCATCACTAACAAAAGCTTATAAATATTATCTTTAAACATATACACTAACGGTCTCCCGTTTGGTCCCAAATAAATTGTGCTAATCAAATATTGGACGTACTTTTTCGGTTTAATTGTTGCGAAGTCGGCGTCGAACGCCGTCCTATTCAGGCAACGTAAGTCAATGGGACAGTCGATGAAATTGCGAGCGAGAAAGTTGTCTTTTTCCCTGGGATCGGAATACAAAAACGAATAGTCTTTGTAATAGCCAAAGGCAATGTTGGACTCATGCAAGTCGGAGATGCTGGCAATTTGTTTTTTTATGTGGGTGAAATTTAGGACTGATATTAGCCTTCCCTGAAATGTAGAAGTGATGATTAAACTCATGGAGATCCATAGGCCCAATAGCAGTCTTATAGGGCTGCTGCTTGGTAAAGCAGATGACTGACCAAAGAACGTTTTGTAAGAAGTGAGTAAGGAGTAGAAGAAACTGCGGTACTGTCCCATACCATGAGTCTGAGCACCGAAGGCGCACAGCACCATTGCGACTAGGAGTAACGAAGCGACAGTGCAAACCCAGATGTAAATTTGGAAAATTTTTACAACTCCCACCCAGTGTTCCTCGCGTTTTGCGGCTGGTACGACCCAGATGGTGTCGTCCTCCAGGTAAGGGTACGACTGGTCAAAATCCCAATATTCACTAGTGTTGGCGTAGAACGAACCAAGAGCGACTTCGACTTCGTAGCGCCTTAAGTAACCATAAGCGCCCTCGTAGGAGCCGTTGGGCAATTTCCGTCCCCAGTTGTCAAACGGCTTATCCACATACTCCACGTTCAGCCCAAGATGATTTTCCACCTACAAGGTCAATTACATTTTCACCAATTCGCACCAATAACTTACAATTTTAAAGAGGTCCACTTCAATTCCAGTTCTTTCTCCGCCATCCAAGATCACCAACGGAGGAAAGTTGAACAGGATAGTGCTCACCCGGAAATTTCTCCAATCTTTCGGTAACTTATCTGGGAATAGATCTTGGTCACCCCACAATTTTCCATGTTGGCATTCGCCTATCGTGTGAAAGTCGCTCGATGCGATCTGAAAGGGATAGTACGTCGTAATTTCGACGTACGACTCATTCTTTGCGACCAAGAAAATGACATTATAGACGAAGTAGCGCCTTAAAACCACCAAGAAACCGACCGATATCTCTTCGAGCAACAGAACGAATTTGGCTCTCGGATTCCAGCTGATCGTCAGCGTGAGGAAGTCGAAAACTGTTGCAAAAAGTCCATGCGGGATTGCTATAATGTAAAAATTGGCGCGAATCCATTGGAAGTACTTTAAGTCTTGCAGTTGATTTTGTATGATGATCGGGGCGTTTGTATGCACTTCGTAATGGTTATCGCCGAAATTGCCGAAAATAGTGTTATCGCCAGATTTAACGTAGCGTTCCAGAATTTCAGCGGTGCATTGTTCGAGATGTCGAGTGTTCTGTGGGAAACTTATTGCCGTGCATTCGAAGACAATGGAAAACAGGGCTACTACCCTAAATGAACGCATTTTTATAACTGATGCACATATTATTTTCCATTATCGATTGAAATTTGTACGTGTAAGCTATCAGCGGGATGTTCTCTTGAAATGTTAGCTATTAACACCTGAGGTTATTGTTTATTGATTAATTGGTTTTATGAAACTTGCTAGGAAAACCCTGCAGTTTATTCTTGGATTTTTAAATCTCGGGGTTATCTTTTCAGATATTTCTGGACGGTTTTGATTTACATAATGTTAATTGGATCTCCTTAATGTCTTCGAGAGATCGCACAGACATTTCAAGATTTCAAAAATCCAGGGAGGTTCCTGTAGCGGTTCTAATTCCTAAGGGGTGCTACAGATACCCGTATTAAAATGTTACCAAAAAAATGCCCGAGGAATTGATTTTCGTTCTATAACAGAAAATATTTCGCGTGAAGCATTTTTCACGTTAATGGAGCCGGATACCATTAAAGCAATTACGGGCTGACACGCTGAAACGTAAATCGCTAATGGAAAATACAAATAGTGCAGTTAGAAAAATGCATCCAATTGAGCTAGTTACGCTCTTATCAATAATCTACGAGTCCGCCGCATTAAATTTCATACCTCAGACAACCGAGAATGTTACAAACCTCCAGAGGTGCACGACCGAAATTCAGAGGCGCTACGGCAAATCCGACGAAAACGTCGTTTATATCAGCTTCAATGATAGATACCGCAACCTGCAGTTGCAAGGCCCAGTCATCATCCAAAACGGCCTACTGGACTTGGTCTATTTCCAGTGGATTCGTGCTCAGTTCTACGTGATAGAAATTCCACGGGGAGACTTCGAGCGGGTTTTTAACTTTTTAGTGTTGACCAAGAGCTGGAATCCCAGGGCGAAGTTCGTGGTGTTCATCCAGGATGACGTCTTGGAGCACCTCGTGGCTATTTTACGAAAGTATTTTGTTTACAACATCGTTTTTGTGTTGGAGAGAAGCGAGGGTGAAATAGTAATTATGACGTACCACCCCTTTAACGATAACAATGAGACGCAGATCTTAGCCGAATGTCGCAATGGACACTTTGGAGATGACCGAGATTTATTCCCAGACAAATTGCCGAAGACTTGGGAAAACTTTCCGGTGAGGCTAATTTTGTTCGCTTATCCTCCGTTTGTCATTGTGGAGAAAGGACAAAACTACGGAATGGAAGTAGAAATTTTTAAAATGGTATGTTAAAGCTGTAAAAAGGATGGTGTAATTATGCGTTGTTGCAGGTAAAGTCCCACCTGAGGCTTAGGGTGGAGTACGTCGACAAGCCCATTGCTAATTGGGGGAGAAAGTTAAGCAATGGATCGTACGAGGGAGCATATGGCTATTTGAGACGTTACGAGGTGGAGGGCGCCCTTGGTTTATTCTACGCGAACGCTAGCGTCAATTGGGATTTTGATCAGTCGTATCCTTACATGGAAGATGACAGCAAGTGGGTGGTACCCGCAGCCAAACGGCAGGCGCGATGGATTGGAGTTACAAAAATATTTCAGCCTGATATTTGGGCTGTCACCTTAACTTGCTTACTTTTAGTCACACTAGTTTTGTGCCTCTATGGGTATCACTTTCCCTCTATGGGGCGGCACCAAAGCTTCTGGTACTCTATGATCGCGAGCTACAAAACATTCCTTGGTCAATCCACAGTTTTACCACGAACCGGCTGTATTAGAGTGCTGCTGGGTTTATGGATCTTCTTCGGATTAGTTATGACATCTGCATTTCAAGGGAGATTAATATCCGTGCTGAACTTCAGCCGCTTTGAAAAGCAAATAGCCAACATAGACGACTTGCGCGAATCCAAAATAGCTTTCGGTTATTACAAGGACGCCGCTTACCTATACTCGAACCCGAAAGAGAAGGATAAGTTTCTCTATCACAATTTCGTCGACTGTCCCATCGACCTAAGATGCCTAAATCGAACGGCGTTTAAAGGCGATTTCGCGACGTTTAAGCCTAAGAAGTTCATCGAGTACTTGATTAGCACAATTTATTTGGGAAAAGATGGAAGGCCCTTGGTGTACGCGTTTAAAGATAACATTTATAAGTTTTTAATTACCGTGGCATTTGCCAAGGGCTTCCCAATTTTGCCTGAGGTGAATAAAGTTTTATTACACTTGCGGGTACACGGATTTATAGATTTTTATTATAAAAAAGCCAATTACTTGGCCAAGAAAGCAATTAAGTCGGCCGTGAATGAGGAACTTTTTGCACAGGTTTTGGAGATGAATGACGTTTTTTGGGTCTTTTGCTTACTGATTTTTGGGTTGGCAATTTCTACGTATGTGCTTCTTGTTGAGGTACTAATATTCAAATACCTGCACTAAGTTGTTGTTATAAAGATGGCTTATTGTCTGTCCCACATGCTGTGCAATTGGGGAATGTTGTTATCGCACAAATTTTATTATTGTTTTTAAAAATTTTTGTATGCAGCATTAGATTACTACTAGCCAGTTTGTATACTAATTTACCTTTCAAAAGATGGGCTTTAACTTTCTATTGGTGGATTATGCGGGCCATTGGTCACAAAACCCTGAGAAAAATGTTGTCGATGAAAATTGAAATTTAAATTATTAATTTTCCATAATCTGTACTTACTTCGCTTAATGGACACACATAATAGCATAATAATTACGCAGCTTTAAGCATAACGTGCAGGAATATTCCATTATACATTATCGCTACGGGCGATGTTACATTATGATGTTTACTATTAAAATCTATTTCTCTGCATAGAGTGCATTATAAATGAATATCTTTCTAATTTTATGCTGTAGTGTAGACAGTGTAAATAATAAAAGTTGCAAATCCACATACCTATAGGTATCGCATCGTTTCGATTAATATTTAATAATATTAGAACATCATCAGGTGAAAAATTAAAAACCGTTTGCAGTCAAAAACGTATATTATCGTCAATAAGAAAAATGTTAAAAATCCTAAGCATACGCTAGTTTTTACAATGTTCTCATTGAAAAATAAATTTTAATACGATCTTCGTGTAGAACTATAGCGGTAAGATGGCGATTATGTAATTGTGGTTGGCACTTTGAAAGTTATTACTCATGGAAATTGGTTACAAATCGGGACATCCGTTTGGTTGGTTTGTAGAAAGCAGATTGGAGAATGCCTGGACGCCGTTTGACGGTAAGCCATCATTGGGTGTAATTGGAAACACGCGGTAAATTTTTTGGTTACTTAAGGAGATTGCAACAAAGTTGTGCTTAGCTAGTTTCATTTGGGTCATCCGCTTCTTCCTGAAGGTATGGATTATTTCGAATTTGTGTTTGGTTGTTTCGATGTTACATGTGAGGTTTAATTGTATCGCTTCTTGACTCGGGAGGATTCTTCGGAAGGGGAAGGGGAAGCTGCAAAGTCCTGAATCTGGAGAAGTGTCAATTCTGTGGGAGTGAACTAATCTACTTAGGGTATATCGTCAACTCCAAGGCGATCCGGAGAAAATTTCCGTTATTCTTAATATCCCTACACTAACTAATAGAGGTTCCAGATTTAATAGGAACTGCATCATGGTACCGTCGCGTCGGTTTGCTCTGAATTTTGTTGAACGGTTGGTACTTGGTAGAGTTGGTGCTGCGTTTCCTCAAACCCGCCTCATAAACGGCCAACTAGCTCAGGGTTAAACAAGAAAATACAAGGTTCAGATCTGTCACAGTGGTAGCTCTGGTGGGCATTTGATCTTCGTCCTTAGTTGCACTTACCAACGGTTGAGCGCAACTCAATTTCTATTTTAACTCTTCCCGTATGAGACTGACAAGATACGAGGGTAGTAATAACAATAAAACTCAATTTAGGTATCAAAAGAAATAGTGGTTTATTCAAACAAATGGCAAACAATTATAATTCTCTCGACAATGGGATAGCGTAATACACAAATATTAAAAATACTCCCCCATATACTCAAAATTATAACTTACGTTAAAAAATCTTATTAACTTCTATATACAATTGAAATTCCCCAATTTAAGAAACCCCGTAATCCAAAATGAACGACTGAAGTTTCCACAAATAAATTGATATTTCTGGCAAAAATTCGCACGTACCTATAGGGCCAAGTACAGGGTGTAAATCGAAAAGTGGAACATAGGCGTTATTTTACGCAAAAATCCTTCAAATAAAAGTTATAGAAATATAAATTCTGCATCTAAATCATGTGAAACGATTATTCTCCCTCTTCTTGTACGCGAAAAAATTAATTATAAAGATTTTGTTTTCACGAGTTTTTAGTCTAAGTAGCCATGGACTATGTTTTTCTTTTATCATAGTCCATGGCTACTTAGACTAAAAACGTTATACTGCAAGGAAATAATTTTTCATTTTCAATTTTTGCCAAAGGTTCCACGCTGTATAAACGTGTCATTTATCACATATGTCTAGTCCACTAGGGCATTATTTTCTTTTCCATTTTCAGGGGAAAATTAATTTAGTACCTCATTAACAATATTTTAACTACTACTAAATTCAAGTCAATCTCACAATTAAAATCAACCGCTTTTAACTTGGAAAAAGATAAAGTCCCTTTAGCGTAAAAGAGTTAGAATATTAGATGATTTTAAAATTCTTACGGAATACAAGAAGACTTGTGGAACTAATTTTCATTGTATAATGTAAAGGTATGACTAATACACCTAACAAAATTGCGGTGATCGTCTAATTCGGCTGACCTCACTGTTATCTATTATTAAAGCTATTACCATTGACTAGGGGTATTAGTCAATGCTATTACGCTAGTCTCTAACTTGGCATCGATACCAAAGGTTGTGTCCCTAAAAGTGCCTACGTATTTCCAGAAAATGGACGGGTAAGATTTTTAGTTATCCCCAAAATAATAATTGCATTAATACGACTATGGTTATAAAGTCTAAATTGAACATTGCACTCCTATTTCTTTGTACATATGTAGGTGCTTTTTAATAACATAATCTTATAATATACCTACATCAACGTATTTTTTTGCAAACGCTGCAGCTATCTTCAGGTGGTTTAAAATGAATTTTCGAAAAACGAAAACCCACAAATATGGCATGTTCGGGCAAAAGACGCATGGGTGGAAAACTTCAGTCATTCATTATAGCGAGTTTATAATTTTGCTGTGTCTGTCCGTCGGTCCGTCCGTGCGTTAGCACGATATCTCGAAAACGAGTGGGCCGGTTACGATGAAGTTTTGCAAGTGGATACTTTATCAAAGTTGTATATCGGAGTTTGTGAATTGGCAATGTAGGCAAAAAATAAGGAAGGCTCTTTTGACATCTCCGTTAAGTAATGAACCGAACTGAATGAAATTCAATATTGCCATATAATACGAAGTGCCAACAGTTGAATCGGTTCAACATTCACAGTGTTCTTTTCGCATCTCGACCATTTATGAAAAGAATTGCAAACTTTTTTTTATTTATGAAGGGATTTAAATGAAATTTGATACAAATGCATTTGAAATAAAAGCAAATCTAATACCAGGTTCAAAATATGATTTTGCGCATAGTATAGCCGTGCCCAAAAGCTCATTCGCTATATTTGTTTACACATTTATTGAATTACGATCATTTTGTTTATGTTGTTAGAAAGAGTCTTTTTCGCCCGCCGCAAGTAGTCAATTTCTTAGCTCTTCAAAAAATACATAAAATAAAAAGTATACAAATCAAAGTGGAAAATGGTACCTACTGATTTTTATTAACGTCTTCTTTCACCTCTTTACCATAGAATGCTTTATAGATTGATGCACGGGAAATATTTTTATTTTTCATTTGCCTATTATATGGCAATTATATCTGTCATAATATGAGATATATAAAGCAGTCTATAACGCCCGAGGGCATAATGGATTGTCATCTCATTATGGCCTCAAATGACCTGTCAAATATATTGACGGAGTCATATTATGTACTTAATAAAAAAAGATGCTACTTGATTCGTATGAAGCACTTTAATGTTGGCAAACAATAGTCATTACATTTGTATATTGGAAATTATTGCATTATTTGGAACGATGAAAAATAAAATTTTGTATGCACCTCAGGCATTACTCGATATTTCGGGCGACCTGCCGAGGTGTTAGCCCCGCAACTCTTCAGCCAGGTGTGCAATTCTGTGTTTGGGTATTATTGGAGAATGGAGATGTATTGGACAAGTTTTGAGCGTGCCTCAAATACCTACCCAAAAATGTTACCACCTCTCCTACTATTGGTAATGGCATTTCATTATGTGCAGGCGTTGGGTTTCACTAGTTCATCAACCTGTTTGGATAGAGATTTGAACCGATACTGCAATATTTTTATGACAGTATCAGTGAGAGGACCTTTGACTAGCTCATTCAGAATTGTGCAGGAATCACTACTGAAAACCTTAAGGGCAGTTAGCTCGGTTATTGAAGCAAGTTTACAGATAATACCACAATATTTCCTGCTTGTTTTTGTTTCAGTGTCTGAACAATATCTTGGATAGGGATGTATTTTCTGGCATTGGCTGTGCCACACATCACCCAGCAGGACCTCGTTTTCATGTGTCCAAAGTGTCGAACGGGAAAAAGGATAACATCCGTGTCTCGATCGGACTTGACCACGTTGGAAGCGTCTACGTCTACAGCGTGCAGGAGACGTGTGTCAGGTCCTCATGCATGGTACGGAGGTGAGTCCCTAACATTACACGTCTGTCATTCCACAACCAGTGGAATCATAAGCAGCTTACAGCCTTGTCACAAATTCACTATTCGCAGTAGGTACGGACAGACCGCGAAATTTCAAAGCTTTCCATTGTGAGAGGCAACTTTAGTACTTACCACAGTATAAAAACCGAAACGCTAGAGGAATATGATTTCGAACATTATACGAATATTTCACTCCTCGTAAATACATTTAGGCGAAAATAAAAATCCGCGCAAATCAACGAAAATCAGAATCTTTATAATTAATTTTTTCGCGTACAAGAATAGGTAGAATAATCGTTTCACATGATTTAGATGCAGAATTTATATCTCTATAAGTTTTATTTGATGTATATTTGCGTAAAATAATTAGGAAACGTTTGCGCAAAGAAAAAGTAATTTCCCATATTAAACGCCTATGTTCCACTTTTCGATTTACACCCTGTACAAGTAAAACATACAAGGCATCTTACCTTAATTTAAGTTAGATGTCGACGCAAACAAGTGAGCTCAGTTCTCGCATCCAAAACCTGCAAATAATCAAAAGCAAACCTCCCAAGGGACAGAGTCCGCTATATAATAAATTGACTAATGCATGAAGGGTTTGGCTCTACTCGTAATATGCTTCTATATAATTGGTACGGTACTTAATCGGCCAACCTCTCCAGAAGGAAGTGGTGGACTCCAACAACATTCAGAACTTCAAACTCAATCACAACTTAACCGTGAATTGGTATGAATCCGAATGATTTGTAAAAATTCGATGAACCTAAAGAATTCGAAAGGTTGGTAGAATTCGTAGAAACAGACGAATCTGAAGAACCGAAAAAACTGAACAATCGGAAGATACCTACTCTAACATCCAAAGAAACGAACGCATCTAAAATATTCTAACAATCCCAAAAATCTTAAATTAAAGGAAGGGAAAAACCTAAAATAGATTTCAAAAACAAAAACGCATTTCTTTTTGATACACTCAGTACATTTATTGATATATTTATAAACTTGTGCTTTGATAAAAAAGATCACTTCTAAGAAAAGGAAATAATGGATCAGAAATTGATAGAAACGTGCTACTTACTTAATGTTTCGCTTCCTTAATCTTTTTAAAATATCCCCTTTTCGATAATTCTTCCATAAAACTTCCCCGAGAAAGCAAATCAAACTTCCGAACAATCCGCTAAGGAGCAGATTGAAACAAAAACCCATATGTTCAAGTCCTAAACCTTTGACGTTGGTTTGAGTTTTTACTAAACGATCATCAATGTGCATCGTAAATGAGCGATAAAGATCAGAAAAGCCGTAAGCATGAATCTCAAGTATTAATGCGTTAATCTGATGGAACATAGGCAAGGATTTCGAGAAAATAACATAGAATGGGAATGAGTAATAAGGTGTTTGTAACACGTGGAATTGGGGACGTCGATCTTCGTCCAGCATGCTTTTCGTTATGTTTTTCAGTATGGACTCCATACAGACCGTTACGAAATCGTGTTCACTGGCAACTTTTTGTAGGCAAAGGGCATCGGTCTCGCAACTTTCGTAATTCAGTCGTGCGTACACTTCTTTACTAAAAAAACGAATCATAACGTCCTGATTTTTCGGTCGTATATGGCCTATCTTCAAATTTAAGTGGGCGATGCTCTCAACTTTGGAAACTACGGGTTCCATTCCGTTGTAGAAGATCATTGCTAGCCATTTTCCTTGAACTACCCCTAAAATGGTGAGACTGGCGCACCATAGTGAAATGAGTAATAAACGAACTGGGAATCGTTTGGGTAAACGTTTTATACAATGGAGTAGAGAAATTCTGTAAACTGTTAGCAAGCAGTACGCAAACGAACAATAATTTCCCATGTCGCTTGCACGTGCATGTAAACCGAAGATGTAAAGTGTTGCAGACGCTGCAATAATACAAAACATAGACAGCAGGTTTATCAGTTTGGTACAAGCTCTCCAAGACGCGAACCCCTTTTTTAAGGGAATTATCAAGTGTACTTTTTCAAAACGCAATGGCTGCGTGATGTCGGTTTCGCCTACTTGAATTTGATGCGGCCCTCCACATCGTAAGTCTATTTGCGATAGATTCGTGCTTTTTGTTATATCCACATACTTATAATTTATGCCCATTTGCCTTAGAATCTGAAAAAGCACGTTACTGGTTTTAAATAGAGTGGATAAGACCTACCAGATTAAGGAGACCTATATTGAGAAAATCTGGATTATTACTGTGGATAGGTAAATGGGGGGTACTAACATAACCCACTGTCCAGACCCGGTCAGTCCATGAGGTCGGTGGAGTACTGGGAAAGGCAACAGCCGTTTTTCCGACAACCGTTTCCGGTTTGGCACCATACGAGTAAAGCATAATTTTGCTGGGTTCACATATAATGATCCTCCAAACGTAATACTTTTCCAAAACCCCGAGTACCTCGTAGGATGGTTCCTCATCGTCGAGAATAATTAGAAATTTCCCACGTGGGTTCCACGATTCTGTCCGTGACAAGTGCATTGCAATCCTCTCAAAGTCCCCACTTGATGTGATAATAACGTAAAGATCGACAAAGAACAACTGGAAACTTTTCAAAGGTTCCAGTCCACCTTGAATTATCAGGGAGTGTGGAAATACCTTCAAATTTCGGTACTTCCAGCTCTCGTTTATTATCAAAACGGTGTCAGTTTTATTTGTGTTGTTGATTATTATTCGTTCTATGCACCTTTCCAAATCTGCAAGGGCTTCCTTTTCGGGCGGTTTCAATTTGGTTAAGACGACTTGTAAATGGATCAAGTTTATCAATAGAATTTTGGCGTGCATGATGGAAGGTAAACTAAAGACCAGTGTTTGTGATAATATTTTGCGAGTTGACTCGCTATAAAACGTTAATTTAATATTAATGCTTAAAAGCTTTTCAAGCTTTTTATGTGTTAATGGAAGGTAGTCATAATTTATATTCATAGTAACTGGTAATGTACAATTAAAATTAAATTTACGTGAAAATTGTTCTTGTGGTACAAACAAAGAAAATGACCTATATTAACATAAAAGAGTTCTAGACACATTTTTGAAACCCCTTACAGGAAGGTGTTGATACAAAATTGTCAAGCATCAACATTAATATCGGCCTACCAATTAGGAACTAAATTTTTCAGTGTATTTCATCAGATTTGTTTAAAATTTTCTTGTTTTCTGGAATATTTCCTCACACCTACAAAACTATCTCCTAGAGAGTAACATATGAAGACAACATCCTTACCGCTTCTCAACGATTTAAAATTTTCCTCTACAGGATTCTGGTGCTCATCGAGAGTTTCAAATGGGCCTTCCAAGTTTCAAGGGATCTGAATTTTAAAAGTATGGAAATATAAGGAAGGTTTTTAAAATTCTGGAAAGTACCGATAATACTAGAATTGTTATTGAATTTAATATTTAAAATTTGAGTTGCACCTTTTTTAAGAGACCTGCCATCACAGCCAATTGTGATTTTTTGGTGTTTTTGTTAGTTTAACGGTCACAAGAGCTGCAGTGCTTCCATGAAATTAGGGTAATTCAAGAAATTTTTACTTTTTTGTGTCTATGGAAACTATGTCTCTCAAGGGCAAATTTTTTTTAATTGGAAACCGCTCCAAGAAAAAGAAGGGTGTAACCAGAAACTTTTACGCCCAGGGATATTTACGTATTCCATTATGGGGGTTCAAAAAGCTCGTAATCGTGCAGATTCCATTAGGTAAAGGACAGTCCGCTGTTATAAACAAACGCGTTCGTGAGCAAATTCCTTGGGAAGCTTTACCTCGTATCCTTGCAGTGATATCAAGTAAAAAGAGAAGAGAAATTAATTCATGCTACGCACGGGAGTTCCAATAAAGGAAACTTAACAATCAAATAATAATAAAGTGCATTGATAGTGCCACTAACGCAATAGGCCAGTTTGGTGTAAGAGCTTATGTAAGAAATTTTCTCAAAGTTGAATCAAACTGTAATAAAATCCAGACTGAAGATTGTTCCAAGCCGGCGGGTTATGCATCCCCTTAGAAATCATCTGATATCGACCCCAATTGAGGAGTAATAAGGTTAGCCGTAAGAATTTCCACGTTGAAGAAAAAATTGTAAATAAAGGTTAGTCGTATTTATTTTTTTGTCAAATTTACTGGATAACATTAAGCTCAATTGTCAAAGACCAGTTGTAGTATTAGTAGCAAAATTTTAAACGAAAGGTCCTAAAGGAACCGAAAAAGTGTAAAACTGTGTGTCTTAATCAAAGGAACCCCTCTAATTCCTTTTCTTAGATCAAAGTTATTCCATAAATTTCACGGTGAATGTAACCATGTTCAAGGGTTATTACTAGGTACGTAATTTGTCATGGTAATCATAAATGGAGGTTTGGTTAAAGTGTAAAAGTACATATTTAAATTAGCCGCAATTCAATTTGAAACAATTAAGTGATCCAGAGGCAATAAAGGAAATGGGCATTTCAAAGTAAATTTTAAATATCCCAAATTGGGACAGGGAGATTTATTATAATTAATGAAAAATTAACGTAAAAAGGGAGACGCATTCTTGAACGACTCTTAAGATTTTCTGATTTTCATCAATATACAGTGACTTGGCATTTTGGTGTTATTATTTTGTTGGAATGTGAAAAATAAAAAATCCATTTGTAGGAAAGTTTCAGATAAAATAAAAGGAAATCCCTCAAGTAAGCAAGGGGAGTTTAAAGGAGGTAACGTTTAGCACAAAATCATAAGGGCTAGTCGACAGCATTTCAGTAATTTTCCAGTAATAAAGTTTTCTTGTTGGCATCTAGTTTTACCAAACCAAAGGGAAGTATCAAAAAACGTAGGTTGCAAAATGGCACCTAATAGTGGGACTCTAGACCGTTGGTAGGGTTGGCCAGGGCAAAGTGGCAAAATAAAAAAGGATTAGCCTACAGCTTCTACATCTAGGGTGTTATGGAAATTCTGATTATTCGAAGAAAAGCGGCCATCGAATCGGGTTAATGGAAACCGTCCATTTTGGACCGTAGGGCAAATGGAAATGAAATTTGACATTTTTAGTTTTTCGGTGATACGTATCCAGATACTTAGGTATCTCAGTATCAGTGATTTTCAAAGATGCGTTTTTGGTCCCCCCTCCCCCCCCCCCCTTCATTTAACAAATGGGCTGATGGTAAAAGCACTTTCACGAATAAAAAAAAATTGTTTGTAACAAGTTCCTAGTAAGATGATCAATCTCTTCTTGTCTGACCATAGAGAAATTCATTTATAATCCTTTGTTAGCGCATTGTTTAATGTCGCACCTAATTGAAAACGTCCTCAGCCGAGCACGATTGTATTTGTTTATTTTAACTACAAGCAAAATTTATTTCCTGCCTTAGCGCAAATAATCCTTTTCTGGCGCAGATTTTCAATCACGAAATTAATTCCTTACGCGTCTTTTTGATTGAAGATTGCTCTACAGTGTAAGTGGTAGTTTGAATTATAGCCTATACGTACTTGAAAAATTGGGCAAGCATAAAGGATACGGAAATTTATTATTAAGGGCAGTTTAAGTGTTTTTTATACATTATTTAAGTATAATCTATCAAAGAAATAAAAATAAATTACGAAAGGTACAACCCCCGCAATCTAGGTATGCTGTAAGTGATAGTTTGAATTTCTTGAAAAATTGGGCAAGCATAAAGGATACGGAAATTTATTATAAATATATATAAAGGCAAAAAAAAAATAAAAAAAATAAATAAATAAATTAATGAACAGTTTAAGGGTTGTTTATACATTATTGAAACATAATCTATCAACGAAATAAAAATGTTCGGTGTATTACGAAAGTTACAACCCCCGCAGTCTAAGTACGGTGCATCCCATCCCGTTACACCGTTTTTCCGGCGCCAACCCATCCCGGCGACCATTACTATCCCGGCATCGGTCATCCCGGCGACTATTGATTTTCCGGCATCGGTTATACATTGCATACCTTCCAAACGATCCCAGTCCATCACCATCTTTCTTTTGTTTTTTCTATACACAAATTTAATATCTTTCAATTGCAAAAATTGAACACTGTTCATTGTCATTTCCTTTCATTTTTCCTGTATGAATAATAAATAGGCAAGGTATGTGAAAGTACCTACTTACTGTTAACGCTCCATTTTGTAGGTATACTCAGTGTGTCCGTTCGATAGAAAGAGGGGTACATCAGCAAAGTTTTGGAAAGTTCTGAGCTGATTTGAAATGATTTTAAATTTAAGTAATCTCATTTTTTTTGTTTTCAAGATATTTGAGAAGAGCAAATTGCCGGTACGACCGAAGCCGGGACGTGCACTGTTGCCGGGATGGTCATCGCCGGGATTGCCCATCGCCGGAGTTGCCCGTCGCCGGGTTTAAATCGCCCGGATGACCGAAGCCGGGAAGTAAATGGTCGCCGGGAAGTCGGTGCCGTGATGGGAATGGCCGGGATGACCGTGGACGTTAGTATGCTGTAAGTGATAGTTTTAATTACTTGAAAAATTGAGTAAGCATAAAGGATACGGAAATGTATTATTAAAGGGCAGTTTAAGGGTTGTTTATACATTATTTAAATATGTATATAAATATGATCGGTTTTTCAAATCCATTGATTCTATAACTGAGGCTTAGGATTGCGTCTACACCATAGGCACTAGCATCACTAGTTAAATATAAAGGATAAGACGAGTTATAAATAATGCTCGTCTACACTATCCGATGTAATCAATTCTTTACTCACTACTTCACAGTTTTTATTCAAATGTAGGCAAAGAGTACCCCTTTGATATAGGTATTCCAACTTCATCGATGCGATGACCTAAAAAATCAACTTGCTTTTTAAAGAACTGGCACTTTTTCATTTGCTTTTACATTAAATTCTTGTTTTCATAACAAGGCCGTAAAGAGTCACCAAACCCAAGTATATCATCTAGAATAGATAATTCCTGCAAGGTAATCCTGGCAAAATAGTTGACATGGCAGCAGAAAATATAGCCGGCGCAGAATTAATACCATATGTTAATCGTTTAAATCGAAAGAGTCTTTTATGCGTATTAATGGTTAAGGAATGGACTGGATTGTGGATCTACTTCTGAGCGTTGATAAGCTCCATTTTGCTCAGTGATACTAAAAGAACGACTACCCCGACTTTTTATGGACAATAGCAATAGGACTGACTATACTTGCCTTTTTCAAGTACCATTTTTGACTCTTTTTCAACTTTTTTCTATAACCAACTGGTACATCGTACCATAGAGTAAATACTCTATGATCGTAGGCATTGTGGTGTTTCTTTATTGACTTAAAAGGGGCATATGACGTGGTTGATTTGGATATCCTATACTTAAAAATGGTAGGACTAGGTATCAATAGGAAAGTATGCATAAATTTACTTAATCTTTTTGTAAATAGAAAAATACATTTGCGTGATCATAATAATGTATTACACGGTCCTAGAATGCTCTATAACGGTCTCCCACAAGGCTCAATATTGAGCCCACTCATCTTTAATATTTATACTGCAGGTCTGCATGATTTGGTGGCCGACAATATCAAAATTGTTCAGAACGTCGATGATCGATGTATGTTTAATTGCTTAAAAGACTGGATCAACGAAATGGAATTTAGTATTTCACAAGAAAAATCAGCTATAATGTGTCTGACAAGAAATAGGCTGCTAACTGCTGGAGAAATTTCCATAAGAGTGATTATACTTTCTCTATAGTCGACGAATATAAACACCTAGATATAATTATCGATAAGAAACTCCTATGGAGCAGTCACATAGAGTACATTAAACAAAGATGCGTCAAAGGATTTAATATTCTTCGCTTTGCGTCAAAAAAATCTTGGGGCGCAGATTAGCATATTTCCTTGATGTTTTATAGGTCGTATATATACGGTTCAGTCTCAAATTCTAATTTATTAACTGTGGACGAGATACAATTTAAAGCCCTAAAAGAAGTCTAGGCCCCATGATGTCTTCACCAAATCAAGCAGTATTAGCAGAAACCTCTATATCTACGTAGGCAATACAAATATTTAATTAAATACAGGATCTTTAATGGTCAATAAAGTATACCTAGTTCCTTACTGGAAAATTAAAAATTCACCACCATTAGCAAACTCTCTTATTGATACAAACACCTACCAAAACCAAATATTACAGCACGCTAAACTCCCTTTATATGAATTCAATTTGGAAGTCGTTATAGACACACCAACCACCATATTCCCTAATTATTCTGATAACCCTGTTCTAACTAATATCATGCTTAAATGTGCACTTAGTAATGTTGGAGAAAAGCTGGCCGCAATTAACACAGATGGGTCAACGAATGACGGAAGCACTGGCTGCGCTTTTTTTGTTGTAATCATAAACTATATAAACTACGAAAAAGGGTTTTCGGCATGCAAAGAAAGGCTATTCGAAGACTACCTTACAGAGCTGACTGCAAGTCTGCATTCAAACGACTCAGGATAATGACGTTCTATTCGCTTTATGTATATTCTTGCTTGTGCTATGCGAAAGCAAACTTACACTGTTTTAATACATGCAAAGATGTCCACTCACACAGCACAAGAAACAGCGAAAACTTACGCACTCCCTTCGTGAGACAAGCCACCTCACAATACGGGCCTAACTTCTGGTCCGTAAAGTTCTTTAATGCCCTACCCACTGAAATAAAAAATTTACCGACACATTTGTTTAAGAAACAAGTAAAGGAAACGTTGCTTTGCAATCCCCTATATTGTATAGAAGATTACTTTGTTGTTAAGTTTAAGTGTTAAGTTTTATTGTGTTCTCTACTTGACAATTGACATGTGTAAATATCTGCAGATAATACTACACGAATAAACTTTATTATATTATTATTATATTGAAAGTTACAGAATATCGTTAAAAATCTTATTATTGATTTAAAAAAAGATAGTATAACAATTGCCTGACCTGGACCAAGGTGCATTGTGGAAATGAAGCTCAATATTGGAAAATAATGGAAAATGGCCCAATGCTTACTCTGCACTTTGAAGCAGATAACATTAATGAAAATTGTATGAATTTATCTCTTGTTACTTCGGCATTCTGTCACCAGGCTTCCTAAAGCTATTAAAAGTACAACACACTGTAGAATCCAACGACGCAGAAAAAAACGATCACTAATTTTCAATTGAAAACTTCGAACTTTGTTAGAAATCTAAATTTACTCAAATTTTTAAATTACCAACCCTATAAGTTGATCACCCTGTAGACTCTACCTATTAAGAATGTGCACCCCTAACAATCAGAAATTCTAATTTCATACAAAAAAGTTTGAAAAAAAGGAATCCAAATTAAGAGCTACCGTTACAGACAACGCCAATTAACATTATATGGGCGAAACATATTCAGTGATATTTTTTAACAATAGGGGTTTTACATACGTTGTTTTTCACTATCTCTACTTTTAATTAACAACATCTCTTTTAAAGGGCGCCTAATTTTGTGCAACTGCGTCCACAATAACTTAATATGACATTAATTAATTTGAATGTTGTTGCTTTGGCTTCACCGAAAATTAATCTCTCACGCTCCCTAAAGCTAAACTGTTACCGGAAATATAGGTACCAATTAACAACAATTTCTTTAGTATACACCGCACACGAACGAATAAAAATAAAGAAGCCAAAATTAATTAATATGACAGCCTGATGTTCATTTGTTTTAAAAAGTTATTTGGATTGCATAAAATGAGGCGGTCTTCTGAAGGATTTTGTCATTTAAAGGTAGACATTGGGAAAAACAATACGCGTAAATTCCTATGCCTACATCTTAATTGATATCACCGTAGGTATATTTAGGCCAGTAAACGGAAGCAATAAAAACAAAGGGAAAGATAAATAGGAATACATTCATTATTTTTAAGTTTGGGGATGGCAAACTTTTATCCTATCTCTTTTTGGTGCGTCACTTTGCATATAAATATAATGTAGGTACATGGTGAGGTGCCCTGCACCTGTTCGTTTAGCAATATAGAAGTTTATGTAAGATTATGTATGTATCTAATTCATTTTCGAATGAATCGCCAGTGAGAGCGAGTTGTGTGTGTCCCACTCGTATGAAACGAGTTTATATTCCACGTGTAAAGGGGTGAGTTTTGAATTTTGATTTCCTTTACAAAAGACGGGTATCCCATTGAGAAGTTTTCAACATTTTCTTCTGTATATACGTAATCTTTTGTTTTGAAGTTTTAGGGGTGAGAGGGTGCACTATTTTGAATTTATTACATATACTTTAAATGGAATTATTCCCTCGACTAGCCCTCTACATGAACATGTTTTAGTTTCCTTACGAATGTTCCATACCCCACAGAATCGTGCCAACTTCAATGGCCTTTTTTGTTCTAAAAAAAACTTGTGAGGTGTTAACGCTAAATTTTTTTGGGTGAGAATGTAGCACGGGGGGGGGGGGATAGTAAACAAAACTTAGTTTACCCTTTTTCGACCATCATCATTACCATCATGAAATGGTTCGAGTACTCGCATACTATTCCAGACCGCCCAGTTTTAGGTTTTTATGTAAAACTCTAAGCCCGAACAAAGAATTAGGTAATACGAGTATGAAGTAAATAAACGTAATTAAACAAATTGCGGTTAATAATGGTTTTTCTTTGACTACATCACAAGAAATTGTTAACAAAAATAAAGTGCAATGCTCCTATTATCAGCGTTAGCGTTTTGGTATGCAATAGCAAGCATCTTTGTTTGCAGCCCTACGGTTGCGCGTCACTTTGCAATAGGTTTTTGGAAATTAAAGGGGTCGTTTGTCCCTTACTTTGCTCGTAAATAATTTGAACTTTCAATTTTTTAAATGAATTGTTTCTCGGTATAGAAATTATTTGGGTTCACGGTTAGCTCTATTAAATTTTATATTTAGACTACACACGGAAAAAATTTGCTTCTCAGGGATCTCGAAATTGAAGCTTATTTCTTTTCCGGAATGTAGGAAATAAATAGAAAAACAAACATTTTCCCAGTCACTAATCGAATTTGGACACTTTTAAATTTCCAAAGTAGTAACAGACTATTTTTAACTAATGCTGAAACCCTCCTTGGCCGCTTCTTCTTTTGCTCCTGTGTACCAGCCACGGGAGCGATCTATTATGTGTTGGAGGTCGGAGTTGTCCATCCTTTGATAGATTTTGTCGGCCAGCGATCGGGTGTGCTGCGAGGGTGTCTATTTGCTGGTCCCTGCCTGATGGTGGTGTTGAAGACGAAGTAGGGGGCTCTGGTTATCGTGCGCAGCGCGATGGATTGTACCGCTTCCAGTGCGGTGGAGTTGAACTTCGAGACATACGCCTTCCAGCCTGCAGAGGCGTATATCAGCACGGGGCGAACGTAGCTCTACACAGGTGTACCTTCGTTCTTGGCGCCAGCGCTGGGGATGATAGTTATAGAGGGTACAATCTAGATCTTTCCCTCCGTCCTTTGGCGATCGTGTCGGCTACGTGTTGGGCGAAGTTTAGTCGCTTGGCGCTTCTTGTCTGATGAAAAACATTTTTGAAATCCCAACTCAACTCAATATGAAACTCCCAAAGCAACAATTACAAGAATTTCTTAGAATCCCGTCCTAGCGCCTTATGACTTCGATCGTGCCCTTGAACTCGAAGAATTGAGTTAAGGAGCAGCGTTTCCAAACTCGCAAGGAACTGAAAGAATTTGTCACAGCTTACCATCATTGGCAGCAAAGTTTTATGAAGAAAGTATTCACTTATGCGACAAATGCCTCTTCGTCAGGGTGAGTAACCTAGATGATACATTCTTTTTTGGTTTTTATCTGTATTCTCTTATAGGAAGTTTACCGGAAGTTAAAAAAATAGCCTTCTGTTCCACTTCGTTTGAGATCGTTCCTCGGAATACCGTAGTGCAATTACTACAAATGGATTGAGCACAGGGCGTTGGCGAAGGCGTTGGTGTCTACCTATATATTCGATGGTGGGCCATCTGCATTACTACAGGAAAGACCACTTGTAAGTTAAGGTAGACAACTTTGTTTCTACTACATTACAAGGGTAGGTACTTCCTGAAAAGGGATGAACATTGCTTTCTTTTATTTCCTCCCTTCCTAAATAAACTTCACAATAGTACATAATACCAAGGGACTAAAGTGTGCGTTTTAATCCCCAAAGGGGCCTCGTACTTCAATAGGTATTTCATCGCAGATAATGTGCCATTTTATTGACTTTTTGTAAATAAATAATGCGCGAAAATTTTTGGAGTAGTCATTTTTTGGTAAAGTGCAAAGGCTATTCTTGCCTATAAATTAGGATGAAAAACGTATCAAGTGTCAAGTGTCAAGCGTCAAGCATCAAGTATCAAGTGAGAAGCTTATGAGATTTTAAGAGAGATTTAAAAAAAGTGATTCAAAAAAGTCAGGAGAGATCCAAAAAAGTTAGTAGTGAATCAAAAAAGTTAGGAGTGATTCAAAAAAAGTTAGGAGTGATTCAAAAAAGTTAGGAATGATTCAAAAAAGTTAGGAGTGAATAAAAAAGTTAGGGGTGATTCAAAAAAGTTAGGAGTGATTCAAAAAAGATAGGAGTGATTCAAAAAAGTTAGGAGTGATTCAAAAAAGTTAGGAGTGATTCAAAAAAGTTAAGAGTGATTCAAAAAAGATAGGAGTGATTCAAAAAAAGTTAGTAGTGATTCAAAAAAGTTAGGAGTGATTCAAAAAAAGTTAGGAGTGATTCAAAAAAGTTAAGAGTGATTCAAAAAAGTTAAGAGTGATTCAAAAAAGATAGGAGTGATTCAAAAAAAGTTAGGAGTGATTCAAAAAAGTTAGGAGTGATTCAAAAAAGATAGGAGTGATTCAAAAAAGTTAGGAGTGATTCAAAAAAGTTAGGAGTGATTCAAAAAAAGTTAGGAGTAATTCAAAAAAGTTAAGAGTGATTCAAAAAAGTTAAGAGTGATTCAAAAAAGTTAAGAGTGATTCAAAAAAGTGGTTCAAAAAAGTTAAGTGATTCAAAAAAGTGATTCAAAAAAGTTAGGAGTGATTCAAAAAAGTGATTCAAAAAAGTTTTTTGATTTAAAAAGGAATGTTTCAAAAAAATAAAAAAAAATTTTAAACTTTTTTATTGTATTTCTCAATAGTTACATTTGTGTAATTTTTAATAAAGTTTAAATATAGATTCTCTTTTTAATTAAAAAAATTTCGTTTACTTTAATAGTTTTCATTGTTTTTTTGCTGGGGGAGACTGTCTTGTGTTGAACTAGTGCCAGCTGCCAGCAAAGTGCAGTTAGGGCAGTACAATATTATTCTAGAGATGAACAAATGTAATAAGTTTCTTTTTTTGTATTACAAAGATCTTCTTGTAACAGTGATAACTTAAAAAATAAATAACTTGATAGGTACGTATATTTTGTTCTCAATTGAAGCTACTAGTACTTAGTGAAACACCATAGTCACTTTGATTGACTACTAGTAGCTACCTTAGAGTAATCCTCGATGACGGATGGACCGGAATGATGATGACAGCGCCGAATTCGAAGTGGTGATGGTAAATAGTACTCACCCCTACAACAATAAGATTATCCAGTAAACGTGTAGACAGGATTTCATTGTCCTACCTAAGAATGTTGGTCTTTGTTGACAACTGCAGAGTTGACTAGTTCCTTCGGTCTTCGCATCGGAAAAGTGTCGTTGTTTTAGAGAGCTAGCGATGGAGGTAGGTACTTACTGCTTAAGACCGGCTAAAAAGTGAAGTCGGATTAGAAAAGATCTTTTGATGGGTAAGTATATGTATCCCAAAATAGCTGATATATTTATGAAATAAATCAGATCAAATCAGTTGAATGTGGCCTGTAGAATCCATAATTTCAAACAGTTCCAAGATTGGGCTACTAGATCAAAAGTTACAGCCCTTAAAATTTTCTTTAGAAATTGGTTTCTAGTCCATAACTTTTGATTGAGAGGTCTAATCGAAAAAGTACGATTCGTTTTGGATTCTACGCACCAAAATTAATAAGAAAAAGTTTTTTCCCGAGAAATTTTGGTGTAGTCGATTTTTGGTGAAAAAGGAAGGTTATACACTGCCTTTTTTTGAGGCTCTAAAAAAATTGTCTTAGATCGACCGGGAAAAAAACATTTTCTTATAGAATGTGGCCTGTAGAATCCATAATTTCAAACAGTTCCAAGATCGGGCTACTAGATCAAAAGTTACAGCCCTTTGAATTTTTTGTCGAAATTGGTTTTTTGCCCATAACTTTGATTGAGACGTCTAATCGAGAAAGTACGAATCGTTTTGGATTCTACGCACCAACATTAATAAGAAAAAGTGTTTTCCCGAGAAATTTTGGTGTAGTCGATTTTTGGTGAAAAAGGAAGGTTATACACTGCCTTTTTTTGAGGCTCGAAAAAAAAATTGTCTCAGATCGACCGGGAAAAAACATTTTCTTATAGAATGTGGCCTGTAGAATCCATAATTTCAAACAGTTCCCACATCGGGCTACTAGATCAAAAGTTACATCCCTTTGAATTTTTTGTCGAAATTGGTTTTGTGCCCATAACTTTTGATTGAGACGTCTAATCGAAAAAGTACGAATCGTTTTGGATTCTACGCACCAACATTAATAAGAAAAAGTGTTTTCCCGAGAAATTTTGGTGTAGTCGATTTTTGGTGAAAAAGGAAGGTTATACACTGCCTTTTTTGAGGCTCGAAAAAAAAATTGTCTCAGATCGACCGGGAAAAAACATTTTCTTATAGAATGTGGCCTGTAGAAGCCATAATTTCAAACAGTTCCCAGATCGGGCTACTAGATCAAAAGTTACAGCCCTTTGAATTTTAATAATTTCCATAAAATGATTAACGTTCGACTGTACCTTACTTTCAGACTTGCGGTGAGACGACCCTGGTGGATGTTGCGAAGATGATTTTACTGGACAAACGGGTGCCAGATGTCCTTTCTTATTGCAACGATCACAAGAATAGTCGCGGTACTTGCAGTCTTTTGCCATATGGATTGATCGCCCACAAACCGTCATTTACCACGTAACTTGTGGCGGCTACCGGAACTGATATGATGAAGGTCGGGTTCCCCTATAATAAATTGTCCAATCACTGTTTTTGAAACTAAATTCTGGTAAATGTCCAACACTTGCGGCACTGACAGCCATTGTTTAACCGATGCACAATTTATTTGTAAATGTTAACAATATCCTTTAAAAACCCTCGTCGCGAATTTTGTATTTGAACGGAGCCAGAGAAGGAAACAAACATGTTACTCTACACAGCGTTTATTCTATACTGAATTGTACGGGGAAGTCCGATATCAATTTTGGGAAACAACTGGGAAACTTTCAAACTTTTTTGAAACCTTTAATTTTTTGAATCGCTTTTTGAATTCCTTTTAAACTTTTGTGAACCACTTAAACTTTTTTCAAATCCCTTAAAAATTTGTTTGAATTTTTTATTTTTTGAAACTTGAATTTTTTTGAATGTATTTTAGTATTAAAAAATTGACTGGACTAACAACTTTTTTGTATTTTGCAGACATGGTTTCCTTACCGCACTTTTCGCCGTAAACTTCCACAGAGAAAAAGATGACCACGAAGATGGCGTTAGAACAATAAAAATATATTTTTAAGTGAATATAATTTAAATTGTGATTGAAGGTGTACACTGTGTCTTTGTTAATAAATTTTCACCATCAAAACTTTACTTTACCACTGCTCTATTTCTACAAAGGGCAACCAAAGTGATGATGAGAACCCTATATGAAAATGGAGGTAGAACACACCTGTGTATTTGAGCAACTCCATTTTGAATTAGAAACCTCCATATGACAACCTTTTCTAACGACTGGAAAGTGGCACCGGGATCGATTCGATGGCCTACCACCCCATCTCAGGCATCTTGGCCTAAAATTAAAATAAAAATAAAGATGTAGGTAATGGAAGTACTTGACGCGCCTGTGTATTCCGTTCCAAAGTGCTGTTGGGTCGGTTACAGCCCCTTGAATTTTTTAACGAAATTGGTTTTTTGTCCATAACTCTTGATTGAGACGTCTAATCGAAAAGGTACGAATCGTTTTGGATTCTACGCCCCAAGATTTATAAGAAAAAGTTTCCCCAGAAATTTTGGAGTAGGTTTTTGATACAGATGACGCCTGAGATGATGCGTCTTTTCGTTTGATTTAGTTACATCTAAGCACACATTTGGATTCATTTACTGTTCAATGTCTCAAAAGCAGTTTGGTCGCATCAGAAGGTCAGTTTAAAATAAGTAATGTCTGGAAAAATCCCTTTTGATGTACCTACTTATTTGCAAGAAAAATGTAAAAACTTACCCTTTACACGTGGAATATAAACAAGTTTCATACGAACGCAGCACATGCAGCCGCACTTACTGACGATTCATTCGCAAATGACTAATATAAGTACCTACTCGTACATACATAATCATAACTGTAATGGTGATAAACAGGTCACCCGAACACGTGCCTAATTATCCTTACATACAGGATGGTGCATCAAAAAACATCCACTCTTAGGAACTGGGGAACGAAGTGGTTTTCACTAAACGTGTCACCACATCAGATTATTTAATTTATTTAAATTAAAGTTGTGAAGCAAACATTATATTGCTACTGAAACGCACAAAATGGACAAAAAACCGATTTAAAGAAACGGCAAATTGAATTTTGTTTGTAACTTTTAATGTAGTCGCAAAATCACGAAAATTTTAGATTACACAGCCCAAAATATACAAGAAAATTTCCTCTCCCGGTCGATCCGAGATTCCAGCCGTTTTCCGACAAAGTTTGGAGGCAAGAGTATACAGGTTGTTTCGCGTAAACCATTACGTAAAAGTTTTCAGATTCTCCTTGACACATTAAAGGATATTCATTTGCTGAATTACATTAAGATCCACTATTATCATTTATGTAACCCTATTTTGTTAATTGATGACATACTCTAACGACCATTGCAATGAATGGCATGAAAATTGTATAAATATATAGCATGCCTATAGTAATGAACCATTCATTCCTGTACGTGTACGATCACCAGAAAAGGCCGAAGTGTACCTGCGGTAGGTGGGCTACAAATTAAATCAGCTTCGCGGTCTAATAAGAGAACTATAAAGTAAATTATCATTGCAACAAACAAACATTGTTTGAAATAAATTTATGACCGATGAACATGTACGAACGTACATTACTCATTGCCCGACACGCGAAGTTGCTATTTAAGTAAAGTAACCGATAACTTCAATTTTACTTATCTATAGAAATAATTTGATATCTGAAATGCCGAACATGAAATTCGGTCATAAATTACGCTACCATATAGAGATGGAAGTTAATTTTTTACAAAGTAGCTATATTTAAGGATCGAAGTTCAGGACTTGCAAACTTAAAATAATCTATTATAGAAAGTTTAGCAAATTTCGTATTCTTGTCGCTAAGTTTTCTACAATTAAAACCATTTTAATCCACTAAAAGACTTTCGGAAATTAATTTTTTCTCCCCGCACGAAAAAAGTTTATTTATTCTAGAAACTTTACACGTAAGTCGATTTAGTGAGAGATTACAACTTTTTATGAGAGGATAAAGTTATTGATATTCCCAATATTTCGATACACGCGCAACGGCGGTAGGATTTAGATTTTCGGGCTTAATTCTATAATGTGATTCAATTCGCAGAGCTCCACAAAGACGTTAATTTCGCAAATGCCAACATGAACAAAAACTGGGATTAACTTGGATTGAAAGGAGTATGGCGGAAATTTCGTATAGGTACAGTTAAAATGTGCAGGAAATTTTGGGAATGTTAGTCTGAAATATCAAATTGGGCGATTTAATTTTACTGTGAAAGTTTTCCATCATAAGGATTTTTCGAAATATGACGCCTTGATTTGAAGCGTTACTTCAAAGAATTGTGTTTGCTCCGAAAGTTGAAGGTTCACATTTCAAGTTGGAAATTTAACCCCTATAAGGTTTGCCGCAGTTGATGTTTGAAGGTTCAAACGTGAGCACTGCATCGTCGTCACTTCCGAGTGATTGCAATTTCAAGCTGAAAGAACCTCAACACTTCAAGCTGAATTCTCGAACGTATCAACTCTGAACCTTGAGGTTTAATTAAATTCTGAAGCTTAACATTTAAATGAGTAGACAATTTTGGAACGCCTGGGAAAATAAGGATAAAAGTATCGTTTACCTTAGCGTAAAATTCCAATTCCAAACAGTTACATGTGTGTTAAAATTCAGACCATTACTTTGGACTGTGTGCCTAAATGAGACGCCATGATTGGGTCGAAAATTAAGTTCCCCACAAATTCGCCGTTTAAAGGACAAAACGCAGTGGTTTTATAAAAAGAAAAAAAAAACAAATTCCATTACTTTGGACCTTATACCAGAAACTGACTGAAACTCTTTCTGGCAATTTAAAACCTTACAATAGGAAATATCTCACAAACAAAAAATGGTCAAAACCGTTTCTAGGATAGAAATGGACTTGAAACTTTGGTGTCACTTTCAAGTCGAGGTTGCTAAAATGCTAAAACGCGTGTGGTGCTTGTTTTAGTAACTATTTTAGAGTTACGTTTCAAAAGAATCCAAAAACAAATCTTTTAAGTACAAAATTCATAGAAAAACTTTAGAATTTTAAAAAATCTCACACAGGACTACAATCTACAAACCGTTTATTTTAATATGTTATCAAACTTACAAGAAGCAGAAGCATCAGTAGTAAATTTTGGAAATGTCTAAGAAGTTTTCAATACCTATTTGGGAAATGTTCGAGTTGAAACAATAGTTATTTATTATACAAGCACTTTAGTTTATAGCAGAAGCCATATGAATCATTATAACACTTCTGAAAATTCTGTAGTTGTTAATAATATACTCGTATGCTATATAATATATAGGATTGCTCGATCACGAAATTTTTTCAATTGCATTTCATTATTCATATTATGTTAATTCTAATAGGTCCAAATGGATTTTGTAGTTAGGTATTTAAATTAGAAACACGTCTACAAGTCGATAAATTCTTCTTCAGTGTTTTGCTTATTGAAAGTGTCGTTCGTGTTCTTCATCTTCCATGAAAATTACAGCTAAATCAGTTATTGCAATTGCATTGTTTATGACACTGGCTAAAATGAGCGCCAGTTGAGTGTAAAATGTTATAACACTAAATGTAAAAACAACTTAGCGAATTATAACATTCAAGTCTGACAGCCAGATCCGTTGGTGGTCATATTAGGGTGGGGGCACCATCACGATTAGGGATCAGGCAAATCCTATATTATATATCATCCTTGGGTATTCAATTTAGACATCAAAAATAGCAAGTTTTAGTTTCTCCCGTCGTTTCCATGGAAACAATATTGTATTCTGCTCTAAACTTCATTTTATATAGTGTTCCGCGTCCCATTTTGAATAAAAATGGCAAATGTCATTGCAATGCACAATGACTTGTTTCACTTTATTTACCTTTGTGTCGTTAAAGTGATCACTATCTACTCTTACTGTTAAAAAGATAGACTTAGGTTACTTATTCAAACGTATTAAAATTTAACATCTGCTTTGGAATAATTTTTATAATGTACATGTATTCGAATTCGAACAATCTGTTTGATAAACCTCACATGGAAAGGAACCCAAGAACCGGTATCTGGTGACTGATCTATTTCTCCACTTTTGCCAAGGCCAATAAAGACGAATGAATTTACTGCAAAGTCGAAAGTGAACAAGAGGACGCCTGGTTTGCGGCTGTTGTCGCACAACATGGCGATAGTTTCTGACCTCGTGCTTGAAGTCCCACAAAACTAGGGTTCAAATCACGATGCCAGAGTAGAAGTTAAGTTCGAGGTTCTGTGTAGTGTATGATTGAGGTTTAATTAATTAACTTCAAAGAAAATTGTTAGGTATTATAAAAGCGGAAAATAAAAACCCAATTAATGAAATAAAAGCTACGGTAAGTAATTAATTGAAGTACTGACCGTGATCAAAGACGGAGCGAAAAATAGCTTGCGCACGGCGTAACTGTTAAATGAAAACTGATTTTGCGACGTGGATGTTTCCCACAAAATCAAAAGTGTGAGGTCCTTGACCGTGCGTCGCATAATGCGATATCAACAACCTTGCAAAAGTTCTCCCAATTATTTGATATCGAAAACACTTTACCGTTGAAATTAATTACCCATGCTACCCCGCAAACGCACCATTAAAACAATAGTGACGGAAAAATTATAATTACGAACTTTTTGATTACGGGTTTACCAATTACGAAGTAATAAGAAATGTACCCGACTAATCTGCAAGTAGAACGTGATTTCTTTTACGGGAAAAGTGAAAACCCATCTTGTATTTAGAAATGTTAGAGGTTCAACACTTTGGAGCTTGTATTCTTGAAAGTGACTCACGGGCATTACGTTTGGGCCGAAAATTTGGGGCCCCAATTTGAAAATATACCGGTTGTATGGAAAGGAACATATTTCGTCTGTTTGAGATTCATATATCCTTATTGGATTATAAAACGGTGCTTTTGAGCCGAAGCTGTCCCAACATTTCCTTGAGTAGTGTAGGTACCACAACTTCTCTGGTGAAACTCATTGGAACGTTCCATGAGTTTGAGGTTTGGAAAGGTTTCAAGCTTGAAGCGTTGTTTCCAATTTTGGACCGAACGTGCTCAAAACTTTGAGCTGTATTATTGTTTGTGGTACAAGCAAACATAGCATACAAACTTGAAAAATCGTAAGGATTTGAAAGAAAGCTCCAAAATGTTGGTTTGCATGTACCTTAATTTTGCAATGAGGAGCAGTGGTTCTATAGAAGTTGGGAAAATTGTATATGTTTCAAGTTCAAGCCATCACTATAGACTCGATATAGACCACTGCAGTGTTAGCGCTTTTATGGGCCAATAACGTCTTACTTTTTAACGTATAGGTGCCCTAATCTCCTCTAGAGATAATTATTGCGCAAAATGTTATCTGTTTGAAATTCAAGTTGGGTATACTGTTGACTATACGCTTGAAAATCACTCAATCTTATGGTTTTGGCGCTGTGCTTCGACCAAAAGTGGTTTTACGGAATTTAACTAAGATTGTCGTTTATATACGAGAGACGAGAAAAAAAGACGCCTGTTGTTGAAGTTCGATGCCGAACCGCTGTAGAAGTTTAATTTCGCCCAGTTTTGTGGCCGACTACGTTTTGAGTTGAAGAAGAACTGCAATCAAATTCAAGTTTTGTATTTCGTCTAAACTTTACTACGATTACGTTACGCCAGACAGAAGAAGCTGAAGGACCAAGTTTGTGCGTGTCACGGTTCATCAGGTGTCTGTGGTCTCAATTAGTATAATTAGTTATTTGAGTTTACGAACCTTATTTGGATATTTTGTCTAGAAGAAGAAAACTGTTTCAGTTGGTAGTTTATTGTAATATTGTTCTGAGCATTCATGTCCATTTTAACAGGATTGTACCTATTTATTTTATCTTGTGTGTGTAAAATAAAAATTATCTGTGTAATTCACGCAAGTTGTGTGTTAATTCGAAGTTCAAACCCTAATTCATTATCCGACGGTTCATGTTCAAATTACGACTAATTTGAGTGGATTCTAACCCAAAGTCCATTTTTTGTCTTAAGGTCAAAGTCAAAATTTAGTTAGTCCGTTTGGAATTGAAGGATTTTGAGCTTGTTCGCTGTCTGTCGGGAATAGAAAACCGAACTGAGGTCAGGATTGAATCATTTTTCTGTATGGAATGAGGATCTGTACCGGGAAAGTTATAATTCTGGAGCGAGCTAGGTTTGAAGCGTTTTATGTATGGTCCTTTTCGCCGGTTGATTTAATTTGCTTGTTAAACTTAGGAGTATTGACGCTGCTCGAGGACCAAACCCAAGAATAGAAGCAAATAGAACCCACATCACAAATTAGAGTGAAGGGCAGTGGTGGTAAAAACTGACGTATTTAGGACAGAATTTGAGACAAGAGTAGTAAATGGTCAGAACTTAAAATGTGCGACTCTCGGGAACGGATTGTTTGGGGTGGGCACTGAGAACAAAGGGGAAGTGGTAGTTACATTTTCACAATTACCTATTTTATATATCTAACAGTTAATCAAACCGGAACTACATTTTTTAGACATTTTCGTTTTTTCATAGACAGAAGTTAGCATAGAGGAAATGTTAGCCTCTGCATAAAAGGCCTGTTCATCAGATAACGCGACCTTTTTGTAGCGTTATGCGTTGTTCGTCATAACTTTCCGAGCATCCGTCTACTTGCGAACTGTTCACGTCTAGCATTTTTCTCAGGTTATTGTTGTACAAAAGGTTTCAACCCTCCTGGCGATTTTTGGGAGCAACAAGGGAATTTTGCTTGCAGTTGGAGAAAAAATTTACTGAAACATATCGACTTTTAGACAAAGTTGGTGATAAAGTGATCGTCAATCAGTGCAAGAAACCCTCCAATCTCTCTACAACAGTACAGCCCTCCCATTTCCGAAAATTGAAATCCATGCCAAAAGAGCGCTGTTTTGGCACCACTAATCACGCTAAATCACAACCTCGCCAGAACTGAATTGGAACCACAGCTTGGAAGTGAATAGGGGAGGGGACCAATACTATTAAAGTTCTGTTATATGATGAACAAGCCTGTAAGCCTAAAAATCAAAAAGAAACAATTTAAACTGAATTACTGAAATTTATTACGCAATCTCTAAAATTTAGCATATATACAATAAACCATCTATATTAAAATGATATGGTTAATTAACAATATGCCAATAGATGAATTGAGAACTCTGGACGGTACTTCACAAATAAAACTGCATTTACAATTTACATTTAGCAACAATTCGTCTAATCCTTACATGCTGCTGCATTAGACTAGAACTGTAAAAAATATTTCATTTACATAAATTAAAAAATACTCTTACGGTACAAATTTTAACAATCATCCATCCAGCGGAATATGCAATAAATACCTACTCAAACTTTATTCAAAAAATACTGAAATCTAACACACAAAGATCACTAAACGGTGCACTATTTCACTAACAGTATAGGATTTGTCATGCTCATGGTGAGAGTTACATTAATAGTGCTCACTTCCTAACTTTGTTATAAATTACACTTAGAACATCTACAGCTAGCCTAATAAAGTAGAAACTTTCTCCTCAAACGCACCCCATTTAATAAACAAAGAAAATCAATATCACATTATTTTCGGTAACCTCAAAAATTCAGTCTTACTTCTTTGATAGTTGACCAAATTTGTTTAAAATAGTTTTTTTTTAAGAAAAATATTTTTTAACTTTCCCTTTTATAACAATGAGGTGCAATATTTACACATTCTGGCGGAATCACAAGTATTTGTTTTTAAGCTAATGTATTAGGGGTAGTTCACCTGTTAAAGAGCGCTAATGTGACTACAACTAAAAGTGCTCTAATACTCGATGATAGCTTCTGTGATGCGTTGTAAGGATATGAAAGGCCTTCCGTGTGAAAGCCTTCTATGTGAAATCCTTTTTGTCTGCAATCTTCCGCGCTGAAGTCCATACAATGCATCTGAAACAGAATGTTTGATGTAAAATAATTGTAGGCGGAAAGATATAAATAAAAAAAAGAGATGAATCCAAATTTTCTTTAAGGCGATCACGTAAACGTAGTAATTCGTAGGGGTTTGCATTTTAGATATCTATACGCGAGCATTATTTATCATCTTGCTCGAATTTCCCTTACACGTTCAATAATCAATATGAATTGTTTTACAAAAGGAAAAAGAACAGACGTGTTAATTACACCAGTTGAAATTAATGACGGCACTTGTAAAACCATCGCGTGTATGGAATTGGGTTATTTAAGTTTAATTAATTTCTTATTACTTATACAGATGCTATCAAACTAAAAATTATGGCATTACGTTTCTAGTGAACTGCAGGTGCCGAAATAAAAATTTGGTACACAATTTTCAAATGCCCTTTTTTGTAAACAACGGTAATTTTTCTTTCCCTGTACAAACCTTCAGGGAATCAAGGGTAACCGCGATTAACAATTAAGTAAATGAATTGTAATGGAAAACTTAAGTAGGCTGCTGAGGATTTTCTCGTACCAAGACGATACTTAACAATATTTTTAAGAAATTTTCTTTACAAGAAGATTACTAGAAAAAGAATAGTTTCCATAAAGAATTTCTAGGATAAATTCAAAAAATTGTCTCAAAAAATTTTTGAAGCGGACATTACCGAGATGATTTCTACTGAAATTTCCAAGAAAATCCCTGATGGGTAGATTTCTAGAGAACGGTTTCGAAGGGAATTTCTATAGTAGGATTTTTAAGAAAATTAGATTAATTGCTACACTTAACTGAAAAATAGCAATTTGCCAGTAAAACTTTTAATTAGGATAAACTCCCGATTAAAGCCAGCAAATGTCAATTGAAAGGATCAGTTATAAAACTAAATTGTATGTTAGGTACAAATCTAATAGTCTTGTGCTTATGGACGTTTCGTTCCGCGAAAGAAAAACCGAATGAAAAGGCGACGAAATCGCTCCCTCGCACTGAAATGAATGTAATTATTCTTTACAATTAACAAGATCCTCGTAATAATTAGTATGAATGGCCACGGTCGCATTAATATTTTTCTATGGGCAGACACGAATTATTTGAAGTCACGTTCGTTTGATGCTTCTTACCTTAATCATGGATGAGGCCATTTGATCCAGAAATCTTCTACTAAATAAGGCTGCGTCTTCACCGCAGGACCTCCTAATTGTTTGCGTATAACAATTAAGGTACTCTTGGAACGAGCTGAAACAGAGTAAATAATTGAAATTCGCAAAAAATTTACATTACATAAATCTGAGGACATATATTGCTAAGCGTGCGTACAAAAAGGTTTTCCATGTCATTTACATTAAAATACGTACAAACATTTTTGCATTCGGTTTCCTTTAATGTTGACCAACCGCATCCCATGCTAAATTCGACCCCGTTTTTTTAAATTGAGAATAATTACGAACCGACGCTCATCAATACGGGAGTCAGATACAAAAGAAAATTTGGACCAAGTTGTACAAAGTTATAATAATACCGAATACGTATATCTTCTTTATTATCCCATTACAACTTCCGGTAGAATGAGGAGCGATTAATTTTGAACGTCTTGTTGGTTTTTGTTCTTTTCACAGACGCCCAGACGACGCTTTTCAAATGTTAATACCGAATTATAAAGAGGGGAGTTTGTTTCACTATTGTTACATTATTTCACTCATTAAATATTGCCCGAAATCACCCTTTTCCAGTCCGAGAGTGATGCGCTTCCATTTTGGATCACGTTCAAGGCGACATAAAAATAGGTAAAATTAATGCGGTATCGACCTTTCCGTGCGAAACTGCCAAAATTAAAATAGGCGGTCTTCGCGAAGTTAGAAAAAATCGTAAAATTGTCGATTACGCAACTTAAACATTTATTGAGGTCGGAATAAATTAACAATCTCCGGAGAGTTGAAAAACGTTGCGTTGGTTAAAATTTGAAATGCGTTAATCAGTGCAAAACTAGGACTCATCGTACAGATGAAATAGCTAAGAATGAGAAGGGTACAAACCATCTTGTTAGACTGTGTCATTTAATTGTGGGTAATGAATAAAACAAGGAAGCAGTGAAAGTTGCTGCTAAGTAATATTTTGGAGACTTTGGTGTAAAATGGCTTTTAGTTGAATTAATTTGCATTAGAATGGGCTTGTTCTACTGTTAACAATTATGAATTTTGTGAAAGTCTTTCATAACTTCATATGCTGGATGTGGAAAAGACTTGTACATAATTAAGGGATGCGTCATATTATTATACTACTATATAACATTTCTTCTTGCATGTCGATGTTTCCATGTCGCCTTGGTCGTCAAGAACATTAAACAAGGGACTTCTAGGAGGGGACAGATTCGTATGATGATTCTCAAACAGACATCTGCTTTTCTAGTAAGACTTCCACGGAGATTGAGAAAGAGATTACTAAGATTCCCATAGATTATTAACTGCTACAGCAGAATTTCTTAAAAATGCCATAATTTCTAACTCGCGAAGGGTTGCATTTATATGCGCAATTGGAGGGTTATTTGTAGACATTTTAGTCCTATTCAAGCAAAATATTTCTGAACAGTTACAACCCTCACAATAAAAAATTCGCTGCCGCTAGCACAGATGTCACCCGCGCCCCCTGCACATGCGCGGTTCTGCCCTTTTTTGTCCAAGAATATGTGTACTAAATGTTGGTTCCAATCGGTTCAGCTATTTAGCAGGAAATTCTCATTATATATACAGACAGACAGTATACAGACAGACAGACCGACATCGTCGAGATTTTGTTTGATTCGGAGTCCTGGTGCTCCAGAACTCCGAATTAAACAAAATCTCGATTTTTGAAACGACGCCTGGAACTACATAAATGGAAAAAACTCCGAACTCTGTTGTGGACACGGAAGATACCGCATCGATGACGGCCGTTTTAGCTTCAGAAAACTCTGAGACAGCAAAGCGAAATATAACGACTTAACGTGCAGGTTATCTGCCGAAAAACGTTATTTTGCGATATTTGACGTTATTGACAGAAATCCTCGCGATTAGCTCATCAGAATTGAAACAAGTTAAAGGATGTGAAACCTCCAATGCAGAATGGTCATGGATCAATCTTGAAACCAGTCAAAGGGTCCTCCACTGCTGAAACAATTAAAGTTGTAGGGAGAAATTGTCGAAAAATCTCCGTAATTCTAAAATTGCGAAGGGTTTCAATGCCCAGTTGGAGGGTTCTCTATTTTGGTCACACGCGATCCAAGAAACAAAAATATGTCGTGCACCTTAAAAGTTACAACCCTTCCCATGGAAAATTGAGATGCAAGAGCGAAATTGCTTTAAAAAAATTTTAAATTGCCGAAGAGTTGCAATGAGTAGTTCGAGGGTTGTTTGTAAAAGATTAATCGAAATTCTCCAACAAATTTTGAAATCATTCTTGGTAACCTTTGAAATCCTAGACATGTTAAGAACACTTCTGAATCCTAATAAAGTTCTTAGATAGATCTTTAATAAGTTTAGGAAATTATACTGTTACGTAAAGGGTTCTAGGTAAATTAATTTCGTTATTTACCTGTCGGTAACTGTGGTCATTTGATCAATGACACTTTTTGAAATCTATCGAAGTGTATGTATGAAAAGACGGTTTTATAAAAGTCATCCTCCCAATTTGTGATAGTTTTTCTTTAGAAACGAATGAAACGAAGTCTAAATGTGCAGAAAATGTGGAAATTGTGAAGTATTTTTTTTTTGCTTTACTTCGACAGTTGTTGAGTTAATTAAAAACCCATACACTCACGGCAAAGTTAACAAAAAAAAAAAGGAAAAAAAATGGGAAACTGCAGCAATATTGAAACGTGGGTTTTACTAATTAACTTTTGGAAATATTGCGGCGACCATTTCATTTTCGATTTCGTTCTCGATTTTGCAAGAAATTTGAAACTGAAAAAATACTATTACATCCCCTTTACGCCCACAACCGTCGATTTTACGTAACTGATTGAAGGAAATATACACTCACCAGCACACGCTTTTTAGTCCGTCGTCCGCCGGCTCCCTTTTCGCCTTCTGATACTTGTAGGCGGTTTCCGCGTCCGTCTTGTTCCTGTGATGGTGGTGATGGTGGTGGTGATGATGGTAGCGGTTACGCTGCGCCGCCTCCTCGAGTTCTTGTTGCTTGTTCGTAGCTGCTTGAATTTCGGTCATGGCAGCAGAGTACCTGCTGAAACAGACCTCCGTATCGCCCGCGACCCTCTGCATGCAAGGGGCGTGCGACAAGAACTCCTCCTGGTAGGTGCCGTTCCTGCAGAGGTCGTTCGCCATTGATGCGGTGCCGTGGAAGAGCTTTCTGAAGTGCTTGCGTTGCTGCAGATTCATGCAGAGTCGACTGTATCCGTGTATGCATGTCAGTGACTTTTCCAGATCCCTGAAAATGAAATGTGTGTGTAACCGCCTAATGAGAATCTTTTTATTCCCCTTATTTGCTAAGTACACGAAAAATATCGCTCAGCCGCATAAAAAGAGCTCATTAATTTAGGAGATAAGTTGGCGCTGACTTGGCGTGCAAATAAGAGTTATACGTTCCGTGCCCACCGATGGAAACTTTCGCGAACTTACATTGTTATTTTTTTCGGGGGTCTTAATTAATATTTGTGTGTTTTGTATACAATCCTAGTTTGTGGAAGTTTTAAATAACGTAAAACAAAATATTCGAGTTTTGGAAAGTATAAATAACGAGGCAATATTTTCCTGACAGCTTTATTTATAAGAAAAGAAATTCGCGGAGAAAACTTTTCTAGTGCCTTTAGGTCAGAATGTACTTAACTTTCCCATACATATAAACAAGTCCATCAAAAACTTTTTAATCTAACAGATTTTCTCGAGACACATTGTTTAAAATGTAAATAAATCAAGTTGGCAATTGCAATTCGAAAAAGTTGAATATACGATTTCGCTAAAGCTCGAACCCCGGGGCGGATGGGATCATTGCGAAATGCACATTCACTTTTTCTGAGCTTCTAATATGTGAAAAACAAACAACCGCAATTAAATTTTTATAAAACACACCACAAGGGCTAAACTTGCCTTAGAATGGTATTCTCGTAAACCGTGGAAAAAGAAGACTGCTACCTCATGGCATCATATGATGGTGGCAGTTTCCGTGCTTAAAAAAGTTGGTCAGCACACGTGAAGAACGAGAAGTTTAAATCAGGAAATCGGAACAGACCAAAAAGGACCAAAGAAATCAGAGCTTAATATAATTGAAGGGTTATCCACTATTGTAAAATATACACGAACACGTTAAATGCATTGAATTACTGATAAACACCGATACTGTATACTGCATATACATGCATTTGATTTTAAAGTAAAATTTTGGTCGAAACAATTTCGATTGGGTTGAGATTGTATAAAAATCTAAGTTATACACGAAGATTTGGGGATTTGGGGTAAAGACTGGTGCATTTGGACGCTTTGACGAACGATACCAGTTATTTTTCGCGGATTGTGATAGACGACAAAACGTAGGTGTCACAAAATAGGAATCAATTAACTCCATCCCCAAAAAAAGCTACCACCCAGTTTTGACTGCAAAATTGTTTGGAACTGTGAGAGCGTTTCTGTTTATTGAATACAAGGCAAATAGCACAGGCATTTTAAGTTAAAAAATAGACAAAATTAGTAACTATAGCGCATTCGGACCTCCAGATGCAGTGGCTATAGGGTCTTATCTCGGGTCTCTTACTAATTTGCGTCATTCTTCGAGAACTGACATATGGTAAGGTAAGTATTTTCTGAAAGTTACCCTCGTTTCCTCCGCTTGCTTCGCCCGGTACAGCCGTAGAGAGAGTTAAGTAATGTGAAACCACTCAAATCGCTATTGCGCCCCATCTATTGCACCGATTTGGGTGATTGCAGTCTTACATTGTTCAGAATGATAGTGGTTATGTTAAATAATAAACCACTGCCATTCTGACCAATTTAAGACCACAACCACCAAAATCGTTGCCATAGCGCAATAGCGATTTTATTGGTTTCGCGTCACTTAAATCTTTCTACCGCTGTGCCGAGTGAAGCAAGGGGAGGAAGTGAGAAGAACTGGTGAGGTGGCATGGTGAGGTAACATTTCAAAAATTCTCAAAAAGACGTTGCCGGAAAATATTTTGGCAAAGGTTTCTAACAAAATTCCTAGAAGTTTCAGGCAGCTCAAATATGCTAAAAATTTTCATTTAGATTTGACTTCAAAAGCCTTATGTAAACGAAATTTTACTGTTACTGAAAGGGTTCTAGGTATATTCTTTCAAAAAGATTGTCCTAACGCTTTTTTGATAGGATATCACTTGCAAGGATTGTTTTTCCAGAAACTTTTGCTTTAAAGAAATATTCTCAAAACAGTTCCTAAGAAATTTTTAAGTTTTCAAGGGTATGTGAGATCCAAATAGTATTGCTAGTGATACTTTAGAGATTTCTATGACGATTCTGAGACATCTAGAATGGTAGCCGAAAACTTTTTAGCGAGATTTCTAGAATAATTTTCAGAATACACGATTTCTATGAATCTAAAAAGGTTACTGATAAGTTTAAGAAGGCCTTAAAGAGCATTTCTCAAAAGGGTGTGGGAGAGTTACAGGACGAAAAGCAATTAAAAATTTGTTTACGATTTCTACAACAGGAAATAAAGTCAGGAAAATTACACATTGCTGGCGAGGAAATATTGAATTTTTTTCTTGGAATGATTTTTCCATCCAATTTTTAGAACTATAAGTTTGGTTTGGTTATTATGGTGTTACGAGATTCTCGAATACCAAATTTCGTGGAAATTAGAATTTTTTGGCAAGTTCGTTTAAGGAGGGGGAATTTCTTTAGGAAAAAGCATACCAAAAACTTAGGTAAGAATAATTAAGAGGTTCTGAAGATATTTATGATGGCTATACAATAGGAGCTAACGCTAACATTATCTCGAACTCAACAGTTTCAATTCCAAAAAGGTGCAGGCAGGTGGACGCATTTTCGAAAATTTAATTTAAATTTCACAAATTAATAGTGGTACGAATTTTCCTTTGCCCAAAGAAGTCCCGATTCTAAACTGCAGATCAGCCGAAAACATTGCACATTGCCATTGTCCGACCCAAGACCCAGAACTGCAGTCAGATTTAAAAAAAAAAAAGCTAATTGCGATTCGGCACTTTTACGCCACCAAATATCGAACTTCGTCAAAATCGGAATTTTTTCTCACGCCCAGTTAGGCGAGCATCCTGAAATAAGAATTATAGAAAAAAATTTACAAAATGTTCACATTTCCAGTATTCCATCGTATCATATATCTTGAAGTGTCTTATGGTTCTAGAAAAAAAATTAAAGAAAATTCATTAAGCCGCTTATTAGCAAGAGGCGAAGAGACCACTTTCAAATTTTTTTTCGATTTTAATAGTCCTTATGGACATTTCATGCCTACGAGAATACAAACATAAAAGAATTTTTAATTTCTGATCAAATGACACCAATACCAAGTATGTAAGTGGTGTATTTCCGGAGCCGTTGTGAGTTGTGACAGACAGACAGACATCAAAAGCGCAAAAATGCACTTTTTATTTTTTGAAAGTGAAAGTGCACTATAAAGCAAACTTCGTGTTTCGGAACAGAAGGTCACCAACATGCGACGTATGTAAGAAACAATTCCCTACCTCATTAGGATTTAAAATTCATTTTTTAAAAGTGCATCCAGTGGCGGATGTACATACAGGCGCACTAGGCACGTGCCTAGGGGCGGCAGCTTTAGAGGGCGGCATTTTTTGCACTATATTTATTTTAGGTAACATTTTAAGTTTTAAAATAAGATATAGTTAGGATGTATGTCGTTAGTCCTAACAAGTTACAAATGACAAAAATCTTTAATTAAAATTATGAAATAAATTGGAACTGGTAGATAGTTTAAACAAACTGTCACTATAAGAACGATAATCAACAATGCAAGTTTTGACGTGTGTCAAAACTTAATCTTAGGTATAGGCATTGAATTAGTTATAAATTCAATGGTATAGGTACTGTATTTCTTTTATATTAGCTTTAAAAATTAAAAGTTATAGAATATCTAAAACAAAGTATGAGTATCGGCATCCAGAAAGGGAATGCAAATTTGATCATCCAGATGTTTCCAAGATCAAATTAACTTAATGAATTTCTGACATTTTTAAAAATTTTTAGTGTAAGTTAACTATACTAATACGTTTTTCCAACATTCTGCTTTGTGGAATTTTCTAAGGGTTCCAATCATAACGTCCTGTAGATGCTTTTATGATTCGAATGGATGGTTTTCGAAATAAGGGAAAGGAGGGGGGGGGGGCGATGTCGACAATTTAAGCTCAAACAATTCCGTTTCTGTTGATATTTAGCATTATGCAAAAGGGGGGTGGAAGTTTTAGTCATTGCTCATTGCTAATTGGACATTTATTATTATGTAACATTATATATTGATTAGGATGCGATGGTCACCAGAATTACAGGGGAGTTCACCCCTGGTTCGCGCGGAGTGAAATTAATATTCGTAATATGCATACAGGTCTTCATTATATAAATCTTAAGTTGAGGATCGCGTGCTTTTCGAACAAAAAGCTTTAAAAATGTCGACAGGGGATGATGTCGGAAACGGTTTAACAGACTATGCAGAGAACAAAATGCATCCATATGCAAAGGTAAGCGCTAAAATATCATCTCCGTTACAAATTCCAGTTACGTACACTATAATTCGTGGAATATAAATTAGCGAACTATTGCCAACTTCACAACATTTGTAAATTCCGATAAAGGCGGAACATTGCTATCATTTCCGGACCATGTAGAACATTATTTCCTTAAAACATGCCAACTTTCTTGATATCTACTGTAAATAGAATTTCTATTTTATTAAATATTAAAAGAGCAAGTTTCGTGCATCAAAAAGTACAACTAATAAAATACGACGCCCTCCAGAAATAAAAACTTTATGATCACAATGCTTAGGTGAAAATGTTTTTCATACGTGTTACCCCCCTTTCGTTCCTAATTTTTAAGTTAGGGTGTCATTTACGATCTATAAAAAGTATCGATTCCTTTACCTACATCATCCCCAATTTCAGCGGCGAAAATATTGTTCCACTCATGCATATTAATGATAGTTGATTAAAGTTGTTACTATTGATCTAGTTTCAATTATGAATTTCCGGGCCTCTTCCTGCATTTTCAAACGAATTAAATTTTATTAATTATTCGCGCTCATTAAGCGCGAAGTGTCACGGGATCAAATCCATAATAGACTAGGGGCAACCCTTCCACCCCTTCGGCGCGCCTGTATGTTCCAACTTTCAATGAGGAGCATTATTTACCTATACAGTATTTTGAATCAAATTCGACTCGAGTCGGAGAATCCACTCTCGATCTTAGAAAACATCGAAGTAAATGGAGGGGAGTGAAAATGATTGTTATATTGCTTTTTCCGTAACTTTGCGTGATTTAATTAATGGTCGCACAACAAGGAAAATAATGCACCAGCCTCTCACCCTCTCTTTTGTTACGTGTCGTGCTGTACCATTTTCTGGTGGTAAAGGTGAATTTTTTTAATTTGGTTCGTGCGTAAATTTCGTCTCCACTCCACCATTTTTTTTGGGTTAACTGGATCCGATCCCCAGATTCCTTGCAATATTGTGTCAGATGATAAAACAAACGGGCAGTAGTAATGGTCATGTTAAAAGAATACCAGTAGACTTCGAGAGAATGCGGCCAGGGAACACAAGTGTAATCATACTTAATTGGTACACCCTGCATAATCTATTTATGGATAGTTCAAATTCAAATGGTCCACATACAGTAGTATAATCAAAAGATTTGTGCAGGCTGTAACATTTAGAAGACCAAGACATATACTTTCTTCAAATAAACGTCTTCAAAGCTCCCAGCATTTGCGTTTCTTCTTTATCTTTTTTCCAACAACTATCCCGCAGGATAACGGAACTCTTTCTTTGGAAGAAATGTTTGGTTTGGTGCTTCACTGACTGTAGGCTTTAGATGACTCGCCTTTGGACGCTTTTGAAAAATTTTGGAGGTTTCTAAAATCAAAAAAATCTTGTTAGCGAAATCCTTTGAGCGGCCCCCGGGAATCTTCTTCGAAGTCTTTTTCGAAATTTCTTTTACACAAAATTGTCATGTAACCTTTATTTTCATAATTCATGCCTACTATATGTCACCCTGTCACTTTTCCAGCCGCACCTATGACATTGTACATTGTGTCGACTTAAAACCTTCTGCAGGGGCATCTCTAAAAAGTATGATGCGGGTCACTCTGTAATTTGGCGAAAGCCTGTTGAGAGCCCAGCACAAGAGAGGGGCAATAAATAAATAAAATAAATAAATTATCAATGTCCAGGGTAATGTCTAATGACTCCTGTTTTGAAAAGAAGACCTGTACGCATATTACGAATATTAATTTCGCTTCGCGCCAACCAGGAGTGAACTCCCCTATCATGCTGGAGAACCATAAGACACACCAACAAGTATGATACTATGAGGTACTGGCAATTTTTTTCAATAATTCCTATCCCAAGATGAAGCTCCTCTAGACCTCTAATCGGTCGTGAAAAAAATTCCGATTTTGACGAAATTTGATAGTTGGTGGCCTTCTAATATAAAAGTGCCGCTTTTTTTTAAATCTGATTGCAGCTCGAACTGCAGTTCGGGGTCTTGGGCCGAACAATGACAGTGATCAGAATTTCACGAAATTTCCTGTGCTTGTTTTTGAGGGACCAACGTATGTCTCTAATGGCCGGTTACACAAACAATGATTAAGGTTAATCAATGATTAAAAATATTAGAATGGAAAACATCTTACCTTATAATCAAAGGTTGCTATTACATTCTAATATTTTTAATCATTGATTAACCTTAAACATCGCTTGTCAAACCGGGGGTAAATCTTTTTTAGGATCAGGTTTTAATGGTTTTGAAAAGAACCAATCATTTTAGGTTGATCTGCTTTTGACAATCGATACTTTGAAATTCATCCCATTGCAATTTGTTAAATTTTCGAAAATTCCTCCACCAGCCTACACACACTTCCTGCGCCTTTTTGGAATTGAGACTGTTAAAGTTGAGATTATGTTGACCTTAGCTATTATATTGCTCTAGAATCTAGTTGTAAGTACTACTCGTATAACCATTATATCTTCAGAATCTCCTGATTATTCCTACCTATATTTTTAGTTTGTCTTTTAAGATCTTCTAAGAAAATCTCCCAGCCTTAAACGGAGGTACCAAAAAATTCTGATTTCCACGAAATTGGGTATTCAAGGATCTCGTAACACAAAACTAACCAAACCAAACTTAGTTCTAAAAATTGGATGGACAAATTTCCAAAATCTAAGAAAACATTTTAAATGATTGTTTGATTAACCCTGGGTAGAGTTCCAAAATACTTTTGGAAATTTCAATCAAATTTAGAACATTTCAAAAATATACAAGAATATAAAGTACTAAATGCGCGCTAGGAAATTGTTGTTCAATAAACTTTAACTTCTGGGTCTACTTTTAGAAAAAGAATCTATAGGAAATTTTTCGAGACGATTTTTAAAAATGGAGTTTCAAGAAAGACACTGAAAAGGTCTGAAGGTTTCGAAATAGATTCTAAGAATACTAATTTGAGAAGCGTCAATGATGTGTTAAAAAAGGTTTCGATTAATTCTTCAAAGATTCTTAAAACCCTAAATGTCCTACAGATTCTGGAAATTCTGCATGTTCTGCAAGTTATGAAAATCCTTAAGAAACTACGTACAAAAGATTTTTGAATGATCTGAAGATAGTCAGGTTTTAAGAATAGAAAATCTTCTGATGGAACAGTGAGTGTGGAATCTGCCGTTGTGCAGTCGTCTCCTATGACAAGTGCCCTTTGCGGTAGGGGTAATCTTACCCGCCCCCCACACGAGTAAAACGGGCCCTCAATGTCAATACCACAAAAAAATGATAAAAAACATCAAATTAACTGTAAGCTGCCAACCACTATGAATTTGATAGCATGGAAATGAAATAATGCAAGAAGACCTGTGTGAATATCACCCTCCCCCTATTTTAGAATGCAAACAATTTAAATTTTCATTTTTCAAATGGATTGCGCCTAGAAATATTTTCCGTATAACAACTAACTTCGTGGAAACCCGAGTGATTGCAATGGACTCCGGAAATATCCCCCCCTCGTATGGCTAACCGGAAGGGTCGTGCCTATGATCGGTCCTGTGGGTAGCCGCCATAGAGACCTATTTTCGGACTATAGGCGAGTTGGATCGCACGCTAGTATCAATCATGGCCATCGCATTTGCGGATGACCAAGTGTTGGCACTCCAGAACTTGAACTGAAAGGTGGCCGCATTAGACCCTCCTCCAACATTAAATACTTAGATATCATTTTGGACCCGAAAGTCTCATTTATCGGGCATGTCAAAATGATCCAGAGAGCGCTCAAACTATATATATTTATATACTAAGACCAGCCATCCTCTATGGCGCAGAGGTATGGGGCGTAAGGAATGAGGACTCCCGGGTCAGAGACGCGGTCCAGCGGTCATTCCTGTTGAGAATGTTGAAGGTCTAAAATACTACACCAATCCGAAGCTTTGAAGTACTGGCTAATATACCACCATTTCATCTTGAGTCCAAACGTCTCCATGATACATATAAAGCTCAAGAAGTACACTAGGTGGAAAGGGGCCTTTTGGTAGACCACTTGAACTGCCACGAATGGTGTGAAAACGAGCGAATTTACTAAAGCGGCCATGGTGGCCGAAACGGGCACACAAAATAGTTCCATAGGAGTAGTACACTCACCGCTAAAGCCACTATACACCAGGGGGAAGTAGCGGGCTTGTTCTTCGATATATATTGCTTCGAAATATCACTGAATAACAAACAAAAGTACGAAATTATAACGAATTCCAAAAGATGAAATTTCCGCGATCAAAGACCCAAACGGCACAGACTAATAACGTACACAAATATATAGCGAATATACACAAGGCAGGTTTATCTGCCTCAACTTCGTTGGTAGTGGCCTGTCGAATTTCTACGGCATCCATTTCATCAAAAGCTCTTCAAAAAATCAACTTTTTACGGGTTAGTTATTAAAATTGACCATTAGTGTTAAAACACCCTGCAGAAGGCCAATCTAAATTCAAATTATTCTCATGTAGCAGCAAATCGGTATTGATGATTTTGGAAGACTTTTTGAAATACAAGTCAACAGAATCATAGGTACAGGGCTCAAAAGAAAAGCAGTCAAACATCGAAAATTTAAAAAAATCTGAATAACTTGAAAACGTAGAGAAAAATTGAGACTCAAAAAGTTTTTATCTACGCCTATAATTAATTACTCAAACATATTATGGAGTTCTTCATCAACAAACTTGAAAACCTTTGATGCTGAGTATAGGGAAATGTGGTACCTATCAAACGACGTACATTTTCAGATTTCAATAAAATACAGGGTGTTCTATTTAAAATAAGAAACTGGCTATCCGCATCCGGTAAAACCGAAGTGAAATGATTATATTTTCTTTCGATAGATCATGAAAAACTATGTCGTACCTATATGCAAACTATCAGATTTAAATTGTTAATGGGAGTCTGAATACTTTTAGGACACGGTTTGCGTGAAACAGCCTGTATAGTCGGCGCCCCTGTCATACCTTACCTGGGGTTGGAACTCAAAACCCTCGAATGGGCTACTAATTTTTTTCGGATTTCTCCCTATCTTTTAACATAATATCTCTAGATTCGTCGAGATTTGCAAGTTGTATGATTCACGGAGCTTGGATGAACTAACAGATTCGTTTCGACTAGAGAGGATGGAATGTACAAAAGCTCTGAAGCTCTACTTGCAATGTCGCGGAAATCCAATCAGTATACATAATCAAAGTAAGATTAAGAAAGGGAAACAAATTCTGCGAATTTTTCTAAAAGGTGCGAGATGTTCGTCATTTGCCACGCGACCGGCTTACACTTAATTTAGCGAAAAATGTGTGTAGAGTCAACGAGCGTTGTCATTACCAGTAATTTCGTTTCACAAAACACTTCCAAAACACGCATGTTTAAAGTAGCGTAATTAATTTAAATAACCGTCCGGTTCGCAGCGAACGCAACGCCAAATGAAAAGATTACCTTCATCCCACTCTATTATTAAGGGCTTATACTTACGGGCAGACCATATCGAGATCCTCCTTGCTTCCTACGAAACTCAGACCGGAATCTGTTAAAACAGACAAACTTTTCGCGCACTGAGCCAATTCTTCAGGTCCGCATGTGCGAAAGCTGACCGCTCGCACTCTCGTCGTTATTACTGCAATGAGAAAAAAAACGATTTAAGCTACTACATAATAAGAAAACGGGGGGAAGTTTAACTATTCGTGAACGTTAGATATTCATTTTCTATAACGACACCCCCGAGTGAAATTTTTCTGATAGTTTGGTGCTTTTTGCTACTTCCCGATGTTTTCCTGTATATGGTTTATCGACTCAAGTGGCTCTTAGAAGAAATATTCCAGACGTAAAAAAGAAATTCTTTTCAGTTTGATAGCAGTTTATAAAACTAATTCCCGACGGAAAGAGCCATATCTCCAACCCTTCCGATTTTTCCTTTAATTATACCTACGCAGAAATGCCCCGCAATTCGATTATCTCGATCATTTACGGTTTGATTGCAAATTAACATGCGGTCCGGTCGATTGGATTACGTTAATTGCAATTAATTGCGTTGTTGAGCCACAATGCACTCAACGTATTTATGCCAAAAAGCATCTTTTAAAATAGCGCCGTTAAGTAAAAATATAAATGTTGTAAATAATAAACGCCGACCTCTTACGTCAGGGAGATGAATATGGCTTGTTTACAAATTTATACGATTGGCCAAAATCCAAAAACGTCCGAATATCGTGTAATCTCCGGCTCATGCCACAAACGTTATTAAAATTCCTAAATCGTAATTTACGGTAAAAGAAAGAGCTGTAGTACGGGGTTGTTTGTTGCAATGAAAATAACTTCTTGTATAAGGTGTAACTAATAAAGTAACCACTAAAAAGATTACGAGTAGAGAGGAGCAAAACAACACAGCAGAATATAATTAATGTATTTAGTATCCCGGTATCTTTGAACTTGAAAATAGCGAAACTATCGCAATATTTATGTGCCGCGCTATTTACTATCCCTCGTCACTAGCCCTACCGCCCTTTCTGAGCTCAAAAACCTGTAGTTCAAAAAATAATTTTTTTTTCACTCCTTAATATAAAATTTGATTACATACTGGTTTTCGATACAATCGAATCGTAATTACTATATATATATTTGTTTGATAGTCACTTAACAATATTATAGCTCTGTTTTGATATTGGTAATTTCAACTACCAGTTGATCCCTTTTTTTTTCAAAAAATTAAATTAAATTTAAACGTTGACATGTCAAATCTAGATATCACAGTTCCTATTTGTAATATTTTAAGATCATTTATTAAATCACCCTCGACTGTGACATCAATACTTGTTTATGTTCTACCCCTTTAATTATTTAATTTCTTTAGCTTATCGAGATTATAGAATAAGGATCTCTTAGTCTGCCTTGTTCCCCTTTCGGCAAGTCGTCTCTCTTCTCTTTGGACATTTGAATCATAATCAATCAAAGAAACAAACATCTTTCCTACACCTTAAAAGTTACAACTCTCACAAAGGACAATTACCATGTACGATCAAAATTACTTTCGCAATCGTGAGGGGTTGCAATTTTATGCGCAGTGTGAGGGTTGTTTGCACACATTTTAGCCACAATACATCAAAGAAACAAACATATTTCCTACACCCTAAAAGTTACAACCCCCACAAAGGATAATTACCGTGTTCGAGAAAAATTACTTTCGAAATCGTGAGGGGCTGCAATTTTATGCGCACTTTAAGAGTTGTTTGTGGACATTTTAATTATAACACAGGTCAACAAAAAAATAATTTTTTTTTGCGCATGGGATTTACATAATATATTCTGACTATAATAAGCAAAAATAAATAAAAAGTGCAATTAGACATCGAAAATATTTGCTTTTACAAAAGTTATAGCGATTTGATTGAAAGCTTTCAGGGGCGAAAATTAAAGCTGGAATCTTTGTTTTCCCTAAAAAAAAAAGAAAAATGGAGAGTGATATTTTCCCCCGCGGTTACTTAGCAAAGAGGAAAAAAAATCCTGGAACATTTTTAAGGCAATAGTCCATGGTTTTCCGTTCAGTGTTTCCTTGGAAACCATAGAGCTAAAAATTATGACGAGCTGAGGGGTTTTGGTTTTGCATCATCGGGTATAGAATGTCTCTAAAGATGCACAGGTTACATTCTCATTTAGATTAATTTAAGGATAATATGGGAGCTTATTCGGAACCCTTTCATCAAGACATAATGGAATTTAGGCACGTTACCAAGGCCAGTAAGCTGGAAGCATGATGGAAGATCATATTTGGGGGGTTGATGAGAAAAACTTCAGTTGAACATGACAAAAACAGCAAAACTGTTCCATTTTTAAAAATTTAGACTCTAAGACAAACATATTATTAAGTGTAGGAACGTTACCTGATAATAAACCATGCCTGTGTAAGTAAGATTTTATAGGTATTTTTATTTTTTGATTTTTTGCATTTTTTTCGCACAAAAACAAATATATAACCTTTTTTTGTTCTTCTTTTTATTCTTATTTGTGGCTATACAAGCAATACAAATAAGGTATATATGTCCCATGCGCAAAAATGCTGTAGACCGGTGTAATCAATCGAAGAAACAAAAAAATTCGTGCACCACAAAGAGCGAAATTGCTTTTAAAAATTCCGCCAGGGGTTGCAATTTTATGCGCAGTTTGAGGGTTGTCTGTAGACATGTTACCCACAATAAATCATAGAAACAAACATATTTCATACATTCTAAAAGTTACAACCCTGACAAGGGACAATTGGTGTTTAGCATGTTATAGCAAAATTACCTACGTTTAAAAAATCCGTAATTTTAAAATCGCCAGGGGTTGCAATTTTATCACAGTTGGAGGGTTGTTTGCAGACATTGTAATCAATCAAAAAAACAAAAATATTTCGTGCACTGTACAGCCCTCGCTATGGATAATTGCGATCTATGAGCGAAATTGATTTTACAAAAATACGTAATTTCAAAATCGTGAGGGGTTGCAGTTTTATGCGCAGTTTGAGGGTTGTTTGTAGACCTTTTGACCATCATCAATCAACGAAACAAAAATATTTCGAGCACTGTACAGTCCTCGCTATGGATAATTGCGATGTATGAGCGAAATTGCATTTAAAAAATACGTAATTTCAAAATCGTAAGGGGTTGCAATTTTATGCGCAGTTTGAGGGTTGTTTGTAGACATTTTGATCATCATCAATCAATGAAACAAAAATATTTCGAGCACCTTAACAGTTACAACCCTCGTTATGGATATTTACCATGTATTTTGATTTTAGAAAAATCCATAATTTCAAAATCGTAAGAGGTTACTATTTTATGCGCAGTTTGAGGATTGTTTGTAGACATTTTAATCATAATCAATCGAAGATTTCATGCTCCTTACAAGTTAACCCCATATATGAGCGAATTCGTTCCCGCTAAAGAGTTTTAATATGGGCCGTCCGTAATTCCTTAATTTTGTTTTAGTTTTTTCGAAGTAACCATCGCCATTTGCTGAAATGGAGCTGCCGTTTACCGAGGTCGTCCCACAAACCGCTACTACCGCCGACCTTGACCAGGGGCAAGACCGCCGTACTCCCTGGTGGCGCTCGAGTCTGTCCCGCCACCATCACACCCTGGTTCCGGCCGACTGCCGCTACTTTCCTCCGCTGGTGATTTATATACAATAATTTGTTAATTTATTTATTTTTCTTTTACTTAAATTGTAATCGTTAATTTTTCATCCCATTTGTGGAATTCGTCGCAATCGACGTACGAGATCACTATAAATGTTATCTTTAACAGTTTCGCAACTGTTTTGGAGTTGGAGGAATAACCCGAACGAAATGTAAACCATTACAATGTCGATTGCGGTAACGTTTTATAATTAATACACGATTCGTGTACGCATAATGTGGGAATAAACATATTTTGAGTATAGATTCAGTGCAATTGTGGGGTGTACAAAGTTTTTACACTTCAACGTCAGAGCTAAATTATTCAACAAAGTTTTTTTTTTGTATACGAAATACAAACTCGGAATATCGATAATCTCCGACATTTCTGAATAGCTTCAGGGGAACTATTATAAATCCGCCCTATTGACATAAAATAATTAGAGTTCGCGTACAACCACGTACATGAATTAGTAATTTCAAGAGCGACTTCATTTCCAGAAATCAATTCATATGTGAATATTGACATATTATGGAAGGTAAAGATAACATATAAGCCCGTTTCGTAATAGGATTAACATTCGGAGGCTTCACCTCCGGCTTACAATAATCCGAAAAATAGGTTTATAACTACCAACAAGGAATCTCCGTTCTCATTTTTGCTACATTAACGAATTATCCAAATTAAGGCGATCAATTTACGCGTGACCCCCATTTTTCAATTATAATCGTATTTCGGATGTAAAATAAGTTATGAAATTCAAATTTCGGTTTTGTTTGTTTTAGGTTGTGGCGAATAAATTGAAATTTGATACTCATCGAACTCGATTAAAAACTAAATATCGACGGTTAATAATAAAATCAAACAATCTCTCGGGAGAATTGCCGAAAAATATTTTTGTGATTTCGTTTCGGTAAATAAATCTCGACCTTATTTCACACGTCATAAGTTTATCCCAGTATGTTCTGACGGCTGATTTCCGTTGTCTACCCAATGTTTGCTGGTATCACTCATAACCAACTTCTTTTTCCCTTCATTTTTCACCGTAGAGCACGTATATATAACCGCAACCACTCAGAAAGGGAAAACGTCGATTTTTTATTTCCTGCTTCCCTTTCTGAGCAGTTATACCTCCTTTAATCCTCAAATAGATTCGCTCCTTCAAAAATAAAACGAAAAGAATAATTCCATTATTTCGCCCATCTAATATTATTTGAACTTCTGGGCGTAATTAATGAAGTTACTGTATGCGTGACCCAACTTTTCCGTAACTTTTTCCTAATCCATTATACTAAGGCTTAATTTTATATCGACGTGAAAACCTATTTTTCCATTTTGCAAGAGGAAATTAAGGTAATCCGTCGACAGTTTATAAATCAATTAAACTTTAAGAGGGTGCATTAGAACGGCATTACCATAACACTTAATATATGCATTTTCGCACAAGTAGGTTACAGCTGAAGTTTGCC